CGTGATCTTTTTACGAGCGATGTCCACGTTGATCTCATTAATCTTTGTATTCACCGTCAGGTGGCTTCCACCGGAACGTTATCCTCTTTTTTTCTCTCGTCGCCGTGTACAGCCGTGCCGAAGAACGTCTAACGAGCTACGCCAAGCAGCTGCGGCGCACCGAGGCCAGCGTTCATCAGCACCGCATTGTCTCCGGCGGCTGAATGGGGTCCCCCTCCTCGGAGACTGGTCCGATTAGCAAGGGAAATGCAGCATTGTACTACAATACACGCTAGTCAGTCGGGTTGCCGACCCTCACAAGACGCGGAGGGCGTGCTCGTCGTGCTCGCGCCGTTGGCTTCCCGACGGCCGCTTGCCCTACATATCGCCTGGTCCGCTCGTTTGCGCGCCGAGATGGCAGCCCCGCGTTGGCGTCCGAGATTGCCGGTCGGCCAGGCTTATCTGCGGCGCATGCGGGGTGGAATCCTGGTTGCAGGGGCATGCGAGAGCAGCAAGCACGAAAATGAAGAAATTAATTCGCCCATATGGCATCTGTATTTATGACAAGGTGAAAAGGCGAATATTCACCCCTTTTCGGCATTGTGATAGGGGATTGAATACTAGTATATTATGGGGACCATAGCTCAGTCACCCGCTACTCGAATTTTCAGTCACGTAGCTGCAGTCGCAAACCTCTGCACTGATCACATTACAGTATATAAAGTGGGGTGTTGCGGAAAAAGTAGAATAATCAAAAAAACGCCTTTCCGCATTACCTAAGTATTGAAAAAAGGAAATGATTAATTAATAAATGAACGAAATTCACAAAAATTCCGAGTGAGGAAGGAAAAAAAAAAGTGATTCCTCCACCCAGCTCAAACGGAGCAAGGGAACCCTATAGGAGCAGGGAAATCCTCGCTCCCTGGGAGCGTGGTTTTTGTATGGTACAATATGTAGAAAAGTTATATACTATATATACGATTGCTCTTAATCTTGACTATCAATTGTTTTTGTATGAATCTGCGTTGACTTCATCTTGGCTTTTTTTTTCTTTCATTGTTTTCGTTTTCGTTCTCGTGTTGTTTCCTACCGACGGAGAGACGGGTCCTTGTTGAGCTTGTTCTTCGCTCTGTCCTATCGGACCAATCAGATGAGCAGCAATCGGGCATCAGCTTATTTTGCGGGGCAGTGGCGATGCAAACAGACATGAATTCATTGTTGAGGCCCTTTGCGGCCGCCAGTCGCGAATGGTTACGCGACCGGTGTTATTGTCGCAGGTGTGAACGAGCCTTTGTCATATTCTGCAGCGTAGCAAAATATGGACACACGGGCACAAGACAGCACACAACCCGACGAGTCTTTGTGTCTTTGTGTTTTATTTAGCGCTGCAAAAGCAACTGCCAGTTCTAGCAACATTGCCGCTTTGACCGTCCGGAACGGTGTTCCCTGCGCACATCGATGCATGTAGCGGAGAACGGGCTAATGTTATGCAGAGTTTTACGTACCGAAACAACACTGGAGGGCTCCGGAAATTTGGGCGCATCTGGTTTTACTGATGATGATGAGTAATAAAGCTCACTGGTCATCATCTGCAATGGCATCGCGTAGCACGCGGGTCTGAAGCATTTGACATTCATTTAAATGCGGCTGTCGCGACAAGGGTTTAACCCTCCTCTTCCGTGTCAGCATCCGAACACCACAACAACTGTACCACGACCGCGGCGGACGATGTGCTTATCTATAGGCACCCCAAAGCCATCTTCAGACATGTTTCTTGCAGCGATTTCATTAGGAGACTGTGATATTGACGTTCGTACTGCTCTTTAGGTCGGTCAGATGCCGCAGGGCCGGGCGATGTTCCAGTGAGTGGTGGTGGTTAGGCGTAAAAAGAGACGCTTATTCCTGTAGCTCTTGAGGGAAACAGCGCTGCGTCTCAGCGAGTCGAAGACCCTGGCGATGTCCTACCGAGCAACGTGAGGGAACGAGCGGCCCGCGCACAGAACTGGCGTTGCGCCGCTGACGTCACGTTACGGCAGCAGTTCACAGCGGAAAAACGGCGCTGGAGGGCGCCCGTCCTAGCCTAGCTTTACTGTGTAATAGCTCATAATAACTTATTTGCTGCCTAGTGGTATACGCGGCTGGTATTCACGTGACGTCATCGCAGGGGGCGCTAGCGTGGCAGCCGCCATACTTGTGGTCTCGTGCGCGAGCATCATTGTCGGACCACGTCCAAAGTTCTCGTGGCATGTTGATATTTTTCTGAAAAAAAAAAAACGGCTTAGTGAGATGCAGCGCCGCTAAATATCAGGTTGTCATATATCTTGCCGGATCGCTGACGGAAAATGGCCATGGCGGTGCTACCGCTGGCGCCGCCTGGCTGTAAGAGCTCAGTGAGTTCTTCGGTCTCCGGACTGTAGGAAGGGATTTATTATTTTTTTTTCGAGAGAGTAGAAGCAGGGTTGTTCAACTATACTTTAGATACAATTGGTGCGTGCATATCTTTGTGTGGTTACAGATGCAAAATTAAAAGAAGTTTGTCTTGAGGATTTAGAGGGGGCTGGCTACTCCATGTTGGTGTGGTATATGAGTCACTGGTGGCTTGCTATGGTATCTGAGCCACCCAGTGCTTGGTTTTAGCTTGGCAAACGAAAAACCGAAGTGCACCGGGCAGGGTGGTGGAAGGTGTTGAGGCGCAAGTACCGATATTGCCAACCAAGAGGAAATAATATCAACAAATGTGCAACACGTTGTCACCTCTATTCTTTTAGTGTTGTGACCAGGCCCATAGCAAGAAAAAAAATTCTTTTTTTGGTGTTGGGGGGGGGGGCGTGGAGAGCTGTTGAGGACCTTGAAAAACTCATATTTTCATTATTCTTGTTAAAACACTCTCTTCATCCGAAATCTTGGTGGGGAGGCTAGGGCATCACCCTAGCTACGAGTCTGGTTGTCACACCTTCTGTGTTTTCTCTCTCTCCCTGTTTTATGGTTCAACACCTCAAGAACCAGGCACAAACATGCACTTGTCCATGGTGCTGTGCATGCTATCGGGGACGAGCACTGATGTCATAGAGGCCGCCGTTTTGTTTTACAGCCGGCACAGGTCAAGTGTAACTGTGTGGTAGCACAGCTACACTTAATCCCCAGAGGCGTAGTGGATGTTGTGATTCATACAACAAAATGGAATGTGCTGAGGTGACATGAATGTTAACAACACTTAATGCAGCCTGTGCTGTTTCTATCACAGCCCCTTTTTTTAATATTTCGTACATAGGAAACCTTCCTGCATCTGCATTCACTTCAGAATGATTTGACACTGACAATGTGTTCACGGATCTCTGAACGCACTTTCGTGCAAAACGGGGCAGTGCACCCTGGAGAAACACTTGCAACCATCTCTCCTTGCTTGCGTCAAGGTCTCATTTTGTTTTTTTCTTCTTTTTAATCAATCTATTTTTAGCATCTGGCATGCAAACCGTATTGTATATATATCCATGTTTTTGATGTACTTATAGCAAGAACTTATGCCATATTATCTCCCATTAAACATATCAAAGAAGTAAGCATGTGAAGACCAGCTCGCCACCTCCGTTGATACAAAAGTTGGAAACTGATCCACGCCTGTCCCTTCTCTTGATGTGAAACCTTATATACTCAACAGGCTCTGGATGTACTGGCAGCATCTAATATTAAGCTTCATCTCATCATGTCGCATGTGGGGTATTGGCCTCAACTACGAGATTAAGGCGAACTGTACTCACAACACTCGCAATCATCTTTTAAATGTGGTGAACCTCTTCCATGCCATTTGTGTGGACAGACACTTAATGTTTTAATAACATGTACAGGTTTGGAAAATCAAAGGAGAAAGTATTTCCCTAAATAGTACCATGAGCAGATCTCCCTCCATCTAGCTATGTTTTTAGGTAACTGCACATGCTTTGATCATTAACCTGTTTTAATCTTTTCGAACGAGTCCCACACATTGAAGATCATTAGCAATTTAGATTAATAGCACATTCTTTTCAAAAAGATGCCGCTATGACATTATATGTTCATGCATTACCCTCCAGGCCTTACCGTGCAAGGTTCTTGTCAGGTAGTTGTGCCTTGTATCATTCCAACTTTTTAGTGCATCAAATGCACATTGATGTTCAACATATTTCGCACATTTCTTGTCCTTCATTATCTCAATAGTTTTACTGCACCTTAAGTGCACATGATTTTAGGCCCTAATTCACTCACCAAACATCATCATTGACTACACACCACATATTGATCTGGCACTCTTTGGCCATTAGTGGCCCTTGTGCCATTCTGCCCAACTTTATTTTCTCAACAGGCTGGGTAGGGCTTGTAGTGACAACTGAATAACAAAAAGTAGCTTATTTCATTCATTTATGCTTGTGAATCAACTGGTTGTCTAGATGCCAGATTGACTGTTTTTTGAGGGAGGCTTTCAAAGTACGTTGGTCGCTGCTGCAATCGAAATACAGCTGTATACCTTCATAAAAGGCACCAGTATAATGAACAATTGGGTGTAAGAGATAGCATTGACCTGCATCGAAAAAGGGGTGGATCAGAAAATGAGAATGAGTTATGTTGCTTGAGGCAGAGGTTTTGACAGAAGCCTGTCTGGTTAGGAAGTAACATGATTGATATTATAAGCAGAACGCTCTATCAGGGTTTCCTGTTTATAAGAGACTCCTCTTATAAAGGACAAGAATTTCTTCCTTGTGCATGCTTTTTCCTTATAAAGCAGTTCAACTGACAAGTGAGGAGCACTGATTGCCCCCTTTCAACAGACTAGAAGGGAGGGGTGCAAGAACACTCAGACTTCCCTTTCTTCACCTCAACTGACGCCCCTGGAATAATGAAGGGTGGATTATCAATGCTGTGGTGGCTAATACACAGTTTGATTACACTTTTTTGCATTGTTTGTTTATATTACATTGAGACTTTTGTGTATGATATTTCAGGATCCAACTTATTGCTCCCCTTTTTTGTCATTTTTTCTTCAACAGTAAAACCAGTGGTGCAAAGGATCAAAGACTTGAGGTTGACCAAGGATGATTTCGACGTACTCAAGGTCATCGGGAGAGGAGCATTTGGCGAGGTGAGCATTTTGCTGCGAGCCACACCTTTGCTTAGAGTTTTTACCAAGGGTTGTATGTCAAGCGCTTGGGTTCGATGTCCTTTTTTTTCTTATTTTTGTCAACATCATTTGTGTAGTAGCGATGGAGATAGAGATGTTGAAGAGGCTGTAGCTATGAAAAGAAGGGAAAGGGTTTTTGTGCATGTGCAGGGTACAATAATGCTTGTCTTAATGATGTGGAGCAGCTGCCACAACGTTGATGTACTTGAAGCAAAACGTAGTACATTGTGGTTCTTCTTGCTCAACAGTTTGCGAATATTGTCCACGTTTAAATATATTTTTTTGTGCCATCTCCCCCAATTGTTCAAGTAGGCTTGTGCCTATGAAACTGATTGCAATATGTTGATGCTGCTTGTGCTCCCCGTTTTCTAGCATGGTGACCCAGCAGAATAAGCTAGCACGTTTTTTTCAACTGATTAGAAATTAAAGGACAGTCAAAATGATTCAGAGGACATGGTTATTGATTAGAAAATGGATTCAAGAAGCAACATCAATGAAAGTGAAAACTGGCTTTAAAACCAAATAAGAACGAGGAAAAACGGAGCGACAAAGACATCGCTGTGTCTTTTCTTTGCCCTTGTTTTTAGTACCAACCAACTAGCTCTGTTCAATACCGTTTTGACAATTACAATGAAAGTGTCATAGTACCAGAGAGATGCCAATTATCCTGACTAAACTAATAAATAAATGTTCTCATTGCATAGTGTTACTCTTATTTGTTAGCAATTGTTTTGATGCTTCTCTTGTTAAATGCTCTATGCTAGTATTTTCTTAATAAGTGCACTTCCAAAATCAGAATTTTTTATGAATGTTCAGCAACATATCGTAATAGGTAGCATTCGAATTCAAAGCCTGGTAGTGTGTTAATTAAAAATGAGAGCTGGAAATGCCCTCAGCACACAGTGGGTTAAAGTGTTGCTCATGGTTTTTAGCCTTAAAAAATATTTTTTTTTGTAGAAAATGAGTATTCTAATGTCAAATCTTGTAGCAAAGATTATCTATCTTCATTTGAAATCGATCTAAACACTAATAATAATAACAACAACAACAACAACGACGACGACGACGACGACGACGACGACGATGATGATGATGATGATGATGACAAAGACGACAACCACAGCAACAACAACAACGAGAATAATAATAATGAAAGTGATTCTGATGATATTTATTTGCATAGAAGGAAAATGGTGGTGATTCCAGAGAAGAAAATATTGTGCAGCTGGCATTTGTGACTCAATAATGTAAATATCAGTGGACCTAGTGTTCAATATACCTAAGTCATGTTAGCAATGTAAAGTTTTTAGTAGTGACATTAATATTTTGCTAGTAGTACTAAGAATGGCTAGACTTAGCTGGACATGTCATGTGACTATGTGTTACGTGACATGATTTTAGTCACATCATTACCTGTTGTGGTTTTTTTTTTTGTGGAAACAGGTCACTTGATGAGCTGTTACATTGTTTACAGCGGGACCATGTAATGTGACTAGCTATTGTACAACATTGTGAGAATTTCAGTCGTGTGAATAAATGATATGTAATTTTTATTCGTGAGACTGCATGTTGTGTGATTTTTAGTCATGCGAGCAGTTATGGGATCCTAGTCACGTGACCAGTTATGTGGTGTCATGTGATCTTTATTTAGGTTAGAGAGTGAGGCAGAAGTTGAAGAGGACAAAGCAAGTGTGTACCGGTTCACAGTGACAATAATCCTTGTTCCCACTGCCCGGTGCTACTAAAAGCTTAAAGAGCTCCTCTCTTAAAACGTTAAAACAAGAAACGAAGAGCACTTGTGTTTTGGTATGTGCTGTTCAATCTAAATGACTGTGCATGTTATCCATGTCCTGTTCTCCTCTTGCAGGTGGCTGTTGTGAAGGAAAGGAACACAGGGAAGGTGTATGCCATGAAGATTCTCAACAAGTGGGAGATGCTCAAGAGAGCTGAAGTGAGTCTTGAAGGCTGTTTATACGTGCACAATACCTGTGCACGTATAAGAAATGGTCTATCATTCAACTTTCAATTTGTTAAATCTGCCACGGTAGTATAGTGGTAATGGGGCTCAGCTGCTGACCCGGGAGTCATGGCTTCGATCCCATCCGTGGAGTTCGCATTTTGATGGTGGTAAAGTGTTAGACACATGTGTAATGGGTGATGCCGGTGCACGTCAAAGAACGCTAGATAAGTGAAATCTTCGAAGTCCTTCACTGTGGCATGCCCCGCAATCATATTATATTTTGGTGTATAAAATACCAGATAATAATAATGCGAAACCCTATATATCAATCGTCAAACAAATAATATTATGATTATTATTTCAACATAATATTCTTTTTGTATACACTAAAATTTTTTTAGTTGCAGGGCAGTGCTCCTCAATGTCCCTTCTGTTCTATTCCGTCTTAGTCGTTCTTGATCTGTACCCGAAACATGCATATTGTAGCATTGGCCACACATGCCACTTCCGGTGTTTTGAGTTGGCAGCTGTGCGACGTATGCCTGCATCCTGTCAGTTTTTGCCTTTCTAACTGACCTTAAATAACAGTAGATAATGTTCTGCCCCTTTTTTGTCTCTCATCATGGCCGCACTGACTTTATTTTTTGTTCCAGACTGCCTGTTTCCAAGAAGAGCGTGATGTGCTTGTTTTTGGAGACAGGCGGTGGATCACAAACCTCCACTACTCATTTCAGGACGACACCAACCTGGTGAGGACATTTGTTTTACATCCTCCTTATTTAACACGTCTTATGGAGTGCCATAGGGGAATGTGCTGGGCTCTGAAACAGTGATTGCGAATGGGATTTCTTACGGAGTATGCTGTGGTAATCATTCGAATGCTGATACAGTGCAGTCCTTCTTTTTCTTCAAGTGCGATCCATTTATTGGAATTTATGCCATGTCATTGCCAGAGGCTTTCTTTCTATTTGTATTGGAGAGATACATGCAACTTTATTTAGTGAAATTTGATGGTTCTCAGTGAGATGATGCTCAGGTGGTGCACGACAACCGCCTTTTTAGCTCTTTTCACTGCTCTGAGTTGGTTGTTCAGGCTGGCATTACATAGGTCATAGAAATTCCTACAGTATTCACTAGAGGAAGCTCCGGCACTACAGTTGTTCAGCCACCATGGGAATTATGGGAAGTACATGAATTTGTCTAGTCTTGATGTATGTGGGCTTCGAATGCACTTGTAACTGTTTATTGTTGTGTTTTCGCTTTGTTTCAAATAAAACAATGGACCATTGCGGACTGCGGGAGCTGCTTTGAATTAGTGAGCCTAAAAATAAAAAGGTCAAGGTGGAACTGCTGAACATTTGCTGAAGAGGATTCAGGCCACATCGAGCCAAAAGAACGAAGTTTAGACCGATCCGCGTGCTACCCATCATTTCCACTCTGACTGAAGCACCGTGCATTGCAGTTCCTATAGACATTAGCACCAGAGTTCTCTCCATAGTGTATATGGAGGAAACTTAGTACTGTTGGGTGCACCATTATGTATGCAATGACTATCTGTCCTCTAGTATGTGTTACGGTTTGAGCTCATTTTTCCTATACTTCTGTGGAATAAGCTGATTTACCATTTTCACAGAATTTCGCCAACTGAATAACTTTGGATATGGTGAATAATAGCAGTATCATTTAAATTTATTCATTACTCCTAGTGATTGAGAGAAGTTAGTTTTGCTATATTTTATTACTTTTTATGCCCGACGCCCTGAAGAAGTTACCTACTTACTATATGAACTTTTGTGCCTACAAAAGTGCTGGAGTCTTTGTGCATCTACATCAATGTTGCCAGTTGCTATTGAACAAACAGTTGAACACTCATCCAAAAGAAGCAGAAACAAAAGAAATTTTTTTCATTCTCGAAATTTTTTTAATTGTGATAAAAAATGTCACTCAAATAGGAAAGTTTCATAAACAGGGGCTGCGTCGAGCTGATGTTTTGACAAGCGGACTTGCTAGGCAAGTGGATTCCTAGGCTAGAACAGAACAGTTCTGTTCTAGCCTTAGGAAGACAAATTCAATTGTCGAAACGTCGGCTCAACACAACCCTTGTTTACAAATTTTTTATTGCAACTTTCCATCTATGAACCATCACCGAATTTTTTTGTACAGAGAAAATATGTGTAACTATGAACGAAGGCACATAAAATACTTTTTAACACTAGTTAGTCTCCATTCAGTTGAAGGCATGATGGCCAGCACCTAATTAATGCTACTTGTTGATTCACCGAATGTATGTTTGACTTCAACAGTCAACCATAGGCGTGCACTCGGGGACGGCACCCCAGGGGAAAGTCAACCCTTCCTGCTCACTTAAAGGGGAAGGGGGGGGGGGCACTAAATTGGCCCCATACAATGACTTAATAGGAAGAAGAGGGGCTGCGATGAACCTCCACCCCTGTTTATGGGAAACTATGCACGCTTATTCACTCAAGTACTCAAAGTCATCGACAAACACGCTATCAGGGAACAGCAAATGTGCATTAGTCAACAAGATCACTGAAATAGCTACCTTTGCTGGAAAAATGCAAATAAGCCTGAAAAAAAAAATGCTTCAAGCGACTGGAAAATTCTACAAGCGACTTGGCGAAAAAAGTAAGCCCAAATCTGCTTTTTTAAGCAGAACAAACAACCCTTATCTACACTCCGAGGCAAACGGGAGTAACAAAAAGTGGATAACTGCGCTACTTTCACACACAGGTATAAACCACACACACACACACACACTGACAAGCACAGTTATCCCCATTGTGTCAATATGCACCAACTCGCCCAAAAACAAGCTCTTCTAAACCAAATGGGAGTGTTTTGGATGCCTCTTTGCCACACGTCAGCAATGATCATGCGGTTTGCTTGTGTAGCCCATCTTGAAAACAGTGCGCTCACAACTTTCCTAGTGCAATGTCACGCTGGTAGGTGTAACAAGAGGAAAGCAAGCAAGATATATATGAACATTATTTGTATGTGGCAGAAAAACACCCTGAATATGCTGGGGTTGAGCACTGGTCGTGATGGCATAGTATCACTGTAGACTCTATAGCGTAAGGAATCGACAGGACTCAAAAAGATACACACACAAGAAAGAGCACTCTTTTGTATGTTCATCCTTTTTGTGTCCCACCAATTCTTGGCCCTGTACAGTCTACACTCCTGAATATGCCTTTTTTGTCTTTGAGTGTAATGACATTTTTCTGCTATGGTTGTTGCTATGTAATTACCTAACTGGCTGCTATAATTACTTAATCCTCATGTACTGGCCTATCAGGAAGTTATTGGCTGCAGTGTAACCTGTTATTGCCAAAGTGAATGAAGTGAATCTTCCCTGTTGAAACGTGTTGGCACTTGTGGCCTAAGCTTCCACTGCTTTTCTCCTCACCCAGTACCTTGTCATGGATTACTACTGCGGAGGAGACCTGCTGACCCTGCTCAGCAAGTTTGAGGACAAGCTCCCTGAGGAGATGGCACGGTTCTACATCACCGAGATGATCCTCGCCATCGATTCGATACACTCGTTGCATTATGTGCACCGAGACATTAAGCCAGACAATGTGCTGCTCGATGCCAATGGCCACATACGGCTAGCCGACTTCGGCTCTTGCCTTCGATTATGCGATGACGGAACGGTGAGCCACTGTCTGTGAAGTTCGGGACAATGCGCGAATGAGAGCTCCTTCAGTTTTTCACACTGAAAAGGCTACAGACTGTCAACATGTGTTTCATTACAGTAAAAGCCTGTTAATGTGACACTCGTTAATTTGAAAATTGGATGAATTGGGTTGGGTTTTCTGATCCTAGCCAGCATATGCATGTTTAATGGCACCAAACTCTCGTTGATTTAGTCACATTTTGTCGCCATTTGATTTATTTGGACGATTCTCTGAGCACCCTGTGCGCGAAGCGCCGCAAATGTTGTGGGATGAAAAAGAGGGAAAATGGCATTCTCAAACAACCAAAAGGAGGTGGGACTGTCCGCATCATTATCTCCATCAATTAGTAACTCAGTTTTTTTTTTCATATGCGGATCCAACACTCAGCAATTTTGTTCAGACTTGATGTATTGTGCGTGCAATGTCACAAAACTCAAAGATAGCACAAGCTGCCGAAGGTGAAGAGCTTTTAACCTCAGTCAACATGCTGGAATAGAAATCATTGGCTGCATCACGATGGATGAAATATCTGTTGCTGGCTATTTTAGCTGCAAAAGAACTATCATGACGTGCACATGGTGGTGGTGCAGTATGTAATCAGAGATTTGAGAACATATATTGGGCTAAATAAACCTAAGAGTCTGGCACCGTGGTTGCAGTGAATGAACATCAGTAATGTCGAAAGTTGGCGAGTTGGGGATGTTCGTGCGCTGCTTCATATGTAAGCAGTGAAGTCGCCGAATGACAAAAATTGTAACTTTTTCACTGCTCTTATGCAAAGTAAATACAGGATTTATGTGTTCAACAAGAAAATGAAAGTGCATTGATGTAATAGGCACTTTGTTGTTTTCTTGGTACTTTAAATAATTTGGAACTAGGTTATGTAGAACATTTTTTTTGGTCGTGCAAAATACAAACTAACGAGCTTTTACTGTATTCTGGTCCATAGTACCAACTAGCATTCACTAAGTTAAATTCTGTTGTGGGGCATGCTTGCTGTCATAAAAATTGGCTTTTATAAACCTAGGTGTTACTTATCTGAATTGGTCATGGTGAAGTTGCAAGTTGGTGTCTGTCTGGTATCTTTGGTTTCAAATGGTTTTAACTGGCTACCTGATCTGCGCACTTTGTCATCAATCAGATGAACAGCAGTGCTGCATTCTGGTAGATGGAGCTGTAAATAAGGATGTTCTCTATTGCACCAAAGAAAGAAACTGAATAAGAAAAACGTTACCAAGTCAGTGCGTATTGATACAATCAAACCTCGATATAGTGAACCCAGGTATAACGAAATATCGGTTATAACGAAGTATATGAAAAATAGTCGTGCAATAGAAATAGTGTTGGGAATATACCTCTATAACGAGTTTTCGAATATAACAAACTTATTTTTGGAACTGTTATAATGAGGTTTGAGTATATGCAAGCACCATTTTCAGCAAGTGTAGCTGTAGTTTTAGTTAAGCAACATTATTATATGCTGTGTTCTGCTGAGCCTTTGCGACAAGTGTTTTCTGGAACTCTTTTATTTATTGCAGGTTCAATCCAATGTTGCTGTAGGCACTCCTGATTACATATCTCCTGAAATTTTAAGGGTAAGCCTTGATGTTGCTGTGTGCATTCGCATTCCTGGTAGTAAGAGTAAGATGTTGCCGTTCTTGGCTTTCTTCAGTCTTGCTGTGGGCTGAGCTGCTTGTTTAAATTGCAGCAGAATACCTGCAGCTGAGCCAAAGACATCAAGTGCATTGCTGCTGCATGTCTGCGAGCAAAGCAGTAGCGTACTTTTTTCCGGGGATTTCTTCTCAATGAGCGTGCCAACCTAGCTGCCATACTGTTTTTCATTGATTGCTTCTTGCAGCTGCTGCTACTGCTGCTGTTTAGACACTTTCAGTTTTTAAAGTAACATGGCACATTGGAAACTCTTCGGCACCTGGTGTTCTCTTAATGCAATGCTCATAATCACTATGTTCTGAGAGTTAGATTAGACTGTGTCTTTGCCGTCAGGGCCAGCCAGGGACACGAGTTCATTTGTTCGGTCGTGTGTAACCCTCCACGAAAAAAAAAAAAAAAAAACACGTTTTTCTGTGTTTTCATGACTTTGATTATGAAACATTTCTTTACTCTTTTGTGTTGTTTCGTTTTCTTTCTTGTATTTACCATCATATTTACCTTCACTTTGCTTGTTTAAAAATGTGTGTAAGTATGCATTATGGGCAGGTTCCTAATTGCGGACTTGTTAACTCACTACTCAGTATTCTTGGGAAGATAAGAAGGTGGGTGCAACTCTTCTGCTTGCCTTTCTTTTTATTGCCTGCAGCCCTCTGCACCCCCCTCGCCCTCTGCAACTCTGGCCTTGCCTTTGCTCAGTGCTGCTTGTGGATGAGTACTGTATTGCTTCCCATGCTCTTTTTTTCCTTCTCTTGCTTGCTCCTTTGCTATTGAGCTTCAACTTTGCTATTCTGATGGCAGGGCCTAATAGTACACTCTACAGTTACGAATAACTATTTCAAGGCGTTCAGTTGTAGCTGTTTGATTACATTGCCTCAAAAGAAAGAAAAAAATGCCAGGTCTGTGCGGAAGACGCAGTACAGTCACAGCGAAAGCTAGAAGAGCTACCTTTCAGAGCCTCTTCTAAACACTCATTGGGCAACTGCTGTAAGCCCACCTGCTGTGTACCCACTACAACATTATTAATAATTATTTCTGGGTAGTATGCCATCATTCGCTATGCTATCCTTCATTCTTCTTCTGAAAGGTGTGGTATTTGCTAAACACTTTCAAGGAATATTGTGGTGCCAATTGTTCCTGCAGTGGCTGACAACGATGAGGAATTATGCCTGAATTGGGTAAGCACCACAGTTAATAGGTGATCAAGAAGAAACTTTTGTAGTGGGTTGGTGCATTGGATGACCCACTCGTTACGCTATTCGCATTGTGTGATGCCTGGTTGTTCTTTTGCTGTTCTGAAACGCTTTATTACTCATGTTAACGTTATTCCTTTCTTGAGATCAAGCCTGCCTAAAGCAAGTTTGTGAAAAAGTCTCAACCATCGGCGTGGCTCATTGGTAGAATACTGGGCTGGCACACGGTGGATCTGGGTTTGAGCTTAACTGTGTTCTTGGTACTAGGTTTTTTACATTGAAAGCTGTTATGAGATCACAGCATAGGTCACAAGTGCCCTAGTTGTCCGCCGCCGCCAGCAGGGTCCATACCTACTATTGTGCAAAGCGAGAAAAAAAACAAAGTAAATAAAGAACACAAAGCGCACAATGGGATTGTGAACCCTGGTGCTTTGCGTGCCAACTCAGTATTATACCAATGAGCTACACCAGTGCTTGGAACTCTGTGGCAAACTGACCCTAGGTAGGCTTCATGTTGGGAAAGACATCTCATTTAATAAAGCGATTTGAGCAGCAAAGGAACAGCCAGGCATTCTACAATGCGAATTGCGTAACAAGTGGGTCGTCGAATGATGCAACTTATTACAAGAGCGCTATGCAAAGTTAATCATCGTCGTCAGCCACAGCATCAGAAAATTGCGCAAGATTCCTTGCATGTGTATAGCGGGTAACACACTTCACCAAAGGATGAAGAAGGATGGCATAGGGAATGCCTGCACAAAACTTATGATGATTTATTGCATAGTGGGTACCCTGCAAGTTTGCTTGTTGCAGTTACTGAAATAATGTTTAAAAGGCAAGGCCGATTTTCCAGCTTTCGCTGTGACTGTACTGCACGTTCCCCGCAGGCCTGGTGTTTTTTCTTCTTTTTCTTATTTTGTGCGAAGTAGTTACAGGTACCGGCGGAGGCGAACAACTACGGCGCCGTGCGGGACCCCAGTTGGGATCTCATAACAGCCTTTGCTGTAAAATTGGGAAGGGTGCCAACCTGCCATAAGACATTGTTTACTTTGTGTCCTGCTAGGTAGAGCTTTCATGGAGGCATCATAACTTACCACTATTCAGCAGTGGCTGAACTACATGCCTCTTGTTTCCTGTCACAGTGCCATCAATTATTGTGAGCAGCTATGTGCCTTTTCGCCTGCTTGCTACAGCATTCAACAAGCAGGTGCACTTCGATGACACCTGTTGCTCGCACCTATTGTTGAGGTATCGGATGCCTAGACAATATGACTGGCCACTCGTCACTGTATGTTATTCTGCACGATGAGTTTTACGAGACGCTGGCCACAGTGTGGGCACAAAAAGTCACATCAGCTTTGCGCACTTTGAGAAAAAAAAAAAGTGTTTGAGCCAGAATTGAAACATAGGCACTCTGACAGGCAGTCAAGCATTTTACCGCCAGCACTTGAAGCTTCGTCAGAAAAGAACCTTATACAGGTGTCATATCGGTTGCGGAGTCTCGTTAGCAGATGTATAGTATTGTATGGCAGAAGCATAGAACCACACCAAGAGTCCCTTGGGAGTCCTATAATCAACTGGAAGTGGCACTTTTGTGAAAGCTGCGGATATACTGACATCTAAAACACAACTTGGGTCGGCATTGATGTAATTGGTGATTTCTTCTATGTGTATTTTCTCCATACTTTCAAACTGATTGATCGTTGTAGCAAGTCTATTCCATGCATCTTTTGCTTTTCAGCACTGCAACCACCGTAGAGTTCCCTTTGTTGTCTTCTTGTATTGTCACATTTAACTGTTGCATCAGCATTCAAGTACGTCTTATTACAACATCATCATTGTTACTGTTCCCCATGTGCACATTGCTTGCTTGTGTCTGTTTTCCTATTCTGTCCGGACCTCCTGCACCTGTTAGGTTTCCGTTCTTATGACTCGTTCGCATGTGCAGTATACACACATGTGTGTTTCTGTCATGTGTGCCAAAATGGAGTGGAGTCTTTGTTGGTTACATGCTCTGACACAAATGACAAAAGTGGCAAACTACTTGTGATGCACTACTGTGTTGCTTATTTACGTGACCCACAAAACTTAAAGTAGGCACAGCTTAACTCTTACATCCTGTAAGCCCTTTTTAATGTTGCTTTCTCTCTGATGTGTATTTACATGCTGACATTTGGGTGCTGAATCCTGCCTGACTGTTTTTTTTTTCTTTGCATGCTTTGCAACATCAGAACGAGCATGGAAGTGCTTCACCCACATGTCACCATGAGGCACAATTTCTAAACATGGGACTGCAGATTTTTGAAGCTTTATTTAATACCCACAATGATAGCTTGTTAGCTAATGGTCTCAGTTTATGGTGTTATGGGCACTCAAGTAGTACATTTATGTTAGTCTTAACTCCAGGCCAAAACAGAGTACAAGAATGGCTTAGTATGAGCAGAATAAAAGAGTACAAGAAGTGGTATTTCAGTACCTTAAATGAAGCATTAATGTTGATATTATGAAGTAGACCTAGTTGCATGGTAGCAACATGAGGATGCTTTCTGAGCAGCAGACTGGGAGTGTTGTACACCTCCATTTGTCACATTTTCTTGACATTAGTAAATTTTTCATGGAATGTGCATCTCACTCTATTACCTTGACATGTTTTCCTAACCAAACTGAAATTAAGCTAACCCAACCCAACCTAACCTAACCTTCTTCTCTGTCTGTTTTACCAGCAGTGCTTTTCCCCGTGTTGCTGCGTGACAAGAGTTTTTACACCTTTGTCGATTGCCGGCTGTGCTTTTTTAATGCAACGCTTGCATGTTCAATTTCCTGATGGCAGGCCATGGAGACGGGCAGGGCAGGTACGGCCCCGAGTGCGACTGGTGGTCCCTGGGGGTGTGCATGTACGAGATGCTTTATGGCGAGACCCCCTTCTACGCGGAGAGTCTTGTCGAGACCTACGGAAAGATCATGAATCACAAGGTAGGTGTCGCAGAGGTCAGCAGCACGGACCACGGCATTCATGTGGGTAGCATTGCAATGTTAGTGTCTTGCAGCCTGGCATCTGTTACACATGGCGTTTACACAGTGCACCCCAGCTTACCCTATCCAGAGCTTAAAAATATGCCGATGTGCTCTATGACGATGTGACCGAATTCATGTTATGAAATATTGAATGGAGTAACTTGTAGTGTTTGTTGTGTTCTATTTAATTGCTTGCTTAGGCAAGATTTTTTAAACAACTTTGTACGCAATGAAGATGGGCAAGAACTTAAATGAGAAAGTAGATCGGTTCGCGAAATGTCTGATTGACAGTCAATCTACAGGTTCCCATGGCCTACGCATCCTACAGATGCCCATGAAATAATAATAAGCGAAAAAAATTACACCATCTCCCGCTGCTCAAGGGGACCATGACGCGATGCGAGGCAGCATGGTGGTTGCCGTTTGCACTGCTTGCGCTGGGCTTCTGTAGCCTGGAACTCCGGGTACCCTGCTGAGCATCAAGCCTTCTGCTGCTCCACCCACTGCTCTGCGGTCTTGGCAGGAATTAAGGTACCCTTGCAGCTGCCGCCGAGGCTGACATTGAAACTCATGACACCGGTGCAGCCGGTGCAGTGACTTAGTGAGCGTGCGACCTAACGTGGGTGAAACGGGGAACTGTGGGAAAAGGAAGCTTGGCCTCTGTGCAGCCACAAATGTGTGGCGCGGAGACAGCGTTCATGCCACCCCCTCCACCCCAACTCCCCATGCCGGTAACGTGAGGAGATTGCCCTCTGTACTCCTTGGGCTCACGCAAGAGGGAGCGGACAATCAATGACTACGAACAATGCGGACGCGCTCTGTCACACGTAAACGTGAAAAGCGTTTCTATGGAGAGTGTAGGAGAGGAGAGAGAGGAAAAGGGGATGCAAATGCATAGTGGAGGAGTGGACGCCGCACTGCTGAGGAAGCGTTTCGTTGCCTTCACCGGCAACTCCGTAGAGAGGGGGTACATAGGAGAGAAGCGAGAGCGAAAGGGGCACGCATGCGCTGTAAAGGTGGTCACGCCACACACTGAATTGAGTTCGACCATAAAACGCTTTGCATCTAAAAAACCCACGTGACATGACTTCTTGAGAGTCCATGCGCGCTGTGATTGCAGGACTCTGTGATGTCCTGCACTCAAACCATAGCATTTGGTTAGGTATGTTGCCTTTTAAAACGCCACAGAATGGTGACATCAATGATCGTGCAGTGACACACCTGTTGTTGAACTGAATGGTAGATGTGCTGTTTGGTGTGTCAGTTTCGCGAGCTAAATTGGCCAAATTGCATCACTCCATGGTTATTACCAGTGGCCACTTTTCTAAAATTTCAAAGTGGCGATGGAATGTTTGTAGGAAGGCTTGAATTGGCCCATTTGACTCGACCGGCTATTATTACTGGTTTAAAAGTTAATTGTGTTAATTTCTATAACTACTGCCGTAATTCATGTTTGTACCCATCTGAAGATGCCTTCTGCCAGAGGAAGGCAATGCCGCAAGTAGCATGCCGATACCTCCTTTCCGAAGTTTTTAAAGCATATTGGACAGATGTCTTGAAAATGCCCTGTATTGGCACAGTTATCCTTTCACTTGCTTTTGTAGAGCTTTCAGTTCCTAGACATCGTGTAGCCTTTTTAGTTTCACTTCTCCCATGCCAGCTTTTCGTTTTAACTGCATATTCTCATGAGACTCGGTATAGGCATGACATGATAAAGACAGCACCTGTTCTCTCTCGTGTATTTGTGGGTTTCTCGAAGCAGTGCTTTTTTTTTTTCTTTTTCGATGTGGAGTTATACCAAGAAGCTTGCGTTTAGAACCCCTTTAAGTTGCTAAGGCGTGTTGCTGGGCTAGTTGGTTCGTGTTTATTGTTCATAGGGGCAGCACTACAAGGACATGAAAAAAAGCACACACGTAAAGCACTATCTGTACTAACACACGTAGCACTATAATACACACAGCGCTATCTATACGAATTATAGTGCTGTGTGTGTGTCTATCTTTTGTGTCTATGTCGTGGTGTGCTGTACCCATATTAATGATGAACCCTATGAAGCCACATATAAGGTTTTAGTCTTAACGAAAGATTCTCCATCTGTAACACTGTTTCTCCTGTTTGTTTGATAGGGTGCACTTATGGGAGCCTGGTTTATGAGGCTATCATTGGCAGATCATTCACTGATAGAACAAAAAGGAAAACTTATTTAAGTGAACACTTGCAGTTAAATGTAATTATCAGTAGCAGTCGATCATCGCCACTCTTTTCTTTTTTATTTGTTTTCAGAACTGCTTTGACTTTCCGGACGACCCTGGCTGCAGCATTTCGGAAGATGCCAAGGATCTAATGAGGCGGTTGATCTGCAGTGCCGACTGTCGACTTGGGCAAAATGGACTCCAGGACTTCAAGAGCCATGCGTGGTTCAGTGGAGTTGACTGGGATCACATACGAGAGAGTATGCAGTCTTATTTGGAAATGTGCTTGGTTGGACTAAGCCCTCCACAGTGCAATGGCTCATAGTTATAAGTATTATGGTCTTGCACACAAGATTGTAAATTACTAGTATGAATGACAGCCAGCTACTGGGAGCCTCTAACTTGGTACACAGTATGGAAAGGCCCACAAGAGGTCAGTAGCGAACAGAAGTAGTACTAAGATACAATAGCTAACAAATATGCAGCAGCCTAAAGTCAATGAACCACTCAACCACCTCTGGCTGGAGGAATAAAATGATAATACGTATTGCACTAGTCCAAGTGGATCGTTAAAGGAGTCAAAGTAGCACTGGGAAATGTAGATATATTGGTGAAGCCGCAACAAAACAAAGCTTCTGATTTGGCAAGAAAGTTGCGTAAGCCTTATGAATGGGGTGCACATGAAACAGCTTGTGTGAGCTAAACAATGATATTCAGGACAGGGTAGGATATGCGGTTTATGAACATTGGGTGTAGTATCAGACTCAACAATGCTGCTACACACACTTCTTGCTTTCTTTTATTTAGATGCGAAGCAGCTCTTTGACTAGACTGTGAATGCTGTCCGTCTGTGTCTCTGTGCTAATGCGCCGCACCGTGCTTCTCACGTCGCAGGTGTTGGGGCGGTGCCAAGTAGGTCACGCCTTCTCTTGCAGTGCGCGTTGACGTCACTCTCTCCCTCGCCTGCCGTGCGCTCGTTGCATGTCACCTCTCTCTTGCGTCAACCTCTCCACCGCTCGCAACATTCAAGCGCTCATGGAGTGAACACTCCTTTGGCTCGTTTATCTGCTATGGAGAGGACGCCGGCAAGCGAAGCTCCTTCGATTGCCGAAACATTCGCCGAAGCGATTTGGCCTAACTCGGCCAGTCGCCGGCTGTGCGAGGGTTGGCAGAGCTGATCGCATTCGCCAATGGTGACGTCGCGCCTGCAACACTGACGAGGTGCGAGCCAGGGAAGCCAAACACAAGCGTTGGCCTGCAGAAGACCGATGACATTGACGAGGCACGAGTGAAAAACGACGATCGCGTCCGTGTGCAACGCTGCTGCTTCGCATCCCATCAGGGTTCCCTTTGGGAAGATGTAGTTAATTTTTGTTCTTCTATGTTTTACATTGCCGGCCTATCGCACTTGTTAGTAATGCCTTACACAAACTGTGCCAGAATGTCTTAGAGCATTCCAGATTATTTAAGGAATCATCTTACGGGCTTGAACCTGCAAATGTGAATAGCGGAGTTCATTATCGAATAAAGCGCGGCCACCAGTGAAATTCTCGAGTGTTTGTTGCCGCATGTATAAATGCCGGCACGCCTCGCCGCAGATGAGATTATAGATAGTCGATGCCTTGTACACTGTTATTCTTACTAGTGTGTAGTGCTGTAATTTAACTACAATGTCTTATTAAGTTATTTTGTGACAAAAGAAACAGTATTTATCATCTTGAAGAAAGTATTTATATTGTTAAGATTTTCACTGGCACTGCCATCTTTGTATATAATGAACATTGCGTGCAGGTCGGGCGCCCTACATTCCAGAGGTCAGCAGTCCAACAGACACTTCCAACTTCGACGTTGATGATGCTGATCTCAAGCAACCAGTGAGGATGTTTTTTATAGCCATTTGTCTAGAGCCATACAGACTACGTACATTTTTCTATTCAGCAATTTGTGAAATGCCTGAAGTCTGCATTTTATTGTTTTGATCGTTAGATGACGTGTAAATCTGTGTTGTAAGCGTGCCTTTAATGAACTGAAATGTCGGATTTGAACTCAAAATAAGGCTAGTGCAAAAATACAAAGTGAAGGCTTTCTATTTTTTGTTTAAGGTTTTAACAAGGCTCTTTAGCAAGGATTTTAGAGGTAGACTACTTGCCACCAGCTTTTTCCTTACCTCTTTTTTTTTTTTTGTCCTTCTGTTGATTCATTCTAGCATTTTTTTTTTGTATATACAACATTGGTTTTCCCAAACTACTAATGACACAAGCTGTTGCGATTGACAGATGTTGTCAAGACAAACAAAATTTTAAATGCCCAATTTGTCTCTCCAAAATGCATGCAGGGTGCATGCAAACAATTTGAATCTGTGTCGGCCTGCACGGCTGTAATGCTCGGCAGCTGACCCGAAGGTCACAGGTTCGATCTTGGCCAGCGGCGGTCACATTTTGTTGGAGGTGCAGTGGTAGAGGCCCGTGTACTGTCGGTGTCAGTGCACATAAAAGAGAAGCAGAGGGGTCAAAATTTCCGTAGCCTTCCACTACGACGTTTCTCATAATCATGTTGGTGTTTCGGGACATAAAACCTCAGAAAATATAACCAGTATCTGGGGTCCTTATAAACAGATTTTACTGCATTCATTGTACACTTCATTAGTTCATTTTAAGCTTTCAGTACTATTCCCTGCACTCATGACAGTAACACAGAAGTAGACTACAAAGTGATATGCATGAATGCTCGAAATTGGCAGTTATTAGAATGGCCTAAAATGCATAACTCGTTATAGCCGAACAAAGCAAAGGTCTCTTATAAATTAATAGAACATGCAGTGTTCGTATAAAACTGGGTAGGAGTACTATTTGATGTCCAGGAATTTGAAGGTAAATAAAAGATTAATAGAGTGCTTTTGCAAACGATTGAAAATATTGAAACACTGAACTCATTTTCTCAATCAACTCAACTGAGTAGATTGCTCTTTCTGCCTTTGCCTATGCCATTAAATTCAGCAGTAAATTACCAGGCTAGTGCGACATTCTAGAAGGTGTTCCAGTTAAATGAACTGGATGTGCCTTAAAGTGAGAAATATGTTCCTTTCCTTCTCTTCTTTTTTTCCTCTAGTATTTTCCTGTAATGCCGTTTGGTCTAGGTCATGGAAGTGTGTTCAGTCGATTCGGTCGAAGGCTGGTAAGGCGATCTTTGGTGGGCCTGATTAAGAGATACATAATGCCTGCAAATGCAACTACATTTTAATAACATGTTGAATCGATCCGCTTTTAACATTCTCACACAGTGCCTCTAACATATGTAGAGCTAGATTGACTTGCTCAGCTAACTATATAACAACCCTGCAATTGAATTTGGCAGTGTTTGGTGAAGGCATGTCACTGGCCTAAGCAAAGAAGTTTATGAGTTTGTGTTATATAGTTTGATGGAGTTTTCTGGTCTGTTCATAAATGTTTCAAGAAGAAAGTAGTGCATAATTTGAGTTATTGCTTGATGAAGCTGACATCAGAAATTGTGACAACACACTGAATATTGAAGCTAAGTGTGAAAATATGGGGAGCTAGGTGTCGGAGCATTACTACAAGTGACAATATAAATTAAAATAAACAACGAAGGAATTGAAAAGAGGAACTTCAAAGTGAGACTTACGAATTGCTTGTTGGATGAGAAATTTTTTGAATTGCTTGTTGGAAGAGTAGTTATTGGAATGAAAAACTCTTAGTGTTGTTTGGAACTCTTGAAGTAAGGCTGAATGCCTACAGGCATTCGGCATGGCACCAAGAATTAAGAGGGGAATCTCGATGAACCCCTACCTTCTATCCAAGTCTCAAAGGCTAAAGGATGTATTGGGATGGTTGCTACAAAACATAACATTTCGGTTTGATAAGCTTGGATAAAACTGCCTGTGAGTAAGGCGTTCAGCTGCCTTTATCATAGTCTAATCTTGCGTGTTCCACTTACCATAGTCTACCTTGCATGCTCTGGAATTGGGAGGTACCTGTTAGCGGAACGTGATGTGTGACGTGGAAACTGCACAGGAGTCGGGACCACCGAGCACCAATGCAGTGTTCTCCGGGCTGCACCTGCCCTTTGTGGGCTTTACGTACACGCTAGGAAGCCGGCTGGCCAGTGGTGCGGGCGAGTCGGCTGTGGACGGTGTGGCTACCCAGTCGAGCGACCAGGGCCATCTGGCATGCCAGAAAAGGATTCGGGCCTTGGAGAGGGAAAACGCAGAGCTGGGACAACGCTTGGCTAGTGAGTGACATTTTTCCCGAAATGCAGTGAAAACTCGCTGTAGAGGATTGGCATCTGACGCGAGACTGGCTCGGTGTATGCAGGTCCTTGGTTCTAATCTTTTCCGTTGTTTATATTCTCTAGTAAATTTTACTATAGAGCTTAGCGCCACCATTCTTTTTAAACAATAATAACTCCCCTCCCTTAGAAGTACCAAACGAAACATCGGTTGCTATAGGACAACCTCGTTTTACGCTATAGGACAAACGTTTTACTCGCTACTGAATGCAGGCAACAAACTTACGTGCTTGTGTTCGGCACCTGCTTCGTTTCTCAACTGCCTTATGCTTCATGACAAGATCGTTTGTTTGTAAACTTAGTCCCTAATACTGAAGATACCAATAAAGAAAATGGAGACACTGATCAGAAAGTGTCCATTTCTGTCATTAAGGGAAAAACAAGTCTTACGATTGAGAATACAACCAATCCAGATCACCATTAAAATGATAGATTATCTTAATGGTGATTGTCATTGTCATGGTCATTTTGATTGTTCTTCTGGGGAAACTTGAAGGCAAAAGCCATCCAATGCAGACGTCATCACATCCTGTTCAAAGGAGAGGAAGATGATGATGATGACAGCACCGGATGATATTTGCCTTCAAATGGACAGGACATGCAAGCATGTGACAAACATTATTAGTGGTTGTCCTTGTCTGCGTTGCGTCCTAGTGTAGTACGTGAGGAAGGCAACAAATATGAACACTTGTAACTTTTCAACTAACCAACCAACTTTACAAGTGTTTTACTTGTTTATTCAAATAGTGAAGGCAGAAATAGTGTGACAACTAGCAAAAAAACAAAAGTCACAGCCTGTGTTTGTCATTTGATTAATGAATGGTGTATGTCTGATGAAATGAACAACCTATTTTGTAATCCTTTAAATGACCCCAGTGGAAGGACAATGCTTTCAGCTCAGCTCACTTTATAATATGCAAATGAGTTTTGCGGAAACCCGCAAGGTGGCGGAAGAGTTAAGAAAAGCAAAGAAGACCACCACCAGTTTGTAGCCTGAATCAACAAGGAAATCCATACAAATTCCTCAGAAAGAAAAGCTTCTTAGTCGCTGAAAAATTTGTCCTGCTCTGGGGTTTGAACCCAGGACCAATGCCGTTCCAGGGCAGTATGTATAACATTATAGTATGTAACTTTATAATATTTTTCTTTCCCAGTAACTTCAAATGTGCAGTATTTGGTGGCCAGTGTATTGCTTGAAAACAGTGTCATATATTGTGTGTGCAGGGCAGATCTTCATCCTTGTACACATATGCCATCCTTTTTTTTTGTGTGTAGGTGATCTCAAAAGAGGACTGCCCAATTCCAGCAGTGAAGCGTTACAGAGGACGTCATCAACAGACGGAGAGGTCCGTAGGCTTCAGGATGAAGTTAACACCTTCAAGAAAAGGAATGCAGGTGCGCCCAATTTCGTATGGAAATTTCCCACCAAGATAAGCTAGCAGTAAAGCTGTTTTACTTACAGCCATAGCTCTCTCACTTGGCGTGCTTGAGGATCCAAAGCAGGCATGCCCTTCATTCCTTAAATGCTACTGAACTTATAACATAATTTCAATGGCTGTGGTGGCATAAAGGAACAGGACACAAGAAAGTCAGCGAAGACACACACACGCAGCGCTACAGTGTCTTTGCTGCATTTCTTGTGTCCCATTTCTTTGTGCTTCTATAGTAAGAAAGAATACGCAATACCAAAAAACTCATTTTACATCTTACAAGATTCTTGGGAAGGCTCACGTTTTTGAGGTTCCGAGGTCGCAAGTAATGCTGCATTGAGCAAGCTAGCATTTTGCTTACGTTTGTGACTTCTATTTTACTCATTATGCTGCAGTTACAGAAATGTTTCATCTCTCTGGAAGGTACTTGTCTTAATTGTTGCTGTGACTACTCACAGGATGGCAGCAGACACTGCAGTGTCTGCTGCCATCAATGGGGTATGTTCTCTGTCGTCACTCCCACTTGGCATGTCAGTCTGCTATTTTCCGCAAGTTCGTCCATGGGCATGTCTGAATTTCGAAGCAGAGTTATGCAACTTCCATAATTAAAGAACTTTGGTACACTGCTCATTGACCTTTCCTGTAGCTTGCCTGGTGCCTGGTTTCATTTGTCTCTTATATAATAGAATTGGAGCTGGAGCTGCAGCAGCGACAGTCTTTGTCCAATTCTCATGGGAGCTACCCCATCGGGGATGCCAAGGTCAAGGAGTTGGACAAGGCATTACGACTAGCGCATGTAGAGAAGGAAGACCTGCAACGAGTGAGTGATTGTGCTCTTGAGTTATGCTGATCTTTTTGGACTGTTGAACCACCATGGCTTATAACTGGAGCATAATATTTTGTAGTACTTGTAAGTCAAGATATTAAATAAATAGTAGTAACTGAAAAGAGATGTTTGTTTCCTCTTTGTTGTGCTATTTAAAACTTGCAATGGCATGCTAACATGCCCTAACTGGCATGATGTTATTACTATTGTTCCTGCTCTAGCTGGTTTGTGCTTATTGCAACAGAATTTTATTAAACAAACTTTGCAAAGCCACTGAATTGTAACACATTATTTTGGAATATCGCATTGCTGAAATCATAATTTTGTGTCAGTAGTGTAACACAACAGTGAAACTTTTTGGCAGCTGCATCTTACAAAGCCTTCTGGATTGCTCGTCTCAGTTTCGATGTCTGCTGATGGGATGTTACCACTATTCACAGGAATTTAACGATGCCCAAGAAAGGCTAAAGCAGCAAAGCAAGGAGCTCAAGGATGCCATAGCACAGAAGAAACTAGCCATGGACGAGTACACAGAAGTTAGCGATAAGTATGAATACATTGCATTCTCGTTTTTCCTACATATACGTCAACTTGGTTTCTTTGAGCACTTGGCTCACCCAACCCCCTTTTATTTGTGTGGTAGACTGTCAGAGTTGCGGACACAGAAGCAGAAGCTTTCCCGGCAAGTACGGGACAAGGAAGAAGAGTTGGAGAGCGCAATGCACAAGATCGACAGCCTCCGACAAGACCTTAGAAAAGCGGACAAGCTGCGAAGAGAGGCAAGTGAACCTTCGTTTTCGACACTAGCATTGAAGCACTTAGCAATTACGAGCTGGTGCATCCTACGTTAAAATGCCGTCCTTCCATCGAGCGCATGCATTGAGAGAGTATTCAAAGTAGCAGCTGACTCCGCAACGAGGAAACATCGAAATATCAGGGACGACAACTTTCAGAGACAACTGCTGCTAAAAGTTGATGTGTAACACTCTACCACAGAAGTCCCAGTAAGCTTCCCAGTCTTTGTGCAGAACTTCAGCCTTCTCTCTATCATGCAAGCTGCAGTAGTTCTTTGTAGTTCGAGTAGACTAGTGATATTGTGTTGCGGCGATAGAATCTTGAAGGAAAGTAACACGAAAGTAATAGATTCCATTTCTGTAATTCCTCAGCTACTTCTTTCGGGCTGTTTTTCACTACTGTTATCAGCTATATTTTAAAGGAAGTCATTGTAGTTGCAACCGGTTACATATTTTCTGTATTGTGTACAAGTCTCCTTTTTAGTGTGAAAGCACTGCTGCACTTTTGACCTGAATTGTAGCTCTGTCTGTGGGAAGCTTTTTCATGCATCAGAGATGGCTTCCCGGGAGCAAAGGCTTCATACGGCGAAAAGTACAAAGAGGCCGTGTGCATGTTGAAGGACTGAAAGCTGGGTCAGTTGAGGACAGTACTTGAACATATTTTAACACAGTGGATACAAGAGAAGAAAGCGCTGCGGTTTGTCCCGTCTTCTCTTGTGTCTGCGTAGTCGTGTGCTGTGTTGAAATATGTTCAAGTACATGTGCATGTGTTTCATACATAATATGCACGTGTGCCATGCTGCTTAGTCACTCATTCCTTATGCCTCACCTTGGGCAAAGCAATGCCTGCATGCCTATGTGAAATAAAAACAGTTTGACAACATCATCGCAACAGCATAGCATTTATTTAGCAACTGGTCAAACAATAGCTCAAAAATGCCTAGCTTTGTGCCTGAAAATAGCTGATTTGGTAAGCAAAAGTGCCTTTGTATTCTATTCTATGTACAGTGCAGTACAGTCAAACTGTCTGTCACACTCAAACCTCGATATAACAAACTCATATATAACAAAATACCGGTTAAAATGAAGTAAAGGAAAAATAGTCTTGCAATAGATATAATAACAGGAATAAAACTTAAAACGAATTGCAACATTGTTATAAGTATGGGCGAATTTTCTTTTCTTGACTTGGTGAGTGGCTGGATCTTCTTCACGATTGTTGGATCTGCATGTTGTAAGCCTGCGTGAAGTGAAAAACGCTCTTAGTTGCCCTCTCCGTTCCTGCCTTAGCTTGAAGCTCGTGCAGAAGAGACGCAAGCTGAGGCCCTGAAGGAACGGCGGTTACGAGAGCGCAGCGATGAGTATGTGCACCACCTTGAAGGGGAGCTTGAGAAAAGCCAGGTTGGGCGGCCAGCACACGATGTTTCTCAGGAGGTCTCCAGGTGGGTTGCTTCTTCGGGCGAAAGTGTTATGTGTGACCTTGAATGGTGTGGCCTTAAATGTGACCTTGAATGTAAACCCTGGTGACGGCACAAAATAGTACAAAATTGCCTCATGACCTTCAAGTGTGGCTCAATGTGCACAAGTGCTGTTCATGTGACTCGGCTTACAGATGGCTAAGAGTATTGCAGAAAGGGCCCATGATGAAAAATGCTGAGCGAGGACCTAGTACTTCGTATGATAAGCCGAAGAAGTTCTAAACACAAAAAGAAGCTGGACGAGTAAGAAATGAGACCTCGAGTCAAACAACTTGTTGGATGTAAAGGGACTGGCAACTGCTCAGAAAACACTGATTGAAGTAACCGCATTAATGGAAAAATTGTACATTGTATTGTCTCAATCAAACGCTGTTTTTCTTGTTAAACACAAATTTGTATTTTCATTTATTCACTCAAAATTACTCTTGGCACCTCTCATGGCGAAACGGTAAAGGCGCACTTGTGGGTGATCACGTGACCTATTACGAGTGCACGCTATAGAAATCTAGCTGAGCTTTTATTTTAATCTTTTTTAGCTTAAAGCTTACAGATATGCCTTCGTTTGTACTGAGCAGAACAGTGACGTCGCCTTTGCTGGGCCGATGCTCATCAGCGGTAGCATGAATGCTGTTAGCTGAGAGCCTATGCAGCTGCCGTCAAGTTGCAATCCAAAAAGCACCTTGTGGCCTCCGCGATTAGCTCTGAGCAAATGGTCGAGGTCACGAGCACTGGAAAACTTAATCTACCGGCTCTTTATATATATATAAGTGTGTGTGTGTGTACACAAACACACACACGCAATTAGACCCCTTTATAACTTTATAAGGGATTTGCACTGGAAAGCGATTCTTGTCTTTTATATGAGGTGTGTCATATAAATAAGCAGGGTACTACGTATGTATTTTCTTATCGTCTTCTAGTTTAATGTAGCCACACTGGTGTCTCTTATACCCATTTGTTTCTTACGTCAGTGTGTCTCATAAAGGCGTTGGACTGTATTCTGAAACAGTTGAAAATATCGATATGAATGTGTTAAATCACAGCTTTGTTCACTCCTGTGAAAGCGCAGCTTTGAGCTGATCTCATGAAGAGTTTGGCAAGGTCTATCGGCATCACTGTTGCATCACAGTGTTGCTAGAGGACGTCTACATACAGTTTTAGAGGCCTTTAAATTGAAAAATACTGCTTATAAATTAACTACGTGTTTTTCGGATTAACCGTTGCATCTACGAACACTAAGTATCTTGGGCTTTCTGTTGCGTTATGAAAAACTGGGTCCAGAAAAATCGTCTGGAAAAAAAAACAGGAAGGAAGGAAAGAACTTAGTTTGATTTACATCATTTTTGCTGGTATGCTTTCCATTATTTCTTTATTTATTGACAAATACTACTGTCTCGATTGAAGGGACATAGCAGGACTAGGTACATAAGTTAGTTAATTAAACACGATCATACAATGCATATTAAAGGTATCACAGTGTGTAGTTCAGAAATTCTTCATCAAACTGTTCATGTGGTTTTTCCTGCAAGGAATCATCTAGGCTGTTCCTAATGTTTTTCTTACATAGGTTGAAGAATGAGCTGGAGAACCAAGAGATGAAGTTTCGGGAGCTGGAGATCCAACTGCAAACGCGGCATGCCAATGAGCTGGGCACAATTCGTGACCAATTTCGAGAAGCCGATGGGGCCAGGGATGCCCTGCTCAAAGAGGTAAGTCACTCTTGGTGCATCACCACTGGGTCTCACCGACTGCCACACATTTTCAGAGGTGCAGGCAGTGTTTGTTAGTCGTAGAGTAGCGGGCTCTTTTGTTGGAACTGGCCCTCGAGCAGGAAAACGCACCTCTTCTCTCCTTTACATGCCTCTGCTCTAGCACTCCATCCATTACTGCTAATAGCAATACGTTATACTCCTGACCTCACCTTCCCAACATTAAACAGCATTACCCTTTTGCATGTTGTTGCGTGTCACATTCACGCTTCTTATTGCCATGGCCAGCAGAGTAGCCTGCAGTCATCGCATTTGTAATGGAAAAAAAAAGCATCTTCGGTGCCATCTTTGACATTTAATCAATGCGCTCTTTAACTTAGAGGAGAGATTGCATTTAGAGTAAAAGAAACCTGGCATCCGAAGAAGCTTCTATGCTCAGAACTCGAAAATTTCTGCTGCTCTTTTTGAAAGTGACAGGACGATAAGTCGCTTACTGATACTCACCTTCCCCCTCTCTTTTTATTAAAGAAAAAAAGCAAGCAAGCATGCAGTCGAGTGCATTTTACCCGTGCCACTAACCTGTGAGACATACGCTCAGCGAATAATGAACAAGAATTGCAGGAAATTGAGCAAGTATGTAGACGTAAGATTAAAGACAATGGTGATTGCTGATCACTGGTTCTTGTCCTGCATTGTACATACATTAGGCAGACAATAATAAAACTAGTCTGGGCCCCTATCAGCGTAAAAATATGGAAGACTGGACTGGTGTTTGTAGCTTTACTTTCTTTTGTACATGGGTCATGTCGAAGGCACAAAGCCAGAGGAGTAGATTCTAGTCTCGCATTGCAGTCGTTGTTCTACTTTCACGCTACTGAACTCTGATTGTTAAAGTGAATGTCTCTTATGCTCGAGTTCTTGCATGGTTTTAATGGCTTTTTATTCTTTTAGTATGCCATTTATATAGACTCTTGGATCAGCTAGGAAAGATCAAAGAGCGTTACCTTGTTCTACAAAGGTAGCTCTCGTCTTGTAATTTACAAATTTTAGAAGAATACTATAATTCGTCTTTACATTTTTGCAGGTTATGTTACTAAAAGAGAAGAGTGAGAAATCTCGTGTTGAAAGGTAAATCTTCTTTTTTGTACTCTTGCGCGGGAAAGTCTGCGAATCGGCTCAGTTGCTCATTGAATCAATTCTCACATGGGAAATCCAGACATTAAATTGTGCAAATTGAAGGGATGCTATATGAAGTGATTGATTGATTGGCCAATTGATGACAAACAAAGGAATCATCACGTAAATCTTTTGTGTCCTTTTGTTATATGTATGTGACTAAGATAAGTTTTTCTGCGGAGGTTTCATTGGGACTGCTGGTCAAGCACTCATGCATTTTCTGTATGAATATCAACTCAAGCACATAAAGGTTTCTTAGTAGATAACCTTAGCTTTGTACAAAAAAAGAAAGAAAATCGGATAGAGGAAGAGAAGCAGCTTTATTTTGTGTCTGGCAAGTTATACAGAAGTGGGCAGTATCCTGCGTAAGCATCAGTCATGTGCATGCAACATTTCAGGGGCACATAACAGATATGTACTATTGATTATGCAGATGAAACATGTCTTTCTTTAAATGGTAGTGTAAAGTACATAGCATTGATAAAAAATACTATACCTGGCTCATGACGAGGTGGTAACTAGGCTCATGAACGGCACGTGACCTCGTCCCATCAGATGTTTTCACTTATATTTGTGAAAAGGTCCTTGAAACAGTTATTTTGAACACATAGTTATTCCAAACATCGCAGAAAAGGGACACTGATGAGGCCACACAACACAGGCGCTGACTTCCTATAGGATTTTATTGTGTAAACTGGAATTATATCCCTTTGGCGGCAGTGTGTACAATTGTACTCATCAAATTCTGATAAATGTCATGCACAGCGTGTTTGTTTAAATGGCTTGAAACAGTGTGCACATTCCTGCAGGCTTTCTGAGAGAACAAACAGCAGTCGCTTAGCTTCATTGCACGGTGTATTGCTGCAGATGATCACCTTGCTGGAGACGCTACATTGTTCGACGATCGTTCAACGTCGCCCATTTCACAACCAACGTAGAGTTTTTTGTTGTTGTTGCAAATGAGCGCAACCAAAAATCAAACTGTGTATGCATTTTGAAGCTAATATTACATTTTATTTTGCAAAGAGTGAAAGTGACTAATGACAAAGTAATTATATATTAAACTACATGCTGCTTAACATTAATCACTCAAACTCACAGAAAACAACACATTTTTTTATTTTTTTTCTTGAAATGTAATATATAGTTCCTTGGAATTGTGCCATGCAGATTTGACGCATTTCCAGACAGTGCATCGAAATTCGCACCGAAGGGAATATAGGCAGTTCACTGTTCATGCAGTTACTTGTCAAGGAAGTCGCATATCTGCAAGGTTAACACATTCAAAAGCCTGTAACCTCAGTCGTCCTTTTTATCATGCTTACCATGTGTTTGTCTTGTCTTTTTGTGTTTAGATATTTCACATTTGTGATATAAATACTTTTTTGAAGCCTGCGTCTGTGTAGTGTGGCCTCATCAATGTCCCGTTACTGGGACGTTTGGAATAACTATGTGCTCAAAATAACTGTTTTAGGAACCTTTTTGACAAACCCACATGAGCTAAACCCTTTGATGGAATGAGGTCCAATTGTGCTTTTTTCTTCAGTGGTCAGATGTTTGTGCTGATTTGTAATCAGGCGATCATGTTTCAGTGCCATCGAGAACCAGGAGACCCTAGCGGAGATTAAGAAAGCGCACGAGCGAGAGAAGGCAATGCTCCGCGAGGAAGTCCACAAGCTCAGTGAAGAAAGGGAAAGGGTAAGGAGCGCAAGAATGAAGAAACCCTGTGCTCAGTACTTTCAAGGTGCCACTCACAGCTCTTTTTTCAATAGTGGCCTGCCAGGTTTGTGGCAATTGGCTTTGTCAAAAATTGTTTCCAGGCAGAACACTGCCCTTGTTTCTGCACTGTCGATTTCTTCAAGTCTTTCTGTGAAGGTCATGCCTTGTTTGAATGATACTGTGTTGAGTCCTGAATATGATTTAAAGGGACACTCAAGAAATTTTCGCAGCGGAGGTTTTCAGCTAGATGTAAAGATTAAGTACTGCAATTAGCGGACACACCTTTTATATCAAACAAAAAGTAGTGGGAAAAGGTGAACTTAATCCTTTTTTTTTTCTAAACTGCTGTGCCTAGCAGTTGTGTTGTAAACTAGAGGAGGTTGTTCTATGTCATTGGAAAGGGGCGTTTCAATTGTGTGAGCCATCACCTATGTGTCTTAATCCGCTCATTGCCCACTACAGTTTCTAGAACCGCTACGAAAAGCCTTGGCAGTAAAGAGTGCGCCTGAGTGAGGTGAAGTTCCAAAAAAGTGTGGCACGTCTAAGGGCCTTTGTGAAGAGGAATGGGGGATGTAGAGGAGAAATGGAAGAAAGGAAGTAACTGGATAGAAGAATGCGCACTTTGCATCTGAAACGGTGACATCACCGCTAGTGCTGGCATGCAGCCAGCACATGCTGATAGCCCTCTAAAAATGCAGGCAAGTGTTAAAAAATATGTAAGGTGAACTCCGTAACGGAACAGTCAGGTGCTTTTAGTGGAATTTTGTTGTTTTAGTCATTCTTTTCTATTATTCTTCTGTTTCCCATAGGCCCTGGAGCACTTTTCCTCTTAATCACGGAATAATTTTGCTGTTGGACCATGTTGCTCACAAACCTCATAATTGAATCTATTCAAACAAATTTGCAGAGTTAGTTCTAACTGAGCCTAATTCATTGATTGATTAGAACAGATTTACAGAATTCATTTTAATCAAACTTGATCAATTGATGGATTAGAACAAATTTGCAGAATTCATTCATCAAGTACAAGCAGTTACCGAACCCTCGTACGACTTTCTCTCTCCTTGAGATCTCACCAGTGCACTCGAAGCTGAAGTAATGGAGAAATGGCAGTGGGTCCATTTGATCGGCAAACTGCCACTATCCCAGTTGCTGCAGCATTTTTCTGCATGTTGGTTCACATTAGATCACTAAAGCATTTATCTGTTTGAGTATTGGTAGAGTGTCTCGCAAACAAAACAGCACACAAGACAGAGCACAAGACTTTTGCTCCATCTTGTGTTTGTTTCCGAGGTGAGTGTTAAGGTTCGGCTTAGTTGGCAAGGCGTCGCGAAGAACACTCAAGCACAATTGAAAATACAAATTAAGCAAGGTGATGCACTCAGGGTTTCTGGGAACACCTGCTTCACCCAAATTCTCAATTGCACTTTGATGGTCTTCAAATGCTCCTGGCTCCTGGCTGAGCCTTCGTTTGCTTACAATGTCGATTTATTCTTCAGCATGGCTTTAGCAGTGTATAGGGTGACCTGGTGGTATTATAATTAGTGTTAAGGCGTTATGCAGTGTAGTGTTATGCGGAAATATGGAGTGAACACAACAACGTCATCGAGGCAACACAAGCACGTGTGCCATTTCAAGTTGTGCAGAACAGTGTCCATCATGCGCTCAAAGGTCGCAGGTGCATTACATAGACCAAACGGAATGACGTTGAATTCGTACAAGCCTTTGGGTGTGATGAACGCAGTCTTCGGTCGAGCGTCATCAGCCATGGGTACTTGCCAGTACCCCAAGCGCAGATCGAGAGAAGAAAAAAAAATCGGCTATGTGAAGGCTGTCAATTGCGTCATCGATGCGCGGCAGCGGGTAAACATCCTTGCGAGTGATCTTATTGAGCCGTCTGTAGTCCACACAGAACCGCACAGAACCATCTTTCTTCGCAACAAGAACAACAGGAGACGCCCATGGACTGTCCGAGGGCCGAATAACGTCGCGTGTGAGCATATCATCAACCTGCTCGTTAATCTCCCGACGTTCAGCAGGCGACACGCGGTAGGGACGTTGCCATAATGGTGGATGGGCACCAGTGTCGATACGATGCGTAACAGCGGACGTGCGACCGAGAGAACTTTGCCCGACATCGAAAGAAGAACGATATTCTCGCAACAGATCCAGAAGCTGGGAACGCTGTACCGACGTAAGATTGTCGTCAATGTAGGGGCCAAATACATCTGGAGATGATGGATCAGAAGTGGAAACAGCTCTGATGGTACACGAATTGGGACAACGCGAGTCATTAGGTACGTCCAGGACTTGTGCGTTATTCACTGGTTCCACTCTGCCGAGACATTTCTCGAACCAAGGTAGCAGTGCACGGGGTGGGTTGGTCACAAAAATAGCGGCGTTGCCCCGGGTGATTTGCACGGTCGCGAAAAGTACTAGCAACACTTTCCTTCGGCAAGCACGGTCGGATGGCGAAACGAGTGCAGTTGTGTCGGAGAGTCCAGCGTAGTAGACAGATACACCCATCGTCGAGCTTGGAGGCACTATGGTATCGTCTTTCACGAGAATCTTGCTCAGTTTCGAGGGACTGTCTTCCAGCGTCAAATGTGGGAAGGGCGAGAGTTCAATTTCGGCGGCGGCACAATGGATGACGGCGTCGTTGCGGGAGAGAAGATCCCACACCAGGATGACGTCATGAGAGCATGCAGGAACGATGATGAATTGGCCGACATACAGAACGTCCTGAACGAAAACGCGAGCTGTGCACCCTGCTGTAGGATAGATACGATGCGAACCGGCAATACGAAGGGACAACCCAGAAATTGGCGTCGTCACTTTTCGAAGCAAGCGGCAAAAGTTTTCGTCCACAACGGATACTGCAGCTCCAGTGTCAATAAGAGCAGATGCATGAACACCGTCCACAAGCACATCAATGACATTAGATGGGCGGCTCTGAGGGCTTTCACAATGCGATAGCGTCGCAGCCCTTGCCTCGGGGACTGTGACGACTAGTTTTCCCGCTCGTGAGCAGCTGAACTTGGCCGCATGGGAGACGGGGAACGACATCGTGGAGACGGTGACCTACGAGAAAGTGAAGCTAGGCGAGTTGGCGGTGGCATAGACGGCGTTTCGTCGTAATAGGTACGCCTGATCTGGCCAGCAACAGGTGATGAGATATGGGGCGTCTGTACGCGAGTGCAATAACGTGCTACGTGGCAGGCATAACCGCAGGCAAAGCAAATGGGCCAGTTGTCGGGTGTGCGCCATTGGTTCGCCGGGGTAGGTCTTGTCCATGACGCAAGAGCCGATGGACAGAACGGTGGCTGGAAAGGCTGCGGGGGGTGCTGGAGCTGAGTCTGAGAGGGCACGTCAACATACGTAGCCGGCATACCCGCTGCAAAGGATGGAGGTCATGCGGCAGCTTTGGCTCTAAGACAGTGGGGCGGGCGCTTGGACGACTGGAGGCCGCCTGGCGACCACTTGGGCGTAACTTGGGGACGCAGGGGCCGGAAGCTGTTGTGGGTGGTACGCAGGCATGACCTCCGCTATTTCCTGCTCAATTGCTCGGCGGATGGGTGGAAGAATGGTAGTGGCCAATTGTTGAGCAGCCGGTGGGTGGGCAAAGGGCAGGAGAGAAAACTGCCGCGTGATTTCCTCACGTATGAAGGACTTGAGGTCTGCCAGCAGTGCCACCTGATCACAGCTCGCCTCCAAGCCAGCAAGCCCTGCATCTCGTGGTGTGGAGCGACGGGTCATCGAACGCTGCCGGTGGAGCTCCTCGTAGCTCTAGCACAGCGTGATGACCTCAGCTACTGTGCCTGAGTTTTTGGCAAGCAGCATCGTGAAGGCATCATCGTCAATGCCCTTCATGACGTTTCGGATCTTGTCTGATTCGGACATGCTGTCGTTGGATTTCTTGCACAGGTCCACGACATCTTCAATGTAACTGGTGAATGATTCACCGGCCTGCTGAGCGCGTTCGCGTAAGCGCTGCTCGGCTTGCAGCTTACGAACGGCAAGGCGGCCGAAAACGTTGGTGATAGCGGTCTTGAAATCGGACCAGGTTGCGAAATCGGATGCGTGGTTGTTATACCACATGCCGGCCACACTTGCGAGGTAGAAAACCAGGTTGCCGAGTTTACCTGCCTCGTCCCAATGATTGGGGACGCTGACGGGTTCGTACATGGCGAGCCAGTCCTCGACGTAGGTGCAACCCGCGCCGGTGAAGACAGGAGGGTTGCGGATGCGGGGGACTCCGGAGCATGGCGTCGGCGCAGGAGGAAGCGTTTGCTGAGCGGCGTCTTGGTGCATGGTAGAAGGCACGGTTCGGGATCTAAGCTCCAAGGGCATCGAATGCGAACCGAAGGTGTTTGAAGGGCACAGTACCTCCACCAAATTGTTAAGGCGTTTATTAGCCGTCACACAGCGAGCATGCACAATAGCGACAGTAACGGCCAAGCACGGGCTCTCAGCTCGAGTGGCATCCTTTTTGGGTAGACCCACTAGAAGGCACCTGAAAGTTCGACCGATTTCAGTGTTCAGAAGCTTCTCTACATTAGCTTTATTCTATCCAGCTTGCTGAGACGCTGCGGAGGCAGCTGGAAGAACGCCGTTGCCTGGAGGATGAGATTGGCCAGCTGAGGGAGAAGAAGGAGTCTGTTGCCCAGTGGGAAGCACAGATCAGCGAGATCATTCAGTGGTGAGTGTTGTTTCGCTCTTGCAAAGTTGTCTTGCAATGATGTGAGAAAAGTGTTTTTTAGCCCTGTAGTGAAAATACTAAATGAGCATTTCGTGAATTTTTTAATTAATCCTGTGGCACTTTGTGCAAATGTTCAAGTTTGTGCAGCAGATAACGATTTTCTTGCTGATTTTTGTTGCTTTTGTGGATATTTCAACATGGTTGAACAGAAAGGCTACCTGATAGTATAGCTCTCAGAACTTGGGACAGATTTGCAGGTTTAGAATAGATTTTGTGGGCATTTGTACAGTAGTGTAAGTTATTACTTCACTGGCCTCATTTCACTGGCAAAGCCACAATGAAGTGCAAACCAGTCACAGGGGATTAGATTTTGTTTACTACTATAACCCAAATTGGTGCAAAGGAGGTTAGATACGGACAGATGAACATACCACAAAGTGGGATGAGTCCCCAAACACTTTCTGCATTTAAAAGGCACTTTTTGGCATACTATGCATGCAATAAACCATCCAAGAGTGGCGAAAGCTTCATTCAAAATTGTGCTTGTAATACTCCAAAAAGTGACGATTGCTCATGGCTAGCTGAGGTCGTCAAGATACCTTCAAAGGTTACTGTAAAATGCTGCAGTGAGGCCTCTTGTAATAAATTGCTGGAAATGGCAATACTGCTGGTTTTACTCTTTCGGTGCGGTGTAAAAAAATAGCTTTCAGTGATTTCCACATATTGCTAAAGAAAGCATGTGAAATTTGTTGTATCCACAACACGCTACCATTAGGCATAAGTTCGTTTCATTATGTGGAGAATGCATTAAAAACAACAGGAGTGAACACCAATTAACTGAACTATTCAGTGATACGAGCTTTCTGGAAATCCTTTCTGAAGCACCATGGAATCGTATGTTAACACACTTCAGTTCTGTGCAGCGTGTATATAACTTGTATGGACATATTTTATAACTGTTCAGTGTTTCCCGGGTCCGTAATGTTGATCACTTCAACTAGTAGTACTGAACTTTTTGTGGCATACCGTGTCCTTTGTGAGCAACTCCGCCAGCATCACATCACTGCTGGTGAATGCGGAAACCGTGATTTTACGTTAACAATGGTGCTTCGTTACCAAGTTACGAAAATTGCATATATCGACCTTGAACTCGTTTGGCTGCCTCCATATTTTTGTAACCAGCAGGAGTTATAGCTTGAACGACAGCTTCAGCCTTACCCGTGCCTTTGCGTGCCAAATGGAAACACAATTCTCTGGATTAAAAAATTGATGTATTGCATATCACTGATGCACTTTGAGAAATTCCTGTTCTTTGCTGCCTAGCAATGTGTTGTGCTGGAAAAGGTTCGTAGGAGCTGAGACTCATTTATAGTAACTCAATTCCTAAACACTGTTAGGTGCACAAGTCTAGCAAAAGATTTCTGCATTCTTCACGAGGTATTCATTAAGCGTAACTTCACATGCAAATGTGAAAGTTCAAAGGTTTTACTGTACAATGGTTTCTGTGATACACATGTAAAAGAGACATCTACCGAGTAATAAATAATGGTAATGTTTCTTAGCCTATCAGTAATTAGTGAGTTGTGTAATCAGTTAAATGCATTTCTTGAATAAAAGCTTAGTCGGTTGGCCTTTGGGCCATGGTAGAACCATTTTATTTTTATTTTTTTGCTCGTCAGATTGCTGTGTGCTGCAAACTGTCGATGCAACTATTGTACAATGACTGATCGCCGACAGTGTATAAGCATTTGTTAGCACTTTCATTTCATGAGTGCACATTTACGGTCCCGTTGACAGGGTGAGTGATGAGAAGGATGCCCGCGGCTACCTCCAGGCATTGGCTACCAAGATGACCGAAGAACTGGACTACCTCAGGATGAGCGGTCTTCCCACGCCTACTGCGGTACGCTGTTATTTCGTGCAGTCGTCTGCTGTTGTGTCGTATTGCCAGTTTCCCAGTCTTGTTGCACTCATAACTTGAGAAGTAAAAAGTGGGGTTACACGAAGTACCAAGCCTCTTGGCCGACTATTGTGAGCAGTGTGAGTGCATCCCACCATTTGATGCGACACAGGTGCTGGTATGGGATTGTGACTAGATTTGACGTGTGATCTGTGAGGTTAAGCACTTACATTGGGAGGCAAACAGGGGCGTAAATCTACAGAGGCGGGGAAGGGTCAAAAGTTCGCCAGCCACGCTCTTGTAGGAATACATGTGACAATGGCCTGGAAATTTTTGACCTTCTGTACCTTCAATTGTCCTCAAAAGAAAAAAGAGAGAGAGAGAGAGACGACCTTCTTGTAAGCTAAAAAAAGAAAGAGCATGTAAACATGAACAAGAAGAAAGTTAAGACATTACAAGCGCCTGTCTTTTTAAAATGAATGCGCACCAACCAGCTCAGCTCTCAGTAATTCTAAGCTTCTTGCAAGGGTGCACATGCGACATGCAGCTTGGCTTGTGTAGCTGTCGATGGAATGGTGATGACACAATAATGGTAAATGCCTCTTTTTGTGGTTATCACTTTTGTGAAAATTTCGGTTGAAGTCTAGCAGACATCCTGTGTTCATCTTTCTCTGTCCTTGTTTTAGTTCTGCTAGCAACACTACATATTCAAGGCAAACTCAACTAGCCCACTGTGTTGCGTTGTGCTTAGTATGAGCTGGAAAGTTCAGTGTTGTGTATAAAGGAGTACACTTGATATAAGTAGAATCTTAATAATAATAATAATAATAATAATAATAATAATAATAATAATAATAATAATAATAATAATAATAAAGGCTTGAGTTTTGATTTCTGTTTGAACACATTTGTCTGAAACTTTAAAGATAATTGAAGAAAAATTACCAGGGAAAAGGTTATAAAGTTGGTGTAACATTGGGAGATTGCAAGAAAGTGAAATAGGTCAAGCAACGAACAGGGGTAGTGGATGTTCTGTTCATTTTAAGTGAAATAATTAACCTTGGCTGCCACGTAATGCGTAGGCAGTTGGTTAGAGAATTGGAGTAAGCTTTTAAGAAAGGGAGAAGTTAATGTGGTGACGAAATCGAGAAGTTTGGAGGCATTAAATGCACTAGGCCCACACAATGAAATCTTTTGAAGGTAGGTCCATGGTTCAATCAATGAAGATCAATGAGGGTAAGGCTTAGGCTGTCATTTTCTGGCCGCAAAATAAACCCGTCGAACTGCATGAATGTCATCTTATATTTCAGCCCGATAAAAATAATGTAGCAGTTCAAATGCCTAGGGATCACATATGCAGTAACAATATTTTCAATTAAGGGTTGAGCGGGATTAACATGTTCATCACATATCAAACGAAATGGCAAAAACCGCTCGAGCTATAGGTAGTTCAAGATATGCTTTTCTTAGACAATCTAGTATTGTGATTTACAATAGTCAACTCGCATTTCAATTATCGCCAGGTGTTTTTGTCGAGTACAATCTTCACTAACCTTGAAAGCTTTCACCTATTCCTGAAACGGTATCAAAGACATACGTGTAAGTTGTCGTGCCAGCATTCAAGTGCAGCTTTATTCAGTTGCTCTAAAGTTATTAATGTACACAACCCTTATAAATGTTGCCTTAGTGTCATGTTTTCATACCAGAAATCAGAAGTAGTACTATTATAACAAACCTCAGCAGAACTAAGGAAGAGAGCAGTGCGAGGAAAGCAGTAAAAAGCAATGAGTCGTGGTCCAGAAGGGATAGCATTGACACCTTGTCTTAATCTTGGGAAAGATTGCCTTTATTATACCCTTCTGTCTCTTCTGTACGGCTATTCTCTCATTGATATTGATTTGTTCTGCTAATGAGAACTTCATGCTATGTATTTAAATACCATCACTTAAGTTTACCTCTTCGTATGTATTGACGTTTCATGGATTCCTTCTTCTATTTTTAAATTGCATAAGCTCTGCCTCTCTGCTGAACATTATGTTTGTAGGCTCATCAAGAGGCCCAAAAGCAGCTTTTATGTACAAGTCCTCCATCTGTGTTGTAAGATGAGAAAATTAGATTGAAGAAAAAGCAGGACAAGTCGGACATCGTTGAGAGTTCGTCTCGTGGTGGTCTCATAAACGGAAACTGAGGATGACGATGACCTCTGCTCCACGTACAATAAGTGACATGGCTTGAAATGCAGGACAAGAATTGGCGCAACCGGCGTTCCCAGAAACTGGAGAAGATGGAGCTGCTGACCCTTCAGTCCAACCTGCAGAGCGAGATTCAGGCCAAGCAGGCTGTCAGTGAAGAGCTCACACGTGTCCGTGCCGAACTGGTCGCTCAGCAGAAGTTAGTGTTTGGCGTTTTCTTTTCTTGGCACACACCATGAGTGCATGAATTTGATTAAGGCGTAAAAGCTTATCTTTATCATTTTAGCTACTAAGAGTGTAAGTGCGAGTGTCTGTCACAACTTTATTATGAACCATTGTACCACAAAGCACTCGCGGTATGTATTTTTTACACTCAAACTGAGACAGGACCTTTATTATTACTTTTTTAAAAATCCTATTGGGTGCCTATACTGTGTTCAGAAAATATTAGTGTTAGTCTCTGACTAGAAAGTGCATGAAACATATTTAGGCTTGTACTGGGCCCAATCCCTTTTATACTATAAGTACAGTTAACACATATTCTTTGTGCCTCGAGGTGGGTGACCTCCTTATTCCAGGTACTAGACATAATTCCCAGTCGACAACCTAGGTATTAAAGAACAATATATTATGCTGGCTCATTTGGCAATATTTCACACTGTGAGAGATGAGATAAATGAGGGAGTGCGCATGTGTTGGGCGCAGGTATCGGGGGCTGTGTGTGGTTGACTGCGGAAGAACAAAATGGCATGAGTGTCTGGTGAACAGTGAAGGGGCGCGCATGTGTGCGCATAAATGTGAGAGTGAGGAGATAAGGGTGTCATGAATATGGTTGTGGATCGTCAAGTATGGTATAGTAGACTCTCTTTAAGACGAACTCTAAGGGACCACAATCATTTGTTCTTCTTATCAGGAGTTCGTCTTATCAGAAGTGCCCCAAACACCAAATCCTAACATGCCAAGTATGCCCAAATACAATACTTGAGAACACTGAATAAAGTATACAGTCGAGCCCGCTTATAATGAACCTGAGCCTGACACGGCATCCGTGAATAGATTATGAGTTGTTGACACTGATTAGAGAATAAGTGAATCATAGCCTTGAAAATTGCAAAAAAAAAAGGAAGAAAGAAAGCTTTCACGCTCTAGATTTACTTTATCGAAGACCATTAGTATGTGATGAGAAGTGTCACTGATACAATCTTGCTCTTGTGTTCAGAGAGCAGCGTAAACTGCAGCAGGAGCTTGACCACTTTCGCAAGGAGTCTACGAAGAAGGACTCCCAAATCCGGGACCTGCAGCAACGCCTAGATGCTGCAGGAGATGGATGTGAGTTTTCGCCACTGTTCAGTGCGTTTTCTCGCAACAACGTACAATGTAAACAACAGAATCCGCACTTTTAATTTAGGCAGTTTTCATATGACTCGATGCACAGTAATGGAGGACAAATTTCGCACATTTCAAGGGAAGAAATCCTAAAATTTCCTCACTTAAACTTCAGTTTAATCATCCAAGTCTTCTTGGGTCTTTCTTGCACATCCTTTATGCGGATTTTTTTTTTAGCCTAGCTCTTTCGTTACCATGCCTATTCAAATCGATCACCAGTGATCGACGCTTTTCGGCCATCAATTTTGGAATGTTAAATTTTTTTCTCATGCACCCAGAACATTCTAGTAGTTGATACAACCACTCAATTTTCAGAATCTTTTTTTATTTGCCGACTTGGGCAACATAGCGATTTTTTACAGACTATTGCGCGAACCAGTGTGTGTGAGTAGTTGGAAAAATGCACTAGGTTGGCGAACTTGACAGACGTGCGTGCCCCTTGTGATTATGCTACAGTAAAACATCAAAATTCTGTAATGAAAAGAAACTTTGCAAGCCAAATATCAAATTGATGTGTTAGCTTCGCAATTTGATCGAGTTGAACAGTAATAATTGTCGTAAATTTATGCCAGCTAATCAATAGAGAACTGTTGCTAGAAAACAGGGAAAATTAATACTACAAAAAAGTATTTCCCAAGGTCTGCCGCATGTATAAAGTGTGTAGGTGGCTCTCTCAGCCAGTGTCCAGCCACTTGGGTTTTGCTTGTATCGTTACATCAGACACAGGGTCACATCTAGTGTCGCAGTCGCTCCTATTACGCCGTCATCACACTCGCATGGGTGCGCATCACTGCTGCAAAACACATGCGCTGCTTGAAACTGTCTTGCAACTCCTCCTGAATTGAGTGAGAACGAGCTGAGATTTCGTGGATGACAGCACCTCAGTTTCAAGTTTTATGGGGACGATGTTTTGCGTCAGCCTGAGACATCCGTAGCCATTCATGGGTTTGTTTTGTGTACATCCTCAAGTTATCTCCTCCACCCCAATTGCGTATGGCTTCTGACTTTTGCGCATAATCTTATAGTTACTCAGGTCACGTATGAGGTCCACACTTCGCTAGGGTGCGGTGTGGTGGTGCCGGCTGCAGAGCTTCTCCTAACGGCAAGAAGGCCCCCGGAGCACATCTTGACCCTGACTACGGAGCAGTGTGAAACATTTTAGAACTGCGCGTGATATCGTACTTTTTTTATTACGATATGCGCAATGATGCAAAAGAATATGCTTGGATGCATATATTGGAACGCCAACCTATGCGGAGTGAGGTGGCTCATGGAAAGAGGTGACGCTAGATGAAATAGCGAAGTTCGTTGGACATTTAATTTATAGAGGGCTTATTCACATCACGGGTATCCATCTATATTGGAATACCTGGAGACTCTTATCGCAAGGTAACAAAAATTTACTGAGAAGAGTGTACGAGTACACTGGGGTCTCCCGAAAAACTATGCAATGCTTCACCGCATGTCATGAGCAATGAAGCAGCACCTTGGTTCTGATTTTCTTTGTCTATGTGAAGAGAAGCATTTTGTACAATACTAATTATTTTTATACTGTTCCGGGGTCATTTATCTACAAGATGTATATTCTGAATTTTCTTTGTTCTGAATATTTTTGTATAGTGTTTTTTATTCCACTGTTTACGAGCTGGGGACGAAAAATTTCGCACTTTTCACATTTTCATTCATTTGAAAATACTTTTTGTTGCTGTACGACCTATATTTTTTGGAAAGAGGATTTCATTCTGCAAAGTTTGGTATGCTGCAATGCCTGTTGGAGTACTTTTCAAACTGGAAAAAACGATCTTCCCGAGACATATGAAAAACAACCATTCTGGCGCGGTAACGAAAGAGCTAAAAGATGGCAAATATTCATATTTTTGTTTAAGGTCTACCATAAAACTTTTTTTAGGCTTGTGCAAATAGTGAATTTCAGGTTCAAAGTGAATTCAAAGCGAATAGTAATTTGATCGAATAACTTGCAATCAAATTCGAATGGTATGTATGACATATAGAAAAAAAAAGGGAATATTTATCATGACCAAACTAACTTGTACAATGTTTTTTTTTATTGAAATAGGGTTTCTATGCAAAGGCCTTTTTTTTTTCGTTAAAAAAAAAGTCGAACCAGTTGTGAGTAGTAGCGGGATTAGAGTTTTGGTAGTTTGTGAGTGCTAACCTGTACGAAACGTAACATTTAAAAATTTGTAATACTATAGAGCATATCAGCCATCATGACAAGCTTTTAAGCTTACTAAAATAATGAGTTCATTTGAGGGTGATCTGTTCACTTAAAAGTGCCCTGCAACACTTTTTCAAGTAGCCATGGAATGGATTCACCAAAGCAGTTTATTGCTTCGCGAATTCACCGCCGCAAAATTTTTAGAATCCGTCCAGCACGAGCGGAGTTGCAAAGATTTGTTGCACGCTGCGATTGCATTTTCTCCTCTCGTCCTGACGAAAGAGCTGGAAGCTAAGCAGGGAGGGATGGCACGAGGGAAGAAAATACGTCATGCGCACCTTGTTACTTTGAGCACTTTTTCTCTCTCATTTTTTTTTATTCGAATACGTGGCCTTTTAATGCAATCGCGCACGTACGCTTGGGCAAGTGGCGGCCTCCAGCGGAGGCCTTAGTAACGATTGGGCGCGCCATGCTCAAATCAGCCAATGGCTTTGACAAGTGATTTTTGAGCTTGCAGTGTAATTTGCCGAGAGAAAAGAAATTTTCAGCTGACTTTGAGGATTTATTGTGAATTGTAGGCCACATGCTGCAATGTAATATTTGGTTCTCGTGTTTTTGATAGCCTCGACTACTGATCGGCAGCGTTTTCTGACCATGCACAATAAGTCTTGCGGGGACCCTTAAAATTTGAAAGGGGGCTTGACGGCAAAGCGAATTTCCCCTGGATAGGCGCTTTCATGGCTTAGCGCCCCCACACTGCAGTGAAACCAGCTTTACAAGCAGTTACATGTGGACATACATTTATTTGTTCATTGCAAATACTTTGAAATTTTCAATAATTTAAATTCGAATCGAAGCGAATTAGAATACTTTACTATTCATTGGAATATTCGAAGCATTCGAATATTCGCACTAGCCTACTTTTTTATAGTACCACAGTGTGCTCACAGTGAAGAACATTCTATTAGAAATTAATGAAACTATTTGGTCATTTTTATCCTGAATGCCATGTTGATATCCATGAGAAAACTTGCAAGGGTCTCAAACTCAGCCCAGCTTGCGGGCCGCGGTCAACAAATTTAATCTCGTAAGGGCCAGGATAGTGAAGACTGTTGAAGCTGGGAGGGGATAGGAGGCAATGATAAAAGATTATAAAGAGGGTAAGCCTTTCTCTTATTTTAAACATGGGTATTTTTTTAAGGGGATCTGTCCTCCAGTTATTCAGACAACATATTAATGTTGATTGGAAGCGCAAGTAAAACCTGGATGTTGATTCTGTAATATAGTGGTTTTATTTCACCTTATGTGTTTACCAAAAAAATGCTTCAAGTCAGTCTCCTCTGTTGCATAGCATACCCGAACAAAGTGTTATTGATAACAATAGGTGAGAAAATACTGCATAATAATGGCAAGTGCAATTCAGCAAAATCACCAAAGATCAGTCACAAAGTCATGAAAAAAAAATGTTACGAAGACCATTATGGGCCGGCACGGGCCCTCACGTGATTGCTGTACATTAAAAGGTAGTACACAGTTACCGGAACACTGTCACCACAGAACACATATTTGTATCTCCTGGCTAGTGTCACTGTCAGCAACAAAGAAATCTGTGCAATGTCACAATGAATATGGTGTGACTGTACAAGGTCATTCGTTCCTTCTTGTCTAAGTGTGAAAAAAATTCTAGCTCTCTCACATGATCATGCAACAGCATGTTACGCCAGCAATGCCAAGGAGGGTTTTAAAACTATGACAAGGATTAGCCACTCTGGCTGGCACCGTTATAGAACAGCCAGACTGCCTGTTCGGCTTTTCCCTATATGTGTGTGCGTGTCAGCACTGCCATCCCCCACTGAGTGAAAACCCTCTCACTTTATTTGAAATGTGGTATCGGCCGCCATGTGGAGCTGGCGACTCCTCGATAGTTGTGTGCAGCACATCACCCACTAAAAGCCTTCTCTTCTGGGACAGTTGCTGTACTACGCACGTGAATTATCTGTGAAAGTGTTCGTACCTGTTCTACTTCTGACTCGGCACGTCTGCAGCAAGTGCTTTGTTGAATCAACACTGCGAAAGGGAGCTGCTTTTATGTTTCTGCAAGCTAAGCGCACACACTACTCCACGCTGCACTAGGGGCGAGCAGTGAGTGGTGATGCGGTGCCTTTGCATTGTAACCTGTTGAAACTGTGCAGTGTGCTTACAGTAATGCCAAATGTTCTACATCACACAAGACCAAGAGGATAAGTGAAGTTGCTTATTGTGGCAGTGTTGTCTGGCAAGTTGTATTGGCACAATTATTGATGGATGCCACAAGGCCTTCATGTTTTTGCAATGATTACATGTGGAGGTATTGCCTCACTTGCATTGAAGTCTTAATTTTTTTTAATATCACTCGGTGCACCTACTTAAAGGACAAAATAACTTTTGCTGCTCACATTGGCATCAGGCACATCGTGAGTTGAGGGTTGCAGTTAATGCTTAAGTGTCAATAAGTCATTGCAGAAGGCACTAACCATTAGACATGTGTAAGAGCCACTGCTGAATTATGAAGCAATTGGCAATTGCGTTGGGCTGCATGGAGACTCAGTTGAGTATAGTCGGCAATTGATTTTCGGGACCTGGAGGGAACTGTGAAATAGTCCGAAAAATCTAACAGTTCGAAAAAATGTTTAAGTCGTGAAAATGAAGTTTATCTGGATTAGAAAAGTCTTTAAAAATCCCCAATAATGCTCTGCTTTGTGCTGTTCTTGCGCATGAGTACATTTGGTTCTATTTGGGCTACGGTAACATTGTTGGTAAGTGCGTTGGAAATTGCTGCCGCCATCTGTTGCGGGCGGCAAAGTTGGTAGCTCCAAAGAACCAAACAAACTAAACTTGGTGCCGGTCGCAAAAAGATGCATGCAATGTCTCGCCTGTTTAGTGGGATTCAGCAACACGGTCTGGGCTTCTTTTACTTGCACCGACATCGTACAGTACGTGAGTCTCCAGCATTTTGCCACCATCAAAACGCTACCGTCGTGGCCGCAGTCAAACCCATGCGCTCTAGGTCAGTTGCCGAGTACTGTGACCGCAGAATGCTAGCAGTGCTAGTGAGCGCTTGTGAACAGCAGCGAGCATGTGACGTGCGCGATGGCTCAAGCACACTTGGCACACCACTAACGCGACCATGGCTCGCATGCACAATGACTAGAAAAACAAATGGCCAGAAAATAAAAACAACCTGCCAGCGTATTAACGGTGATGGTAAGGCTGACTGAGAAAGAAAAGCTTTGCCGTTTTGCTAGCCCAGAAAGATGAGACTTAGCCTTCGAAACTAGAAGATTATGCACACTTCCAATCTTGGAGGCCACACAAGTAGCCACTGCAAGCCCAACTCGACCAACCCAGTGACCAAGCCAACAAAAAATCCAACATGGCAGCTTTCAAAACCAAACGGCATGCGCCATAGCTCAAAACAAACGATTTAGTCCAGAAAATTGAACTTTGAAACATAAATTCATCTGAAAAATCTGTCACGAAAATGTAATATGTAGTGAAATAAGAACCTTGAGGATGGTGCATTTGTGAAGTCCGAAATATTCAACAAATCCGAATTTTTGGAGCCTGAAAAATCTGTTGGCAACTATATTCGTCAGAACTACATTTAAGGTGGGCACATAATAATGAGGATTTGCTGCGTTTAATGTTTATATTTGTTGATTAAATTTGTGCCAAATAAGCCTTTTGCTTGCCCCTAGATCCGAAATATAAAATTGCATTTTTATAACTGTATAGTAAGAAGCCATAAATTTCATTGGAAAAATCTGACATGTTCAAGCAAGAACATGCCGAGGAATTGACTTGAAGTGGTTTGCAGGCTTGTCCTGTGTGGTCAAATCAATGCTTGTCTGACCCTGCTATTGTAGGATGCTTGTGAAAGTAGAAAAAAAATTAAGACAAGTGAAAGGCTGGCGAAGTGATAAAAAGGTTTTTAAACCCTCCTGTCAATATTTACTTCTTCGTTACGGTTTTTTCCCCCAGTATACTGTGTGCTATAATGTGCGAATTTGTGGACAAGCCACACTGTAAACGTGACTGGTTGTTCGGTTGCCATAAGAACACTTCCGTTTACTGACTTGATGCCTTCGGTCCCAGTCCTGGAGCGACCCTCTTCGCAGATGTCCTTTCTGGACCAGTTCCTGAAGGACACGTCTAGGCTGAATCATAGTGACAGTGGCGAGTCGGCTGACCAGGTTACCAATGACACTGAAGCCGAGCTGGAAGGGGGACCCCAGTCACCTCCACTTCCACCGGTGGCAATCATCAACAAGACAACCAGTGCTGAGGTGCGACAGTTCACACACGTTGCTTGGGGTCAGCAGAGCAGAAACATTTCGGTCACCCATTTTATAATTTTTAGTGCGTCATAATGCTGACCAAAATGGTTGGCAGACATTTTTTGAAAAGGTAGCATGTACAAAACTTGCACAGGAAAAATGAAAAGGACAACCCATCATTTTTGCTTGTCCTGTGTTTGTGTTCTTTATCCCAGCCTTTCCTTTTTTGAACCGTGCAACTGCAATCAGTTTGAATCATATTTATAGGCTGTAGTTGGCATCACAGTTCCAGTTTTAATTTTTACCATTAATTATTGCCTGGTTCCAGTAGCACCACCCTGTAATGGAGGAGCAGTAAGTATGCGATCAGTTTTTGTGTACGGCCCCAAGCGTACACTTGTTTAAAAGGTTCGTGCACCTTGCCGTTGGTGCAGTTCCTTGGGTGTAACCATAGACTGCAATCACAGGGGAGGTCTGCTGCTCGGCTCTGCTCAGCCATACTAGTAATGCTAGAATAGAGCTTCCTCTCAGGCTAGTTGTTGTTCTATCCTAGACATCATATTTTTATTGCAAATGGGAAGGAAAAGAAAGAACTGGCTGAGAAGAGCAGAATACAGTGCATAAGGCACTGGGGGCACTGTCTTCTCCTCCTCTCAGCCAGTTCTACCACTAAAAATATGACGTTTGTAACGCTAGGTTCATGTCAAGAGTATTTTAGTAGTTCATGTCAAGAGTATTTTAGTAGTATTTTAGCATATGGAGCTTGTTGTTGTGTTGTAGGGTTTACCAATGTTACTTGAACTAATTAAGCTAGTTGTTGGAGGATGTTACATGTGTTCTCTTTTGATGAATGAGCTCATTTTTTTTTCTATTGCTTGTCATTTTCTATTTGCCTACAAGTGATAAGATAATAATGAATAAAACTAACTTATTTTCAAAAAGGTATCTGACCCACTCATTTATTGTGAAAGACACTATGTACAGCCCAAGTCCATAGCCAGAAGTAATGTCTTAGACCCCCACCCCCACTAAAATTTGGATAGAAGGGGGTGTTTTACCAAGAATAAATAATAAAAAGAAGTGTTTTTCAAGGCATCGAACAAGTGCCCCTCCCCCCCCCCCCCAAAAAAAAACCGGCTACGGGCCTGCTTCAGCCGCTGTTGTGACAGCACTTATAAAACTTTTTCACTTTACTTCTGGAGTCTGCTCAGTCAATAATATTTTGGAATTGCATAAGGAGCATTCTTTTCTACTTTTTGTTGAGCATTCAAATTACATGTCCATGCTCTGTACATTAGTGCTAAACCCAAGCTCCTAATCTGTAATGACTCATCTGCTCTTTTTGCTTCCTCTCCACTGTTCTTTTGCATTGTGAACAGTGCATTGTTTACCTATGCAGCTGTTTTGTCTGTCCACTTAATAAGCTGTGTTTGATGCATTCTCTCGCAGGAACACAGAGGAATCAAAATTTCATCGCCCATTGCTGACATTCGCTCTCAAATAACCGTTCTTGCACCAAAGGTAAGTTTCATTGTAGTGAGGTTATAATGTGCAGCTCAGTGCAATTGGATATTCTTGGCTGTTTCAAAAGCATCGACTGCCATTTTGTCAACATTTTATTTGAAATTGGTGAGTTCTGCTTTGGTGCCCTGTGATGGTGAATGAAATACAACATGTAGCATGCATAGACTTTTTTTATACTCAGCAGGATGTAGGATGTCTTTAAAGTGATTCCTCTTGCTTGACACAAAACATCCCAGTAATTTCTTGGAGCTTTTTCTGCCATAATGTTCTAGTTTGCTTTGTTTTTCTTTGTCAAGCAATTATCCCTTTGTTTATTTTCTGGTGCTACATCTTACATTGTAAACGTTGGTTCCTTCGAAGACAAGCTGAAAGTAATGTCGTGCTCTCTTCTTATCTTTCCATGGAAAGCCCAAGGCCCACCAGTTCCTAGTACGGACCTTTGTAGCCCCTCTAAAATGCAACCACTGTACCTCCCTTATGGTTGGTCTCATCCGCCAGGGGGGCAGTTTGTGAGGGTAAGTGTTTGGTTAATTTAATTGGAGATTCTTCAGTTCTGTTGTTTACATAATGGGTGTGTTTCAGTACTCTCCATAGAAGGCAAGATAGACAGCTAAATAGACAGTGGTAATCTTTAGTCCTATTCTAATTCATGTGTAGCTGGCTAAATAATCAGTTTGGTGAAGACAGCATCAAAGACCAGTACGATACAGGCTACAACTTAGCTGTCCGAACTAGGCGATGGTTGAGCGAAATTCTTCGATCTTGCCAAAGTGGATTGTCTGCACACAAGTCGACATTTTCTTATGTGCTCAATGTAACCCTTTCAATGTAAGCTATGTTAAGTTTTTTTGTTGACTTGAACTGGAAAAAAGTTCAAGAAATAGCCATTCTTTTTGTTTCTTTGAGCTTTCTCTCGATGTGAAGTGGTGTCATGTCACACAGACATTATCGATGTGTATTTTATTACTCTGATGACTCGACCTGTTATGCTTTCAGTATTTGGCGAACATGCGAGGGCAATGCAAAAGTACATTGTTGTGATGAGGAACTATAGGGTGCTCTGGAAAAGTGAGACAGTGCATTTATAAAAATTCATGAAAGGAACACTAAAGTCAAATAACAGTTTTTGTGAGAGTGAAAGCCCAATGTATGATGTCTAGAAAAACTGTATTTATCAGCAGCGGTGTGCTACTTGCCGAGAAATTAAGGCAAATGCACGAGAACACATGTGCCGCAGTAGGACAATTGTAAAATGACCCTGATGACATCAGAGTTACCACCAACATTTATTCACTAGTAATCGAACTAGGTGCAATAAAGAATCATTCGTGCATCAAGAGACGTAATAAAATGCTGCTTGTTCGTTTCTGTTTCATTCATGGAAAAAATTACCACCGGACGTTACTAAGGAGAATGGCGGAAGTGGCTCAAAAGTTCAATTTTCTCATGGTTAAACTGGACTGGTCGTGTCATCTAGCGGGGCCCAGTTGAACCAAAAGACGTCTGTCATCTCAGAGCCAATGTCAGGAAATTTGTCAGTGGCCGTTATTGCTGCTGTGGCTCCCGGTGCTTTCGTTCTGCTGCTGCTAGTGTTAGCGGCTGCGCAGTAAAACCAGGCAACAGGCACGGCAACAGTGACGTGAGACGTTCTGCTTGAGGCGGGTAATTTGAAGTGCGCTAACCCGATGTGGATCGCTAAAATGTGATTTTATTTCAAAATAAGCACTTTCTGGCATAAAAGTAACACTATGAGGTTTCTGGACTGCTATTTCAACAATCAACATCGACTTAATAGTTGCCTTTAGTGTCCCTTTAAGGCAAGGTTGGAAGATTGAAATGCTGAGGTAAAATATTGGTCAGAACAACTTTTCTTCCTAAAGGAGGTTCCTACCTTTCACACATTTTTCACTGGTTGATAAGAAAGAAAGAAAAAGTTCATTTTTTTATATCATTTTTTTTCTCGCTACTAATATTGTGCAGTGTGCGGTTTTGCCTGCCACGTCACATGTCAAGACAAGGTGCCTGCAGTGTGTCCTGTACCCATGGATCAAAGTAAGGAAATATTCTAAAACTTGAGCCTGTCCTCTCTTGAGTAGCTTTTGCCTAATTAAACAAAGCCACAAGAAGCATAAGTAGCTCAACAGTGGCTGTATGAAACTAGCCTCCAGTGCTTGAAAGCTCGAACGGTGCTCGACGCAGGTCTGATGAATTGGTAGGGATCGATACCACAACTTTCAGATTACGTGTCTGATTCTCAGCAATTGAGCTAGAGTAGCTGAATTCGTTGCACATCAGGTAGCTCAATCGGTGGAGCATTGGGGACGCATTATTTGAAGTTCGTGGGTTCGGCCACTACCGACGGCAAGTTGTTTTTTTCCTCCAATCGAATTCATATTCATTCATCCAACTATAGTTAAAAACAGTTAATAAAGTCCTTTATGTCTTTTTTGGCTTTATTGTTAGCTTTCTCGGGTCGTTTTAAGTGCTCATATCACACTTGCTTTCTGATGTTTGTATTGTTGTTAGCCATGAAGTAATTCAACATAGGAGAAAAAGGAACAGTAGGGCAGTGTTTCAGGGCTAGTCTGTGATTGTTAACTGAAGACAAGTGTCCCTTTCCCCATGCTGAGTAAATAATGCACGCTTATTTCCAGCCAAGAGGCCAGTCGGGATTGATCCCACACGAGGTGTTGGCACGGCTTACGAGGGTTATGTGAAGGTAAGTGCTAAAATTTAAGATTTAGTTTTAATATGCTTCTGCACCACATTAAACACCAGAAATGCTTGATCTTGTGAAGATGAACAATCAGAAATTTCAAAGTTTTAACCTTTAGGTAAGCACTCACAGTTAGGCTAAGGCATAACAAAGTCAAGTCTTGCAGAAATACTCTCGCTGTATTTAATATTGGTTGTAATCATGAATTGATTGCATGCTAGTATTATTGAAGGAAATGTCACATTTAGCACTGTATCTGTGTTTGTACAGTTGAGCCCCTTTGTAAGATGCATACCTGGAAGCAGTTCCTGCGCCTTATATGAGGTGTCTGTTATAAACAGGGTACTATGTCCGCATTTTCTGATAAATTGCTGTATTGATGTATGCACACTGGTGTCTCTTATACACAGTTGTCTGTTATATTGGTGTCTCTTATAAAGGTTCTAAAATGTAGTATTTGCTAGAAGATAAGGAAGGAAACGTAAAGATGTTAGTATTTATGTAGTCAGTCAATTCAATAATTGTGTCATGAGTAGCTGCCCAATATGCTGCCCCTATTACAATGAAAAACAGTTTTGGCCTTCGCTATATCGAAGCCATGTGAATGTAATATACTTGCTTAGCATAGCTCAGAATACAGGCATTACACTAACCGTATGAGCACCAATAAGCTAGGATTCTGTAATTAATTAAATTTGTTAAACCTGGTTGCTTAATGTTGTAACATGGTGCCCACATTTGCCCTTGTTGGTTTTATCACCTGGTTTTCAATATTAAAAAAAAAGAACTAGCAAAGTTATTATCATGTCTTCCAAGATTTCAGAAGTGCCCATCGCCACTCACTAAGCCTACAGCATCAGCCGTTTGAATGTGGCTCTTGGAAACCCTGCATAATTGCAGGAAACTCTGCGCAAATACTTTGTTGCCGAATATTAAGGACAAATATAAAGCAGAATAAAGGCACCAGTTCAAAGCTAATGAGCTATAGAGCGTACGATGGCCACTTGATAAATTCATGGTGGACTGCATCTGCTTTTGGCTGTGCGGCTTTGCTTTTTAGGTTTTTAGAGCCGTATCTGGCATTTCCGGTAAGCCACATGCATGTGCACTTCATGCACAGTATTTCTTACATGCTTTGTGTATAACATAATTTTAGATAGACTGAAATGCCCCAATATACTTCAATTTCACTGATTAGGAATTGTAGGTGATTAGGAACTCAGTAGATGCTATAATAATCCCTGATGTCGGGACGTTGGGTGTGGGAATTTCCGGATGTCGTTGGCACCATTTTCTTTTTGCACGCTTTCTCTCTTGCCAAGTATTATCTTGTGGTGAGCTTGGTGACATTGCAATTGTTAAAGAGTAATTCACCATTATAAGAAAAATCCTTTTTCTCTTTAGTGTCCCTTTAATTAAGACACAAAATACTAGATGGAGGTGCATGCGGTTCAGAAGAAATCTCTAGTGGTGTGCTCTCAGTTTGCCCTTCTTTGAATGTTGCCTAGGTGCCCAAGCAAGGTGGTGTTAAGAAAGGCTGGCAGCGCCAGTTTGTGGCCGTGTGCGACTTCAAGCTCTTCCTGTACGACCTTCTTCAGGACAAGAATGTGCAGCCCGCAGTGGCCGCGTCCCAAGTGCTAGACATGAGGTACCACCCTGTCTCTTCATGGACAGCATCATCACTTCTCGTCCTTATGGGGTGGTGGAGGGGCATGAGAAATAAAACCACTTGTAAACATACATGAATGTCAAGGTACAGAGTTTTTTATAAATGCACTGGAGAGAACGCTGGCTAATGCCTCTATGGTGCTGCAACGCATGATACTTCAGCCAGCATGGAAATCATGGGTGCACTCAAACCTTGACATAGTAATATAACAAAATGTCAGCTATAACGAAAAAAAAAAAATAGTATTACGATTGACACATTGTTACAAATACGCGTTTTTAATGAATTTTCAGATATAAGGAATTTATTTTTATGTAAGAGGAAACTGCATTATAATGAGGCTTGACTGTAGTACATGCCTTTATGTAAACTTCGTTGTTTTGGCTCTCTTTGGCTCCATGCAGCCCTGCATCCGCTTTGCCGCATGACAAAGTTCAGCAAACGTTCAACAGTTCCACTTCACCACCTTGACCCTTTCAGGCTCACCAATTCAAATCGGCTCAGAAAGTTCACAATGATTCACTCATTAATCCAAATCAAACGCCAAAGCACAACAATAAGCAAAAGCACTAGTGCGTTCAAAGCCGTATGGTGGCTGAACGATGGCAGTGCCACCCCTGACTTTGCTTGAACCAGCAAAGCAATATTTGCACCAGCATACATAGTCCACTTACATGCTACCCTTTTTGAAGACTCGGTGAGCTGTGTAAATTGTAGTTTCTTCTATCTATTCATTTGTATTACTTCAAGACATTTTTTTCACGTATTTGCGAATGTGCTCATGTGTTGTGCCTTCTGATGGGCTGTCCTCCTTATGGCTCTGTTCTCTCTTTTCTTTGCCTACAGAGACGAGGAATTCTCAGTGACGTCGGTGCTCGAGTCAGATGTCATCCATGCAAATAGAAAGGACATTCCTTGCATATTTCGGGTGAGGCTTCAGGATTTACTTTTCAGTGGAATATTCTTTATAGCTTAAAATGTATGTGTTTAGTGAGCTCGTTTCTCATCCAGTGTAAAGCAAATTTAGATCTTTCAACATCGTCACGTGCACTGGCTCTGAGGAAATCGTAGGTATTTTGCATTTGTGGTCAACATTTCTCAACATTGAAAGGTAAGCTGTTGATGCAAAGTTCACACAATTAACAAGACTTTGTTAAATATTTCTGGAATTTAATCCATGTTTGTTTAAACTGAGGAAGATAAAATGTGAACATCTTTTTGTTATGGCATATACATTAAAGGAGGTCATACATTGCAGCAATCAGTGTTGAAATTAGCTTTTTTTGTCGTTGCTCTTGCGCATCTTCGAAAATGTAAAACCGTTGCGAGTGAAAGCTGTAGGTGTGGGTGTAGTAGTTGTACGTGAAATCTGCAGTATATTTGTTGGTGGGGGTTATGGGGAGGGTTATATGAAAGAAAATGCAGTATGTGCTTTAAGTGTAGGCATATCCTAGAGAAAGGTAGCAAGTTATGTTCCTCCGTCTGAATATTTTGCAGTGAAAGCTGTTACGAGATCACAACTCGGGTCTTGCGCAAGAGGCGTAGATGTTCGCCGCCGCCGTGGATGTCTGTAACCACATCGCGCAAAGTTTGTCTGTAACCACATCGCGTGAAATTAGAAAAAAAAGAAAACTAATACCAATGACACAGTGGGGCTCGAACCTGGGTCCGCTGGGTGCCGGCCCAGTATTCTACCACTCAGCCACGCCGGTGCTTGAGACTTGTTTGCAAACTTGCCTTAGGCAGGCTTGATGTTGGGAAAGCAATCACGTTAATACGACGTATAAAGCATTTTAAAACAGCGAAAGAACAAGCAGTCATCGCACAATGCGAATAGCATAACAAGTGGGTCATCCAATGTTCTAACCAACTAGAAAAGCTTCTTTTTGATCACTTGTAAACTGTGGCGTATAGCCTCATCAGGCATAATTCTTCGTCGTCAGGCACTGCATCAACAATTGGCACAAAATTCCTCGCAATAGTTCAGCAGATACCACGCTTTTCAGAAGGACAAAAAACAAGCAGTCGTCGCACAATGAGAATAGCATAACAAGTGGGTCGTCCAATGCTCCAACCCATTACAAAAGCTTGTTTTTGTTCAGCTCTAAACTGTGGTGCATACCAACTTCATGCATGAATATTCTAATCGTCGTCAGCCACTGCATGAACAATTGGCGCGAAATTCCTCGCAATAGTTTAGTGGTTACCATGCTTCTCAGAAGAATGATGAAAAGTAGCATAACAAATGCCAGCTTACTACCCTAAAATTTTTATTATTAATGCTGTAGTGGGCCTTAAGCAAACGTGCTTGCAGCAGTTACCCAGTGAGTGTTTAGAAAAGACTCTGAAAGGCTGCTCTTCTAGCTTTCGCTGTGACTGTGCTGTGCCTTCCGTACAGGCCTGGTGTTTTTTGTCTGTATTATTTATTATTATTATTATTATTATTATTATTATTATTATTATTATTATTATTATTATTATTATTATTATTATTATTATCTGCATTTACAAACATAAACTAACACAAAGGAATCAGGGTAGCCACAAGTCGAAGCTGCCACGAAGATGGGTACAGTGCCTGCCTAATATTTAGTGAAGATTGTCTGTATGTGTTTATTGCAAATGCACACACATACAGAAAGAATAGAAGTCCTCATTTCTTCTAAATTCAATCCTGGCGATGTGAAATTTTCAGATTTAAACGAGACACCAAATTTTTTTACTAGAACAACTGGTGTGCACAATTGCTCAAGATAACCAATGTGATGCTAGTGACAAATCTGGTCTCGAAAGACAATGTTGGCTCTGATCTCCATTTTTTTTTAGTCTAAATTGCGCCAATACGACTCAAGCTGAAAATGGCGTGAATGAAAGCTTGTGCGTTACTTAACCCTAAACTGTCCCGCTTCAATTCTTCGCTACTGTACATGGCTGACCCAGTTGCAGGCTTGTGCAGCAATCGCATGCTGGTGACGCGCAGGTGTCGACGTCCATGATGGACCCTCCGGGGCTGCAGAGCCAGACCCTGATGATGGTGGACAAGGAGAGTGAGAAGGTTAAGTGGGTGGACGCACTCAACGAACTACACCGCATCCTGCGCCGAAACAAGCTGCCACACCGGACAGTCAGTGACCTCTTCTTCCTGTTGTTATTTGCTCAGACTGATTACACAATTGCACTTTGCTCCTATGAATTAGTGCAGTGCAACGAAACTGCAGGTTTCAGCAGCTGATTAGAATGGACATGTTCGCAATTGAGGGGGGGGGGGGGGGTAGCTCAAAGGTCAGTTTTAGTCACTGATTGGCCGGCATAATCTGAAGCTTCGGCTGCACGGCACAGGGTGGTCTATTCCACTGCATAAGACGTACAAATTTTGTAGGTGCAGCAGTTGCTTATTGTCTTATGTTGTATATTTTTAAAACCAGATTTTTCATGAGTGGGTTAGACTGTACAAATCGAATGGTATTGCAATGAACACAAGCAATACTCAAGGAAAAAATGACAATGCTTATGTGGCATGGGCCCAGTACACATATAACTACAAAATAACCTCAGTAGTGTATACATAGGACACAAACATCTTGATGAAGAACTTGAGAATGTGGGACACACCACACATTGTTAAAGAATATTGCCACTCAGAAATAAAGAAGTGTCTAGCAATCAATCCAGGCAATACAACTAGAAGCACTACAGTTCCGTCCTTAAGAAATTGAAACTAATTGTCCAAGTGTTTCGTACTGCATACCTCTTTGTATCCACTAAGTGCTACTGCAAAGTGTCGTTGCCTGTTCGGGTTTTTCGGCGTTCTATGTGCAAGTTAAAACTGTATAGCTCATTTAACATATGCAGTAAATTTCTGTAGAAGAAAGCTTGTGAAATTAGTTTTTTACTTCATTCTTTTGATATTTAGCTCAATTAAAATCAGATTTTTTCCACAAAACTGCATGTAATGATAAATCCTTTTTCATTTTTACTCTGAAGATACTGTGAAAAGTGCATGTCACTCAAACTATTTGACTATCGATGCCCTCAGTAGCCAACTCTTGGCTTAAGCCTTCCTTTGCAGCAGTAATATAAGCATTTTTTTATAGACGTAACACTATAAAACGTTAAATGCATTGTTACATTGGTGGTTTGGTTATATTGAAATATATATATTTATATATATTTTTAGATTTGTAATGAAAAGAGCCTTGATGTCTGATTCTGTGTGTCTATGCAGCCTATTTTTTGTATTTATATGTCACCTATTTTTGCTCGTATGCTATTTCTGTATTCTGTTATTATACTGCTCCTTGTATTGTGATAATTATTATTCAATGTAGCACTGTTTTCTGAACTTTTATCATTTCGCGTAGTGAAGCCACGTCAGGCCGAATGGCCTTCAGCTTCGCTTCGTTTTTCTGTATCTCTCCAGAAATAAAATCTGTTCATTCATTCATTCAAAAATATGTAGCTACCCCATCCAGATCAAGTACTTGTGGAAGCATGGACTCGCCATGGTGGTTTAGCAGGCAAGATGTCACGCTGCCAATATTCGAGAACATGCGGTCAATTGATGGCCACGAGAGTGAACTGCTGAGGGGGTGTAATTCCTTCACTTCACTTCTTAGCTTACTTAGATTAGATGCACATTGAAGATTCTTGGGCTGTGAAAATTAAGCAAGAGTCTGCCGCTGCTATATACCTCGTAATTATATATATTGGGGTTTTAGGGTGTAAAATTCTAGAATCTAGATAACTAAGCTTTTGGAAGCACACTGATAGATAGTTGACTTGTTTGGTTTAACATGTGTTTTCACTGTCTTGCTGCACATTATGTTTTGGTCACAATATAAGCAGAATTGCCCCATTACATTGCTTCATACTGTGTTTTGCAGGTATTCCAGGCAAAGGAAATCTTAGATAGCACTGTTGTGATTATCAAGAATGCCTTATCAGCAGCTGTGATAGGTGAGTTCTGCTAAATAATAGCGATACATTGGACTGATAATTACAATGCTCAAACTGTGCCCTAAATGTTTTTTCAGAACCAGACAGAGTCGCTCTGGGTACTGAGGAGGGGCTCTACTGTGTGGATTTGGATAGGGAAGGTAGGTTTCATTTGTTGCTCGCATGAGTTATCAAAAATGACCTGTCATAGTCCTGATGTGCTCGTTATGGTACTTGTTTGTCCACTGTAAATATGTAATTGATCTTTAGATTCGTAACGATGTGGAACATATTGGCATTATTCTAGTTGAAGAACTGTGGTGTCAGTATTATATGTCATAGTTTAGTGTGTATTTAAAGGAATCACATTCATGTGCATGAAGACGGCCAATGAGACAGGCAGTGTAGTGGAACAGCATGCTTATATTAATTTTGTAAGATGTAGTAAACAACAGTACTAACCAAACACACGTAGCATAACACTTGACAAGTGTGTGTTATCACACTCACTCCTCATTATCCTGCTCGAATTAGGTGTTTATACCTCGGTTGCGACTTACCATAAAATATGAGTAGCATCTTCAAAAAAATGTTGCTGCACTTGAACTCAAGCTATATGGCTCTTCACTATTATAAAAATTCAGTGTGAAAAACAGAGCAGGAAAAGAACACTCGTAAGCAGCAGAAGCTTTTATTGAGTGTTATTGAAAAACACATGTATACAGTTTAGCCCCTTTAGAGACATACATTGCAGAGCAATTGTTGTCTTTTATGTGAAGTGTCTTTTATAAGCAAAGTAACACGTATGCATTTTCTTATCAACCTCAATTTTGATGTTGGACGCATGATGTCTCTTATACCCATTGGTCTCTCACATCAGTGTCTTTTATTTAAAGGTGTTTTACCGTACACTCATGCAAAGAAACACATGTTCAAAATTTAAACAGCAAGACAGAGTTTATTATTTAGTCATTGGAACGTTGAAGTTTCAATTTAGTAGCTTGCAATGGGATAGATGGTTCCGCAAGACATCTTGCCAGATGTGGTAATGAAAAATGCTCTAATTTCTCGTACAATTTTTTTTTCTGACAGCAAAAGTGTACTCTCTACAGTGTTATATTAGGAAAGTTTGAACACGACAAAGCCTTATGATGTAATAATTTGTTAATTAAACAATGAACCACACTTCCAAAAAGAAGATGATATGACATATGTCTCTCAAGTCTGTATCGAAAGGAGAGAGCAGAAATGAGGCAGGCATAGCAGTGGGATTTGACTAGGTGCTATGAAAGTCTAGACTGCACAGGCACTCTTCTTTGTCACATGCACGCACTATAGCATCCATGCAGTTCCGTCTTGTGTACGCTTCGTGCTTGTCTCATCTCATGCCTGATGAATCGCTCAAATATTCATTAACCATTTTTCAACTATTGATTACTCCCAGTTATATTGAAGGCTAGGATGCAGCTCTCAGCACCTTTGCTTTCTCAGACTGATGTTGTTTTCCTTTTTGCGCATTTCTCCAGAAATTGCCCGCATTGGTGATGGCAAGAAGATTGCCCAACTTGAATACATTCCAGAGGAGCAGCTCCTCATCGCAATTGCAGGTACCACATGAAATCCATTGTTGCTGCCTGTCCACGCAAATACGGATAAAACACACCCTTTCCTAGGAAATACTTGGGTTTGCATGAGCTACCGTATTTACACGATTGTAAGACGACTCGAATGTAAGACGACCCCCCCAAAATCGCATCTCAAAAAAAAAAAAAAAAAAAGAACGCGCGCATTTTACACAAGATAAATTTATTCACGTGGTTGCGGAGGATTATTCATCGTCGCTGGAGTCGTCCTCGCTGGTGCTGCTGCCGTCGTTGCTGCTGCAGTCCCACAGCACGTCGTCGTCAAGTGTGAGTAGGCCGCAAGCTTCGCCTCTAGTTCCGAAAAGCGGCCAGACTTCGGCCCGCGAAAGCCACGGCGCTTGGAGTCGCACGAGAAAATTTCCTCGCGCTGAAGCCGCCACTTCCGCACCACACATTCACCGATTCCGAACTTCCGTCCTGCTGCACAGTTGTTGGTTTCCTCCGCATGAAGAATAGCAGCCCGCTTAAATGTTGCCGTAAACGAGCGCCGAGTGTTCTTCGAGCCTACGGCACTCATGTCAGACAGAAGTGACTCGAGAGAGCCGGTCGTGGACACAAGCGACAGGAGCACGCGGCGACGCGCCCGCTTAGAAAATTGTATCACAAAGAGGAGCTCTTCCGTCAACTACCAATACCCCCCTACGGCGGCTCTTCCATCGATTACCGGTGCTCCCTCAAGAGCCGCGCGCTCGTCATAAAGGCACTCGTAATGCGCGCAGTAGATGCTAAAAAAAGAAAAGCTTTTGTATAAGCACGCGGAAAACTATGCGCTTTGGGTTGAGCGGGAAACTATTCGAGATGACAATACATGGGTTTCGATTCTAAGACGACCCCCCAACATTGGATTGTCAAATTTGAAAAAAAGGGTCGTCTTACAATCGTGTAAATACGTTACTTCAGCAGAATTGATGCTAAGTATGCTTTAAGGATTATTTGCAGTATGAGTTCTCCAAAATTAGGATAAGAATCGACAGATGGTAACATGTAGTGGCATAAACCGAATGAACAAAGGAAGTGCCTCAGACAGGCAGGCCGATGTTTGGATAGGAGGACCTATCCTTGCCAAAGTGTGTGTTAACTCTTCCTTGCTGTGTGGAAATTGGCGTTTTTGTATGTCCAGTTAAAAATTTTTACTGATTCATTATTTCAATTTAGTCTTCATTTATTGTCACATCACTGTATGTGTGTCTTGTGTAGGAAAGCAGCGGCATCTGCGCTTGATTCCTGTGGGTGCCCTTGATGGCCACGATGTAGACTGGATCAAGGTGGCCGACACCAAGGGCTGCACCACCTTCTGCACCACCCACATGGATCATGGCGGAGCGCCCACCTATTACTTCTGTGTTGCCGTCAAGAAGCAGGTTCTCACACTTATAACCCCTTCTGTGTTTGTGTGTTTCTTGTTGTTGAAGAATTTTATGACAAAAACAGTGCCAAAAAAATCCTGGCGCTTCCACATGAATTTCTCCTACAAAGCACCCGTTGTCATGTGCGACTGTCTTAACATCTGTAAGCTTTTGTTTCCTCACATAATCATGGTGTTGTGTCACTTGGTCTCCATGCAAAACATCAGGCAGTCTTCTACAGAAAAAAGATTTTGAACAGGTTTTAACCGAATGCCAAAGTTATTATTTATCCTGGTGCTGAATCTGTGGTACCACAAGCCTAAGCCTCCTAGTGAACATTTGTTGCCATGGCAACAGGAGAATTGAGCGAATGCACCAGAAATACACATCGTTAGGCTCAGTGCGCTTCAAACCTGAGCTGTTCTTTTTTGGAAATGGAGGCAAAATGAATTTTAAGGTGTAGTTTTGCAAGACACAAGCCAAAGTAGTAGACTGTAGCACCATTTACTTTTTATTGATGACTTTTTATTGATCAAAGAATAAAGGAGCATTGTAAATGGCATTGCATGCTTTGCCTGACGCTAATGGCTCTTAGTTTAAGGAGATTGTCATATTTTTTTTATTCCATGGCCTCAGCTGACAGTGCCTACTTCCAGAACACTAGTCTTGAACTTGCCACTTTCTTGCCAATATAAATACTATAGCTAGGCCTGTGTGAATAATTGAGCACTTTGAATATTTAAATTAAGATTACAGTATTTGAATTTGCTTCTATTACAATTTAAATTCTTGAACATTTTGAAGTATTTGACATGAACGAATAGGTGCATCTTACTCAGCATGTAACCTCTCTGCAAAGCTGGTTTCACTACATTAGAGGGGTGCTGTACCATGATTACACCTTTCCAGCAAAAATCGGTAAATTTTAAAATATAACATATTTTGCAGGTTGTCACTTACATTCTACCAGAAGTACAATCCTGCTGCTATTTCCAGTTGCTTTCACTTGCTTTGAACCAAAAAAGAATACATTTTCATGTGCCTTCTTTCAATTTTAAAAATGATAATGTGCAGCTTAGTCGGGTCATGACAAAAACTCTCATGTTCTTTATAATATGTGATCTATACCATTCGTATTTGATTTGAAAATATTCGACCAAATCACTATTCACTTCAGACCCAAAATTTACTATTCTCACAAGCCTAATTATACCGTGGAAAGCCTCCTGCTGAAGTGAGTGTTCAAACGAGTTTCCATATTGGCCTCTGCCCTCAGGTGCTGGTTCATCAGGTGAACCGGACAAAAAGCCGTCACGGTGGCCGACAGGTCATCAGCGTTCCTGGCGTGGCCCAATGTCTCGATGTGTGGCAGGACCGACTCTGCGTTGGCCTTCCCTCTCTCTTCTACCTCTACAATCTACAGGGCACCGCAGAACCAGTCTGTGAGTAGGGACTTGTTCCTTGAATGTATGCGAATGATCAAAATGACACACAACGTCCTCCTCTCAGTCATCACCACTTTGTCCGCTCCTTTCCTGCTGCCTTCATTACTTAATCAAACAAGTACTCTTTTTGTTTTATCGAAATAAATGTAAATAAAGAACTCTGCATTGTATACGAATCATGGCTACGTCTTCTCACGCAGTTATATAGGGAACACATGAATGCACTAGTAACACAAAGAGAAGCCTGGGAAAGCAAAATTTGTATATGTACTTGAAATTAAAATGAGGAAAACAGAAATGAAAATAGAAGTTGTCTTTGTTGCACATTCAGTGTCTACTTAATTTTACCCTTTGCCTTTGACTGCGAGTGGTACTGTGAAAAAGGCTTTCATGGAGCGCCTGCCTTATCAATGTAGCAGACGCATGTTTCATGTATGCTTCGTATGCTTCTTCAATTTAATCAACTTTTACACCACTGGCCAAATATAAGCAAATATTCTGAGAGTTTCCAAGAAACAGAGAGCAGCAGTGTCCATTCATTATTGCATCTCTCTTGCCTAGTGAGATACAGATGCTGTTGCTGCGTGTTGTGCATCTGATCTGCTTTGCTTGGAATTTCTAACTTATATCCATGGAAAACCAAATCATTGAAGCATTGAAGCCATGCCGTAAACATATTGGTGTAATACTGTTTGCTTATAGTGGTATCCTAATACACTGAAACCTTATTATGACAAACTCATGTCTGACATAAAATTAAATTTGGTACATCTGAAATTTCATTTTAAACGTATATTTGTTGCACTGTATCAATTTTTAGGCTATTTTTCACTTGCTTTGTTATAACAAATAAATCATTAGATCCATTTTTGCAATCTTGAAATTTGAGTGTACCAGTATCATCATAACTATAGTAAGTTGAAGATGCCACTCTAGAGGTGTGCTCGGGCTTTGGCTAGCCCAAGAGCCTGAGCCCCGCTTGGCCCATAAGCCGGGTTTGGGCTACATTGCTTTCTGTCGAGTAGGCCCTGCCACACGCAAAGCCCAAATCAAGCCCAAAATGAAGACGTTGTGCCGGAACTGTCATCCACCACGTAGTGCCTTCTTTGCAACAGCCCCCAGCCTTTTCTTCTCAGTTCCTTTAGCCACTTCGAACGCTAGGGAAGAGGGTGAAGTCATTCAAGATGAGCATTGTGATTATTCATACACGAAAATTATCCCTTTTCTTACATCTAAGGTACTAAACTTCTGGAAGAACAAATGGTCCAATTGGGCTGTCCACCAAGCCCGCGACGCGGCTGAGGAGCTTGGCATCTCAGTCCCCACGTGGGAGCTGCCCGCAACGCAGTGATCTGTGTTTTGGAGGACCAAATAAAAGTTTATCCAATCCAATCCAAATGGTCCAATTATTCCAAGCTTTCTATTCTTCCGAAAAATGTATCGGCTATTCCAGCTATCAGTGCGAGCAGCTAACAGACCTTCAGTTAGGCAAAATATGGCACACATGAGCGCTGCACTTCACGGAAGCCCAAATAATTTGACAGCTTATTTTCACGACTACTTGTAAATATTGCATATAGTGACCGCCACGTGTTGTTTGCTTATAGTAAAACCTCGTTTATTCAAAGTCACTGGGGCCGCAAGAAATCTTTGAATTAAGTGGGTTTTAGAATCAACAGAACATACAGAAAGTGGGGGGATGCAAGAAACTTGAAACTATTCAAAGTAATCAGGGCTCGTTGTTTGCTAGTTTGCGTCTTCAAGGGTTACGTTTTTCCGTAATACCTGGTCTAAATTTTTGCCAAAAACACGGATGAATGGCTGGTCTCACTGCTGCCACCAGAAAAAAAAGAAGAAAAGGAAAGAAAGATACCGCTGTTGTGATTTAACTGAAATGTGCACCCGTGGAAAACAAGACATGCTTCACTGCAACACAGTTGTGACATGTGGGCAGCATGTCCCATGCACATCATGATGTGACTATTCGCCCATTCTTTCTGATAAAATAAATAATTTAATAATGGCCAATGTGATGAAATTCGCTATATGTTTTGGCTGAAAAACATGATCATTGAAGCTTTCGAACTTAGTTTTCGAAGTAGGCATCGCAGGCAGGAACTCCATCAGTGGTGCAAGTGTGCGAACTGCTAGAGCCACCGGCAATGGGAGGTTCGCATTCATTGCGAATTTCGCCTTAGTGTCCTTCATTAAATTTTTTTGGAATCCCAGAAAGAATGGTTGAATCATAACTCACTGACGTAGCGAGAAACATGTTATATGCTACCCACGCGTCACCGCTGTACTGCAGTGAAGCAAATCTTGTTTTTCGCAGGTGCACGTATAGGTTGATCACAAGGTGGCTTTTTTTTTTTTTGCACTGAAAGTCACGAGGCTGAGGTGCTCTTCAGCTGCGAATCATTAGTTTCTTTGCATTATAGCTCTTAAAATAAAGGCCGTCGTTTTTGTGGATTTGCGGCGAAATTGGTATCGGGAATAGGCCCATGGCACCTAAAGGTTTTGAATTAACCGGACTGGTGCTGACCGCCGCTTCAAATTATGCGCTCAGACTTACATTGTAAAATACAGGACCACGGAAATATTTTGAATTAAGCAGAATATCGAAGTAATTCTGTTGAAGTTGATGACGTTTTACTGTACTTTTTTTTGGTACATTGATTAGAGTAACACATTATCAGAAAACATCTCGTTTCTGCTGCGAACCTTCATAATGTCACGCCATGGCTACTGGACTGAGCCGGGCCCGGACTTTCATTTTCCTACGTTGGACCAAGCCGGGGGGTGAGGGGTGGGGGGTTCGGCAGACTTTCGCCACAGACAGCGAGCCTGGGCTCGTGCCCATTGCCTCCATTCGCTTAGCAATGCATTATGACTCTATTGGCATCTTGGTCTGCACTTCTCCTAAGACCACTGCTCTTGAACTCTTGCAGGTTTAGTCCAGCCTGACAACAACCTGTCTTTTCTCCATCACAATCCCATGGATGCCTTCATGGCTGTGGAACTTCCCAACAATGAATACTTGCTGGTTTTCAGCCGTAAGTAGTGGCTCTTTGACATTTAGAAAGAACAGTTTGAAAAAGGCACATTGCCTTGCGTAGTGTACATTTCTGTAACATCACTCCTATTTTGAGTTGGGGCTCTTGTCAACACAGAAATTGTTGGGTTATGCAGAGAAGATACAATGTGAAAAACAGGTAGTAATGTTGCCTTGAAAGTTGTGGCTTTTGGCACTACAGGAATTCTTGAATTATGCAGAGAAGATGCTATGTGAAAAACACGTAGTGATATTACCTTGAGTTCCCACTTGTACGTTTTAACAAATGCAACCAACACTGACATAAAAAAGAGCCATGTAAACAAGATGTGTTCTTTTTGTCTGGTTGTTTCATTAAAATAGACAAAATCAGTTACCACTAATTAACCCACATTTCTACCTTGGAATGCACTTCCATGAGGTATGTTATGTATGGAGTCGAATGAACTTTAGCAAGCCTTGTTTGTTGAAATTGAATTGTAATTGTATAGATATTTGTATGGCCCCCTTATTGTAATATTGAAAGATATGCAGATACTAATTAAGTAAATGCAGTTAGAAGTACATGATAAAAAAGATATTTCATTCACTTTTAAAGGGACACTAAAGTCAAACAATAATTTACGTCAGAATGAAAGCTCAATGTATGAAAACATCCAAAATGACAATATTATCAACAACAGTGTTGCACTTACCAAGAGATTGAGATAAATGCACAGAATGCAAGCATATAGCATATAGTAGGACATTTTCAAAATGATCCCGATGTCATCAGACAGACCCCCTATAATTAATCACAGGTAATCGATCTAACTGCACTAAATAAAGAAGCTTTCGTGCACCAAGAGATGCAATAAAATGATGATTGTTTGTTTCTGTTTGATTCATGGAAAAAAGAACCACCGTTCGTTACTATGGAAAATGGCCGAGTGGTTCAAAATTCAATTTTCGCGTACACAGGACAGGTGGTGCCATCTAGCAGGGCACAGTTGAAACAAAAAACATCAGCAATCTCGAGGCCAGTTGTGGGAAATTGATCGATGGTCGTTGTTGCTGCTGTGGCTCCTGCTGTTTTCGGTCTGCTGCTACTAGCGCAGTAAACCTGGGTAACATTGTGCACGGCAACAGTGACTGAGTTGGTTCGGTAGGTCGGTCCGCTTCTTGAGCCGGGTAATTTGAAGTGCGCTAACCCGATGCGAGTCACTAAAACGTGATTTTATTCGAAAATAGGCCCTTCCTTCGCACAAAAGTAACAATACAGGGTTTTTGGATCACTATTTAAATAATCAACGTCGACTTAATGGTCGCCTTTGGTGTCCCTTTAAAGGAATGAATGACAATAAATTCTGAGAAATTTAACACTGACAGTATTGCCTTTAAGCTCACGTCACGCTTACATACTGGCAGTTGTTTTGAAAGGAACACTAAAGAGGAATAATGGCTTGGTTTAGATTGACTAACTGCACTCTGAGAATGCTAATGCCATAAATTTCACAAATCAAGGTTGGAGTTTTATTTTCAAATTTTGTGTCGAGATCACTGTCTGTTACATCAGAAATTTGAAACTGTGCTTTTCATATTTTCGCAACATTGGCCTGATGAAATTTTCTGAAACTTCATATGCAAGGTCTATGGCACCAGCATATAACCGTGTACTTCATCTTTATCGATTAGAAGCTACGTAGGACCCAGTACATGCCTTCAAAATATATCACATCACATTGTTCAGTGCGGGAATTTCAAGGTGGTGTCTCCACCTGCATTTCCTTTTTGCGTTTTTATTCCTTACCAAACGTTCTCTTGCGGTAAGAGTGTTGTTTTCAGGATTGTGAACTTGTACTTTACTAATACATGAAAAATTCTTTTGCTCTTTAGTGTGCCTTTAAGCACCAATTCTCGAAAAAAATGCATAGACTTTGTTTGTCTTCCCAGTGGTCAGCCTTTTTTTCTTTAATGCAATAGACGCTTGTTTAAACAGAACCTGAAGAAACCAAGAAACTGTGTTCCGTTCAGTGGTGGTTCTGTTTACCGAGAGATGAGCGGAAGTGCAGAATGCAATTATGAAACTAATCATATCTGAAGTAGTTGTTCAATGAAAGCATTCACTTCCAACAAAGTAGTATTGTTAAGAGACTTCTGTTTAGCGAGAGCCTACTGTGAATGCAAATAAAGCCTTCAAAATTCTGATGAAGTGTTATTTTAAATGCCAACTTTTGTTATTTGTCAAAAGGGACTCATTACTAGAGTAACAATTAAAGCTAAACTTAGGGGTATGATATTTTGTCTTGACACAACAGTGCAGGTTGTTATTGTGACAAAATAAATTTCATTGTGTCCCCTAAAAGGTAGTTTGGGCTCATTTATTTTTTTTACTTTTTGGGAAGAGTTTTTTTTTTAACCCTTTTTCCTATTTAACGAATCATAGTGCAGTAGAGATTCCTGAAACATGCCAAGCTTCATCATTGGATTTTTAAAATACAATGTAGTGCACCTAGTGCACCAAGTCGGCTACAGACTTGCACAAAGTTAAACTCACTGCCATTAAATAATGGAGTGTCATGGTAAGCTGGTGCAGGAACTTAAAGCAAGTGTTGCCATAATGTTTACTGTATCTAGGCATGGTAAACACATTTTTTTTTGCAGTACAGTTGTAACTTAATCATGCAGCTTAAGGTATTTGCTCCTTTGGTGTCTCCATGTGATGCTGTGGCCAACTTGACCCTTCTTTGTGTCTACAGAACTGGGAGTTTTTGTGAATGGTCAAGGGAAAAAGACGCGTGACAAGGAAGTCATGTTCTCTGCCGTGCCCTTGTCAGTCAGTAAGTCACCTCTTGTCTCCCTTGTTGGCTATGCTGATTGCAATGTAGGCTCAGCTAAATTTAATGCACTGTACTGGTCATCCTTTCTTTTTCCTTTTTTTGATAGGTTAGTACAACATTCTAAGGTCCTGACGCAACAGCAGTTGGGGGGACCTGTTAAATATACTGTATTTACACGATTGTAAGACGACCCTTTTTTTCAAATTTGACAATCCAATGTTGGGGGGTCGTTTTAGAATCGAAATCGAACCATGTACCTTAGAATCGAAATCGAACCATGTATTGTCATCTCGAATAGTTTCCCGCTCAACCCAAAGCGCATAGTTTTCCGTGTGCTTATACAAAAGCTTTTCTTTTTTTAGCATCTACTGCGCGCATTACGAGTGCCTTTATGACGAGTGCACGGCTCTTGAGGGAGCACCGGTAATCGATGGAAGAGCCGCCGTAGGGGGGTATTGGTAGTTGACGGAAGAGCTCCTCTTTGTGATACAATTTTCTAAGCGGGCGCGTCGCCGCGTGCTCCTGTCGCTTGTGTCCACGACCGGCTCTCTCGAGTCACTTCTGTCTGACATGAGTGCCGTAGGCTCGAAGAACACTCGGCGCTCGTTTACGGCAGCGTTTAAGCGGCCTGCTGTTTAAGCGGAGAGCCTCCCTGGCTACTGTGTGCGGGTGGGTCCTCTCCGCATGGGCGGCCGTCCCACGCGATGCCGTGGTGCGGTCGTTCGCGAAGTGTGGACTCACACTTGACGACGACGTGCTGTGGGACTGCAAGCAGCAATGACGGCAGCAGCACCAGCGAGGACGACTCCAGCGACGATGAATAATCCTCCGCAACCACGTGAATAAATTTCCCTTGTGTAAAATGCGCGCATTCTTTCTTTTTTTTTTTTTTTTTTTCGAGATGCGATTTTGGCGGGGTCGTCTTACATTCGAGTCGTCTTACAATCGTGTAAATACGGTACATGGATGGGGGAGGAGGTTATTAGAATGATGGCAAACAATGGCTCATACTACGCAATAGCTCCCATAGATAGTCGAAAATGAGAAAAGAAGAGGGAAGATAATGCAATGTCATTTGTTTGCTAATAAATAACATGGAAAGCTAACAATACTGATAGGTATCATTTTTGAACAAAATTGTGTTCCCTATGTCTACCTGAAAGTGCTGGCCAGTTTGTTCTAAAGGCAGTGTAATCAAAAGTGTTGGTTATCCAATCCCGGATATAACAGCTTAGATATGCTCACAGGGGCTGTAATTAGAGTTCTGTACTGTATTTACACGGTTGCAATTCAACGCCCTTTTACATTAACTGAAGCGAGAAAAAAAGAAAAGAAAAGAAAAAAAGATAGCAGCAGTGCAGTGCGAGCTTGGCGGGCTCGCCAAGTGAAGGAGGGCGATACTTGGGTATCAAAGTAACCCTTGCACAGACGCGGCTCCGGACGTGTGTGCTCTGTATGGAACATGCGATCACGTCCTCGTCAAGTGCGCATTCAGTTTTCAGTCAAAAAAAGCATCATTATTATTGCCTTTGCTGCTACTATGCGGACTTGCACAAGCTCGGTGGACTTTTGTCACCATTGATTTCTTGGCCGCGAACCTAAACATCGTAACATGAGCGCTGCTGATGGATCAGCTGCTTGAGTGCAATCTTTTCGACACTCAATCTTCATGTTGTCTTATACAGACTTCCCCCGACAACATGCCGAATCGTAGGCTAGTTATGCTTAATCACTGTTGGTGTTTATCAGTGGCAGTCGCGGGCAATCAAAGTTGCGGGTTTGTGCGGAATCAAATTCTTTTCTGTGGCTTTATTTAAAGAAAAGGGGGCTTGGGTGGCACCTGTAACATTCAAATGGTGGTTCCCGATTCGATTGCAATGTAATATGAGGTGCAAGCCTGTGAAATTGAACGATCGGTACCATTCAGCGCACAAAATTTCTGTCGTGATAATGTACATAATCTAGGCGGCCTGAAACGTTATCCGCAAATTACCGTGATGCCACTTTCTTTTAGTAGTTTTTATTAACTTTTTTTCATTCATTTCGTTGGTAACGCGGGTCTTTCGATGTAAACTTTTCGAAATTTGAATGCACACCACATGTGCTTGCCTCAATTGTGAGATACAGGAGACCGCATGCTCAACACGTTTTGCGCTAATGTAGCCTATGAAGAAGGTTGTTTCGATTGTAGTGTGAATATGCGTGACTTCGGCGACGTACGTTATCAGCGGTTTATGCTGTAGCTGGAAATAAAATTTTCAGAAATTTTACTCTGGGTATTAGGCGCACCCAGAATTTGGAGCCGAATTTTTCGGAAAAAATGTGCGCCTATTATGCGAGTAAATACGGTAGTTCGAAGTGAATTTGCAGAAAATAAAAAGTTGGAGGTTTCTTAGGCATATTCTTATGAGATAGCAACATGAAGGTTTCTTGTCCCTAGGTTTATGAAACCCTGGACATAATGCTTTATAGCATAAATTTACTTCTACGACCTTTTTGTAGGTGTTTCACATATAGCAGCACTTTTTTTTTGGTCATTACTGCTCTGAAACTTGCTGTAGCCTGAAGTTGGTCTGTGAACTCATTTGCAGGTTATTTTGACTCGTACCTCTGTGTGTACATGGAGTCCCACGTGGATGTGTTTGAGGTGACATCTGGGGACTGGGTGCAAACAATGAATTTGAAAAAGGCAAGTCATTCGAGGTCATACGTTCACTAAGCATGACTTTCAATTATCAGGGAGTGTTTCTTTGAATGTTTCTGCGCCCTGTTTTCAGACTGAGAGAAACAGCATTACTAGGAAATAATAGTCGCCAAACACAAACACTTACAAAAGGAAAAAAAAATGACATGAAACTACTTTTAAAAACCTTTACGCAATTGATCAATAAATCATTGATGGTTGCTGATAGATGCAATGCTGTATTGTCTGGAAGATTATCCCATAAAATATGTTTCATGTTTAGGGTATGTCACTATTTAAATGTCTTTAAAAAAATTGCCATTTTCAATTAAGAATTTACACAATTCTAGATGTGCAAGTATAAAAAATTACGTCTCTCTCTGATTCTGTTCAAAAGTTATGGTCTTTTTCACAACTGCCCTTAAACAAGAAAAGACATGTTTGGAAAAGTTATTGCTTGTTTTTCTTGAAACTTGATATTCATTTATTTAGTATGGTTGAAGAACTCATAATTTTAGAATGAACCAATGTTTTCAACTGAAACTTCTCACTTTTTTTCCAAAACGTTCAGTTGCTGTGCAACGAACAAAGATAGTTGAAAACTAGGAATAAGTCTTGATGGTATCTAATTTTAATTGAATGGCAACCACCAGAAACATGACAGTTTTTTTTTTGTCCTTGGCCTTTTAGATACCTTTATGACAGCACAAAGATGCTATATTGTTGCACAGCCTGCAGTTATACCTATAGCACTGCCAAGCCACATTATTTAAGTGTGGGGAAATAGGTAGTTATGACTACTGGAAAGCTGGGTAATTTGGTAATTATATCTTGATTAGTTTCAATTTTTTCTACATATTTTAGTAGATTTGTAAAATCGCTCTTCTGAAGGTGTACACAAGGCAATCAAGTTTTAGGTTAGAAGTATTAAGAAGTTCCTAAAAATGTCGATATATTTTAAATGCATGAAATCCTTGTCTTGCAATCATTTTGATATGTACCTCTGCAGTACTGTAGCTGATTGATAATCAGCAGTTTTAAGGGCATTGCTGAAATGCCCACATAGTCGGCAGTATGAAACACAGAAATTACCTGAAAATTTGCAATTCTATTTTAGAAAGTAGACATGCTGAACAAAACTTGTGCAACAACTTGCACAAATTTAGGTTTTCAGGACTCTAATAAAGCTGCAAAAAGGGCTAGTTGATGTGATTGAACCTTGTAATGCACTTCCAGGAACTGACAGCAACCAAGGCCATGAAAGACATACGTGGGTAACGCACGATCAAGAAGCATAATTTCATGAGCCAATGGATTGACTTGTTTTGTATTTCAAGTGTGGCCAGCAACTATAGACTATTTTAGCTTCGACATATGGGTGCCAACATCTTGGGCTATTAAGCCGATCTTTTCTTCTTGTTGTATATTGCGACGTCAATCGATAAGGCCATTAAATATTGTATGTGCCAACCCAACTGTACAATAAGTGCATGCGTATGTACCTACTGCAACACCATTAATTTAGTTATTAAAGGTGCGAAATGCAAAAGTTAACAGCCAATATGGCGCCACCGAAACCCACATGTAAAATAGTCTGTGGACTGAATGATTCCGTGGTATAAGTTCTGAACGAGTGGCAACAAAGGACCTAAACTGAAACGTGTAGTGTACACGTATCCTCGAAGGAGTACGGCCACTAGCGTGGGTCCAATCTTAGCGAGCCGCAGGGCAGACGTTAACCGTCGCCGTGGCGAGAACACGGTACTGGTCAAGATCGCAACACTTTACTATCAGTGGCAACACCAAAACGCAGTACAGAGCTCATTGCAAAAGGCGAGGCAGAAAAGCAGATGGGCTTATCCACACCACGGGCGAGAAGTACTACACAGGGTGCCGCGAGCACGTCTCCGTGGTAAAAGTGATTCACGGGGACACCGGGACAAAGGGCCTGGTTGCTCGAGCGAGGGCAAAGGTGCTCGTGTTGGCTTAGAGGTACGGGTCGGCGTAGTGTGATCACGCACTAGGACAGCGCACCGCTCTTCGGCCTAGCGTTCGAAAGGGGTGACAAAAGGTAACTGTTCACCCGGATTGCAAGGTACTGTTGGCGAAGTCCAAACATGCCCCAAAAAGGGAGCCGACGGATGGAAAAGAAATGCGTGCTTACCCCTTATCAGTCCCAGAAAGGTTCTCTCTTTTCCGACGCGGGCGCGCGAAACGTCCCTGAGAGATTTTGCACACGGCAACAAAGTCGACATCCGCTACTGGGTGAGAGGGGTTAACCGTCACTCCCTGCTCTCCCAACGCGACAAACCACGAAGGAGGGGAGTCATATCGGGACATGAGAACAGCTGAAATAGGCAGCAAAGCTCACGCAAAGGCGGTGGGATAGCCTGGTTTCCCGCAAAGATTATTTCTATTTACAACTCCTTATTCAAACTAGCATGTAGTTGTGTCACGAACGTATCTCGGGAACGCTTGCATCAGATGGAATTTAGAAAGTCGGGAGACAGGGGTGGCACAAAAAACTCACACTTTATAACCCTATATAAAATGCGAAAATTGAAAACGAAGCTAACACTCGTGGACATAAAATTACCCCAATAACAATACAAGCAAGATAGTCTGCAAACCAGTTTCAATTCGTTCCTAGCCCTAGCCACTGTTCCTAATTTAATATGACATCACAATCGCACACTCTTACTGTTCACGTCGGCTTCTCTTAGATGCCGTGTCTAGGTTTGTCACGTACGTCATTGACCTCCTCAACCTCTTCGCTTTCTTCGTCGATGGGTCCTGCCGAACGAGCCGCTAATTGTCATTGCCAGTGTCCTGGACTCCATCGTCTTCTTCAGCCCTGCTAGGTTAGGCTTGGCCTCGCCATGGACTCTCCTGACGGCAAGTCTGCCCTGCTGATCGATGTGGGTTGTCGTCGTCCTGCCGTTAAGTGGGAGAGCTGCAATTCTACCAGGAACTGCTGGGCAAGGGTGCGGCAAGTCCGAGCAGCCTCACTCGAAACCTCCGAAATCGACAGCCCATTCGTGGGCCTGTCACGCCGACATCCTCAGACCCGTATGGTCATCCTGCTCCCGTCGCACATAACGACGCTCGTTCCCCATGTCTTGGCTGCCCGGCGTCCCAACGCACAGTGCCAGCTCATCTTCTGAAATTTTTTCTACAGGCCTGGGTCGCGTGCCACGAGCCTTTTTCTGGCTAATCTTTTGCATCTACGTGGCTAGTGCGCGTGCTCTCGGGTGAATGTTTTTCTTCTTCCACACCGTCGCAGCGTTTCCACGTTTGGCATGTGCCTCATACCTCTCTTTTATTCATGACACGTTGAAAGTGTCACAGGCTGTGGTGTACTATTTTGTCCAAAATTTCAATCTTTTTCATGCTCATGGGGCCACTCGTGGCGCTGCACATCTGTTTAAACAGCCTGATGTGTAAATAGTTTGTTATATAGGAAGTAAAATTAGCATGTATTGAAGTTTGTAATATCAAGGTTTAACTGTATGTACTATTTAATTATTCTTCACTGGCATATTGAATGACTTTAACCCCTCCTATATGCCATGTAACATGGTCTCATAGTTTATGTACAGACTTGATACATAATTCGTGGGCCATTAATTTCAGCACCGTTTCTTCTTTCTCTTTCTTCAGACAAAGCCTCTGTGCCGTGATGGGCAGGTCTGCTTCACTCTCGTCACTGAAGCTCCGCACGTGATCTACATGCACCCGATCCACAGGAGGGAGTATGCTGTGCGCGTCTGTGGCCCTACGGAATCGGGCTCCCATCGTCCCACCATGAGTGGAGGGGGCATGACACACGTGGCGCCCCCTCTACGAGGATCCACCTCCTCCATGGCCGCAGCACTTGTGACTCGAGCTAGGCGGAGGTTTTCTGTACGAGAAGCCGAGAAACAAAAGGCGTAAGCTCCGACTTCATACATGTAATCTGCGGTAGACACTTTTCGATAAATCTTTCTTGTGAAAAGATATTTTTTGCTTTCAACAGCTGGTTTGCAAATGAGATTAGAATTTCTCCGTCATATATTCTCATTTGAAATGATCCAATAGGATAGCAGCAATGTACCTTGTGATTACCAGCATACATCTAGAGAGTTGGAGAGGAAGTGCTCAGTCAGTTTGGCAAGTGGTCAGTGAGTAATGAGTCACCTAGTAAACAGTTTCAGGTGCATTACTTATATTGTTACTTTCTGAAAGGCAGTAACATTGTTAGAAGGGGAATCATTATTTTTTATTAATGCTAGCTTTCACTTTACTCTGAATTGGGGGACATGGTTTCATATTGTCGCGGTTCAACGTAAGCAGTGCACCGAGACGTTGAGTCCGAGAACCGACGGCGTGTGTTTTTATGCAGGAGCCAAGAGCAGGCGAGCAAAAACAAAAGCACGTCGTCTTCTTCAGTCCCCCTTTTCACGAGACTGTTGGCGCGCACATCGTCTTCGTTCTTTGTTTCGTGCGCGGCATTTGCCTCCCCTTAAAAGAGCATCGCCCCGATGCTATAGCTGAGACAGTAATTTGCGCAAGAAGTCACTTTGTAGAAGCGACGGTGCCTCGCAGAGTCACTCGCTGACGTATGGCTTAATGCGCACTACGTGCACAAGCTCAGGTCGGTGCTGGCGACGCCTTGAACAGTTTGGGCTATCCGGGACGACTTCATAGGTAACGTCACTTAGTCGTCGCAGCACTCGATAAGGTCCGTAGTACCTTCTGAGCAATTTTTCGGATAGTCCCCGTCTTCGTACAGGCGTCCACACCCATACCCTGTCCTCGGTTTCGTACGTTACAGGTGTATGACGTTGGTTATAGCGGCCTGCGTCGTACTCTTGCTGTTTGTATATTCGCAGACGTGCGAGCTGCCTGGCTTCCTCTGTGCGTTGAGTAAACGCGTCAGCACTCGTTTCGTTGTCATTGCATTCGTGTGGCAGCATCGCGTCTAACATCGTTCTTACTTCTCGTCCGTAAACAAGGCTGAATGGGGTCATCCGTGTGGTTTCTTGTTTCACAGTATTGTATGGGAACGTTATGTAAGGGAGAATCTCGTCCCAGTTTTTGTGTTCGAAGTCCACATGCATTGAAAGCATGTCTTCCAGAGTTTTGTTAAGTCGCTCGGTCAACCCGTTGGTTTGTGGATGGTAAGCTGTCGACTTGCGATGAATAGTACCACTGAGCACCAACACATGATCTAAAAGCGCGGCCGTGAATGCGGTTCTGCGATCTGTTATAACGATCGATGGCGCACCGTGTCTCAGCACAATGTTCTCTATGAAGAACCGGGCTACCTCCTCTGCTGTGCCTCTCTGGATGGCTTTTGTCTCGGCGTAGCGAGTAAGGTAGTCGGTCGCCACTATAACCCAACGATTGCCAACACTAGAGGTGGGAAGTGGGCCCAAAAGGTCCATTCCGATCTGGTCAAACGGCGTTGTCGGGATCTGGACAGGGTGTAGCAAACCGGCTCGTTTCGTTGGAGGTGACTTGCGCCGCTGGAAATCGAGGCAGGTCCGAACATGATGCTTTACGGTAGCGGTGAGTTTAGGCCAGTAATATCTCCCTCGAACTCTGCTCAGTGTGCGCGTGTAGCCTAAATGTCCAGATGTTACCTCGTTGTGGCACGCTTGCAACACCTCAGAACGAAGAGTGGTAGGGACGACAAGCAGGTAGGTGGACCCGTCTGACGAGAAGTTCATTTTGTAAAGGACATTGTTTCGCAGACAGAACGACGATAGTCCTCTTGTAAAGGCTTTGGGTGCATTCTGGCTTCGTCCTTCTAAATAATTAATCAAGCCAAGAAGCTCAGGATCGTCATGCTGATGATCTGCGATGGTTGACGTGTCGAGGATTCCGAGGAACGCTGTCTCTTCATCAAAAGCAGCAGCTGACTCTATTGGTGATCGAGATAGGCAGTCGGCGTCCGTGTGTCGTTTTGCCGACTTATACACCATCGTTATATCAAACTCCTGTAGTCTAAGGCTCCAGCGTGCCAATCGCCCGGAAGGATCTTTCAGACTTGTTAACCAACACAACGAATGGTGGTCACTGATAACCTTGAATGGGCGGCCGTACAGGTATGGGCGAAATTTCATAACTGCCCACACCACGGCGAGGCATTCCTTTTCAGTGGTTGAGTAACTTGCTTCTGTGCGTGACAGAGTTCTGCTTGCGTAAGCGATCACTCTTTCCTCGTCATCCTGGCGCTGTACAAGCACAGCTCCGAGGCCAACATTGCTGGCGTCAGTATGGAGCACTGTAGGGGCTGTGTCATCAAAATGGGCAAGCACGGGGGTCGTCTGTAGACGTTGCCGCAAGTCATTGAAAGCATCTTCCTGTTCGTCGCCCCAAACAAATGCAACGTCATCCCTCGTGAGACGAGTTAAAGGTGACGCAATGCGTGCAAAATCTGGAATAAATCGCCGATAATATGCACAGAGACCCAGAAAACGCCTCACTGCCTTTTTATCTGATGGTGTTGGAAACTGTGCGACGGCAGCAACTTTTTCGGGGTCCGGACGAACTCCTGCGTAACTGACGACATGGCCAAGAAACTGCAGTTCCTCAAAGCAGAAGTGACATTTCTCCGGCTTGAGCGTCAGGCCTGCGGCCCGTATGGCCTTCAAGACCATTTGCAATCGTTCAAGGTGTTCGTCAAACGTTGTAGAAAACACAATGAGGTCGTCAAGGTATACTAGACAAGTTCTCCATTTAAGGCCAGAGAGAACGGTATTCATGAGACGCTGGAAAGTAGCAGGAGCGGAGCACAAGCCAAATGGTAAAACCTTAAATTCGTACAGTCCGTCTGGCGTCACGAAAGCGGTTTTTTCAGGATCCCTGGGGTCTACTTCAATTTGCCAATATCCGCTCTTTAAGTCCATGGAAGAGAAGTAACGTGCGTTTCGAAGCCTGTCAATTGAATCATCTATGCGGGGAAGCGGGTACACGTCCTTTTTTGTAACCTGATTTAGCTTTCGATAGTCCACAGAGAAACGCAGGCTGCCGTCCTTCTTTTTCACTAGAACAACAGGTGATGTCCAGGGGCTTTTCGACGGTTGAATGACGTCGTCTTCAAGCATTTTTGTTACCTGCTGTTCTATCGCTTCTCGCTCTTTTGAAGCCACACGGTACGGATTTTGATGGATTGGTCTAGCCGTGTCCTCTGTGATGATTCGGTGCTTAGTCAAGGACGTCCGGCCAACTTTTGAGGTCGACGCAAAACAGTCGTGGAACTCGTCTAGCAGCACAAGCAGGCGTTCCCGCTGTTGCTGAGTTAAAGTTGGGCTGACGTCAAGGTTAGGTGCTAGGTCACGTGGGTCTTGTGCAGGTGTTGCTTCGAGTGCTGAAAAGCAGTCATGAACATCTGCGATCTCGTCGAAATGTGCCAACGTTGTGCCTTTTGGAAGGTGCCGTCGCTCGGAGGTGAAATTGGTCAACAGCAAGTTCGTTCGGTTGTCAGTGACATTGACTATTCCTCGTGCTACGGAAATCCCGTGAGTGAAAAGCAACGAGGTTAGTTGGTCGGCGACTCCTTCACCGTCGAACGGTACGTCACATGCTACTGAAACGAGGATACACGATCGAGGCGGCACGACTATATTGTGGTCTTTGAGACGAAAGGATTTGTGCTCTGGTGATGTATGATCAGTCAGACGAGCACTCTCGTAAAATGAAACCACGCGATCTGGGATGTTGATTATTGCGCCATGCTCCCTGAGAAAGTCCATTCCTATAATTAAATCTTTGCAGCACTCTGGGAGAACAATGAAAGTCGCGACGAAAGAAGAATCTCCTATGCTGATTCTTGCTGTGCATCTTTCTGTGGGGAGCAGCAATTGACCACCCGCTGTTCTTATATGTGGTCCTGTCCATGGCGTTCTTACTTTTCTAAGATGATCAGCCAGCTTCCGACTTATTATGGAAAAATCAGCACCCGTATCGACTAAGGCCGTCACTTGCTCTCCGTCAATAATTACATTGAGGTCGGCGCTCACCATTTCGTCGTTGTTAATATTCGTCGGCGTCAAGTCGTTCTGTCGCGGCAGTACTGGGGACTTTTTATCGTCTTGTGGTCGGGCTGCGACCTTACCCCGAGAGGTCCCCGCCTTTAGTTTCCCCGGTAAGGGCTGGGCGACCTTGTTGCCCGAAGGTCAGCAAAAGTACGTCGATTCGGTGATGATGTCTGAGCAGGGGATGGAGAGCGTGACCTGTGGGCGGAATTGGGCTGGCGATGAGGAGGCGACTCGTGATAGGGAGACCACGTTGTTGAAGGTCCTCGAAAACCAGGGTCGTCATGACGAACAATGTAGTCGTCATTGGCACGGCGACCGTCGTACCCTGGCCGGGACGGGCGAAGCGATGTGTCGCGGTACCAACAATAGCGAGCTATATGGCCGGCACCACCACAGTTGAAGCAGAGAGGGCGCCGATCGACGGTGCGCCAAGTGTTCGTTCTGCGAAATTGTGGGCGTCTTATGTCCTCTCGTGGTGGTGAGTAAGGCGCGGCAAGTGGTGGCTGGTGGCATGGAGACATCGGAGACATGGGCTGACGTCTGAAAGCCTCCTGCAATGGTTGCGACTAAGGTGCGGCTGTAGGTGGCTGGTAGTATGATGTAATGGGCGGGACGGGTGGTGGTCGGCAGACAGCGTTGGCGTAACTCAGTTGACGCTGATCGCGATCGAGATCAGCTGCTGAAAAAGCGTGCCTAAGTTCGTCACGAACGACTGCGGCAACGGCGGTCACTGGTGTATCCACTGGAAGAGTCCAAAGCTTCTGCATTTCTTCGCGGACAATATCTCTGATAAGGTCACGTAGGGAGCCCTGATTGTCCAGAGTCACTGAAGCGGCGTTGATTGGGGTGGTAGTGGATGAGCGATCATATTGCCTCGATCTTTGGTGCAGAGCACGCTCAATGGCAGTGGCTTCTCTTATAAAATCGGCCACGGTAGTTGGGGCATTGCGCACAAGTCCAGCGAACAGTTGTTCTTTCGCGCCACGCATAAGGTAGCGCAACTTCTTCTCCTCGGACATGTTGGGATCAGCCCGACGACAGAGGCGCGTCACGTCTTCAGCAAACATTGCCACAGTTTCGTTAGGTTTTTGAAGCCTTAACTCGAGCAACTGCTGAGCCCGCTCACGACGGTCGACGCTAGCAAGATGTCAATCAGCTGCTGACGAAAGTCATCCCATGTGGATATACGGCCTTCTCGATTCTCAAGCCACGTGTGAGCGCCGTCATCGAGAGTGAAATACGTGCGGGCGAGCTTCTGTTGAGCATTCCACTGGTTGATGTCGGCAACGCGTTCGTAATGCTCAAGCCAATCTTCAACATCTTCGTGTGGGTCACCACTGAAGCGATCAGGCACAAGTGGCTGAAGAAGTGTTACCTGGGTTGGATTGGAAACGGGGCTGCCTTGTATCCCTTGGACCAACTGTGGCTGGCTAGCGGAGGCCATTGGTAGAGGTATGTAATGCCTGGTAGAATGTTCGTCGAAGGAGGTCAGCTCAGGAGATAGGCCTAGCAACCGCCAACTGAAGCGGTGCACTGGTGTCGTAACAAATGGCTGCGTGTCGGGACTTGATGAACGGCTCCCAGATGGGGTGTTGAGCATCGGCAGGCTTGCAACCCAGCGCCTCCACCAGTGTCGCGGTTCAACGTAAGCAGTGCACCGAGACGTTGAGTCCGAGAACCGACGGCGTGTGTTTTTATGCAGGAGCCAAGAGCAGGCGAGCAAAAACAAAAGCACGTCGTCTTCTTCAGTCCCCCTTTTCACGAGACTGTTGGCGCGCACATCGTCTTCGTTCTTTGTTTCGTGCGCGGCAATATGTACAAATACACTATGTAGGATGTCACAACGTCAGTTTTGTTGTGTTCTAGGCACAGAACCTCTACTAACAGTGAAATCATCTATGCCAGGGCTTGGCAACCTTTTCAGGCGGAGGGCCAAGTTTGCATGAAGCTGACACGGCGAGGGCTGAATGGCAAATTGAGGGGGTTGGGGTTGTGCTTTGCGGTCAAAGAATAATTCAGTGAATTGACAATAATACAGTGCAACCCTGATGATTACACAACTTTCTAGAGACCATGCAAAACCATTGTATAATTAGGGCATTGTATAATTGAAAAACTAAGAATATACGCAGGACACCCAGCCTTGCCTAAAAATTGGGTACAGACCGCCTGAATTAGCCCACGGCATGACCGTGGGCCTCTGCAAAGAAGGTAGATAAAATTATTCTTGCCAGTGGCAGCTAATGACCGCATTACAGAGTTGGAGGAGGTTTGATGGAATCTTGATTCACAACTTCAAAAAATCGAAGACAACGCGTATTTTTCTGCCGATAAACATCAGTCTGAAAATTGCTTGAACATGAAAATGAAAACGTAACCGCAATGGCAGCAGACTCTCGTCAGAAGAGCCAGACAGGCACAGTGTCATCGCTATCACATAATGGCGACAGACCACGAGTTTGCATGAAATGCCTTTGTGTGCGACTGAGCTGCGCGTGTTGTAATTGTTGGCTTGTGAAGCGCAACTAATGATGTTACGCTGTTATTATGAATGTTGACGTCAAGTGGAAGTAATTTTGCACGGTGAAAACAACTGCGCCATGTCCTTATGCGTGTGCAAGCCTGTGACTGCAAATGAAACCAAGGCAGGAGATCAGCTGTATGTTGACCAGAAAAAGTTTCCATGGACCGAAAACGTGAAAATATCAACTTTTCGGCCAGTCGAAGCTACTCTATGTGGATAGAGCTTGAAACAATGACGATCGCGAATACATATGCACACGATCAAGACATATGAAGAAGTGCATGAACTTACTGGAGAATAAATTTTCTCATTCTAAAAAGGCATTCTGTCTCAGTCTCTACGTTTGCAATCGTCAACCTATGGGAACGAAAGTTCATATGTTGCACTCGTGAATATTTGGTCGATGGTGAATATTTGGCATCATATAACCAGGGTTTTTAATACATTATTTCTGTGGAGATTTGTCGGGACCAAACCGATTTGCCGTCAAATGTGGGTCATTGTGAAACAGGGGGACTATAATCGAAGTTCCACTGTATACAAAATTATAATAAAAATCATGTTTATTTTTGCAAGCATGCACAATTTTGCAGATTACAAAGATAGGTTACAAATTAATATCCCACATGAGGTCAAAAGACTACCATGTCCGCTTTCAGCTAAGAAGCAATAAGGGACAGAGGGGGGGGGGGGGGGGGGGGTCATTTTTATATTGTGCCGGGGGCTGCATAAAAGTGACCCGTGGGCCGCAGTTTGCTGACCCCTGGTCTAAACGCTGGTCAGGTGAAAAAGAAATGTATCTGCAACCTCCTGCATGCTATCTTCAAGGGCTAAGTGCCCACTTTTAATGTAGCGTGGTGAGTACAATTATAGTTATGTTCATACTAATGATCATTCACGCACCTTCCGGTTGGACAGACATGTCTTCCCGCGCGTTATGAAATCACATAAACATCACACTCAGCACTATTGTGTCTGATATCTTACCTAACATCCTTGCTCTGGCTTCTCTAGCTACGTGGTTTCTATGGCGAGCCGGAATACTCTTCCCTTGACATTTCTCTCCACTGTAGCATGGGTGATGTTTGAAGTTGCAAACCACTCTTTAATTAGTGTCAAGCTCTAGTGGGACAAGGGATCCTAGTAATGCTCAAAATAGTTGCGGCCAATGAGATTGCCAGTTCAGTACACAGTGCATCCGTGTGACATCTGCTGTATTGACTGAAGAGGAGCTCCTTTTTTGTACTGTGCGCATCAACAGCGCAAATGATGTAGGTGAATGTTAGACATCTTTAGTCATGTATTTTTTTATTTTATTTAGCATGTCTTTTTTTTCCTTTTCTATGAGGCCATGTTTTTCTTATATTTGATTGAATTTCTGCAATACACTTCTGCTCATTGTCTATGGTCCTCTCTCTTTTTCTGTCGACATTTTTTCTGCACTGGAAGCCTTTAACAAGAACTGCCAACTTGCCCAATGACTGTCCTGATTTATTTCATAGCTATGTGGAAGAAAATTGGACTCCTTAGCGTGCATGCAGCTCTTTAATTAAAGCCACCCAATTGAAGGGGGAAAGAGTGTTCTGGGAAGATGTGAGTGATCTGAGTTTGGGATGCCATGCTGCAAGTATAGTGTACATAACCTGGTAACCCTTGCACCACAAATGTGGCTGCTAAGCGCTCTTGTAAGCCAACTTAACGATGACTCTTTAGGAACTTTTACTTCATCTATTCACTAGCAGTTTCACTTAAAAAGCACACAAAGTGTGATGACCTGTCACGAATCAAACTGAAAATGTGCTGCTTTCAGCATGTCGGTTCCTAGTTTTTGTGCAATTTAATGCAGTGGTGACCGGCGATCAAGAATGATATCTGCACCATCCAACTTCAACCACATTCAACACATGGGTCCCACTGAGTTGCAGAAGCTCATTGATCTACCCACGGTGAGGACTTTACAAAATTTAGTGCTTGTAGTGTTTATAAAATTTGTGTAGGTTTCAACAAAGCTTATGAGCGAAGGTTGCACTGGCTGCCAATGGAAGCTGCAAGCATGGTATTTCAAAGGAGCTGAATGATGTAGTTCGTTCAACACAGATTAGTCTTTCTGATTTTAAGCAGGCTTTGGCTTTGTAAAGAAATAAGAAAAATATGGCATGATGGTGTGTCAATAATGTTCTGACGGCGTTCGCAGTGGGTCATGTTAAAAGTAAGACGTGAATTGTAGTCGCAACAGTTCGCAAAATTTATTCCTGTGGATCATGACTTATTCATGCCTTCAGAAAAATATGATTGCTTGGAATTTCATAGAGCGATCTTTCAAAATATGGCTGCAAATATTTTTGAAGTCAAAATGTGGACTTTCTTGTGTACATATAGAAAGAGTCACGGGGTTTTTCATGCATTTGCCCAAGATGATGAAGGCGAGAGCCATCCGGTGCACTCATCATAATCATCATTTTCCACTGTGATGACTTCACCGGATGACTTTTGCATTTGAGTCCTCCCAGAGGCACAGTGAGAATGATCAGAGGAACAGTCAAGATGATGATGACCATTACAATCCTAATTTTTGATGATAATGATGCTTAAGAGCAAGATGATGATTAACCAGTGGGATAACCAGTGGAAAAATGTGATGGCTTTCGCCTTCCGGTGCGATCATTGTCACCAGTTTGGAGAGGGAAGCATGGTTCGCACAGGAACATAAGTCCAGCCTGCTAGCTGTGTTCACCGTGTTGCCTGTTGTGTGGCAGATCATGCCGATTGAGCCGGCTCTGGGCTCACACAGTATGCAAACTGGTGGATAAGGCAAAAGAAGTTACCTCAATTCTATCAGTGTGTTTGTTTTTAGATTATCTTTTTATTGTTTTTAATTATTTTCTTTTATTGGGTGCAGGAAAGTGATGTCTTAGCATCGCAAATCACAAGAGTGCTTTTGAGTTTGCATGTTGGACATATGAAAGACACTGCCATGACTTCCTGTTTCTAAAGGCCCCCTTTATTTTGTTCAAAGAATAAGTCTACTGTACTGCTCAGTAGTGCCTGTAATTTTCTTGAGAAGTGAAATAGCTGGAGGACTAAGGAAGTACTGTACTTCATTTCTCCTGCCCTACAGACAGTGCAAGGAGTTGCAGCCATGGAGGAGAAAAGAGCATGGGTCAAGTCTGTGAAGCCACCAGGTTTGTCGTCATCTTTGTGTATGGGCATTGCAGCACACATGTCCACCAAGATGTTTGAAACTGTTAGATGGTAGGCCTTTGAAGCTATTCTAGCTCATCAACATTGTTCTCTTTTTTTTCTTGTTTTCTCTGTGCTTATTCATCCATCACAATACACTTTTCAGAAGTCTTCCATAGCAAGTTGAATTTTTTTTTGCGCATATTTCTTGAATGTACTGACATTTCATGCATTAAAACTAACACTGGAATGATTGCTACTTAATTATAAGTTTGATAAAATGTCCTAAGGCTATTAATTTTAATAGCACACTTATACCAAGCGAAAAAATTGAAGCAACACATGTGTGCGCACAAGCGTGCATGTGTTCACCAGTTTTAAGAAATGCACCCAAGTATGTTGTGAAACAACACATTCGATGCCCTAGTCAGTGCATGTAAGCATTAACTGAACAGTCGGTGCATTTTATTGCAGATTTGTAGGTGGTATTTAGTGCAACGAGTGCTGCAGCATTCACACATGGCATTGTGGCAATGCTAAAGAATGCCCTGAAAAGTAATAGACGTTACTGTCAAATAATGGAACGGAGTGAAATTTTCATCACTCATGAGCTTGATATGGTAACATTGCTCATGAAAAAGTGAACAAGGGTTCTGCATTACCTTTGACAGTGCCTATGCTTAGCAGTAATTGCTCAAACAGAGCAAGGCAGTGACATTGTGTTGCGTCAACTGCCAGAATACATCACCGGATTATCACTAACAAGTACCCCATCAAGGCTGTTCAAATTCGTTTGGAACTTTCTGTATAATTCACAGGCTCTAGACTGAAACGTTTAAAAAAGCACAACAAACTGGGCAACAGAAAGAAAGATGAGATTGTTTCATGTTGTTACAACACATTTTGTAGCGTTTTGTTTCATGTTGTTTACAACACATTTTGTAGCGTTATTTATCATTAATTTGATATCAAAACACGGACTCGCTGAACATTCAGCACTTATAAAACAAATGTCACATCGGCATACTTTGCAAAAGGATTCACTGGATTGATTTGTGATCTCTGCAATGTGCTAATGCCGTAGGTGTTCCATTGCAACCCAAGCGGCCAGCACCACTGGCTCCTGGCACTGTACCCAGGACAGCTAAATCCTCACTGACTGCATCACCTGATGGATCGCTGTCATCTCAAGAACATGGCTCCATGCTTCAAGGCTCGGCACATGATGTAAGTAGCTCTGAATGGCTGTCGCGTTATAAAGTTCAGTGACATGAACATATGTGCCTTTAACTTGAGTAAACTGAATATCTAGCCAGTTTATGTGGATAGGAACACTCTAGTCTGGTTGCAGTGGTGTAATGTTGCGTAGGGCTATTTGTGCTGCAATTGTATTTCTTAGGCTGCATCTAGTGCTTTGGTAACTTTCTCAGTGCTGTGCTTAGGTAAACGTGCATAAGTCTGCAGTCAAGCCAAGTCACGCCTTCTTCTCTGCTCTTCCTGAGACAATTTGCAAACTTCACTTTTTCATTAACTGGTCTAACTGTCATCACAAACTGGTCAGCTAGCGGTGTGGATATTCTCTTTAAAAAACAGCTCCTGCTATGTCTGCATTATAGTATTCATGTCAGTGTTCCACATGAGGCATCTTTAGCTTTAAGGAGATGAAAAATGAGCAAAAAAATAAAAATACAGTGCTCAGGGTTTTTCACTTACTTTGTTTCCTTCTTTCCTTCTTTGAATAAAAAATGCCTGATACAGATCGCAACCAGCTCATTCAGCTGCAAGTCCGTGCTGCGTGTGTGCATTTTCAAGCACACATTGCTCGTTTTATAATGCGGTAAATTACTTAAAGAAGCACATGCATATATTATATATATTCAGATATATAAAAGCTTGTTGTAAGTTCTCATCCAAAGAACTGTAATATTTTCTTGAAGGTGTCATTGAGTGACGATGATAGTGACAAAGGTGCCAGTTCTTTAATTAGAATAATTACGAGCGTTTGTTCGAATATTGAGAACACTTCGTGAAATCTTGCGAGACATTTTTGTATCTAAAGCCTGCTGATGTAAATTATTGAATTTGATGCAGTTTGGATCCACTGTACTGTTGCTATATGGTTGCTATTTTGTGCTTATTCATGTAAAAAAAATCACCCTATTTTTCTTTGGTGCCATTATGAGTGGATCAGTGAACTTCTTACAACAACAGGTGGTTCTCCTTGAATATGAAATAAGCTATGAAAGTCAGCTAATTTACTTATCTAGCACACTTTTGTAGCTTTGCAACATGAGAGGTTTGGTCTTTTGAGCCATACACAATTTCCTCAGCGATGTAAACTTTCAAATGTGTACTGCCGATTTTCTTATATCACATGGCCTTCAACTTCAAATTAATCTACTACTAGGAAAGTTGCAGTATTGAATGATTCACGAACTTCATATGAAGTTTTCTTAATTTAGTGTAATTAATTCATTGTCAGGCTGATTTGTTCAATAGGATGTACTCTGGAAAAATAAATAATGTCAACTCACACTAAAAACGACTGGCACAGTATAAGAATTGAAAAATGTCATGCTGATTGGTACTCATTCATCTTCCAGTTGGTACTGTGCTCACAAAGAAGCAAACAATGAGAGGCATTGAGCATTTTTAAAGTACTGTTGGTGCAACTTTGACAATTATTATTGTTTGCATTTTTTGAAGGGCTGGTATGTACAATGACTCATTTTCTTCATCATTTTTTTAAAAGAAGGGTGGTAGGTGTCTTTTATCTCATCTCTTTATTATGCCTTAGGATTAGGCTCTTTAAAAAGGCAAAAAAGGAAATGTTCGCTTTTCAGCGAGCTCCTTAATGCACATTTCAGCCCCTTACTACCTTGGTTGGTTGAGCATTGCATTTGTAGTGAAGGAAGACAACAGAATGACATTTTTGCATACTAGTATAGTTAGTAACATTTTTACTTCAAAAGTAACTTGTTTTCTGAAATTACATTTTTTATTTTAGATTTTCCTGATGAGTATTTATAGGATGCTCTGGGCTATGTGCTATTGGACATGATATTATTCGTGCAATTACAGAGCTTGCAAACATTCTAAACACAAGCAAGAATGCTGATTTCTTCTTTTTTTTCTTAACCATTGTTAATGCAAGTTTTATGCGGTGCATAACGTTTAAAACTGTTCTTCACTCGAAGCATCTCCCTTAGATTAAAAAAAAAGAATAATGAGATCTTTTTGTCCTAGTGTCTCTTGTGTGTGATGTTGCAAGAATAATGAACTACCATGCACTTATACCTCAGTATATAGAGTGTGGATGTAATAATTTAGAGAGAGATATGAAGTAAAACAGAAAATTTATTGGCTGTGTTTTATTTCAATGAGCATTGTGCTATTGTAGCAAAATTGAAAATTTCATATCCAGTCGAACCTAACCTAACCTATCTTCACTTGCAGGTCATAATATATATATACCAAGGTGTCAAACTGAATTCGAACCAGAACTGAAAACTGTACTCAAGCTGGTACTCTCATTGAAGCTGAACCTGAACATAAATTTATATTTTTGGAATATGCCATAACAAAAGTAGAGCCTGAACTTGAAGAAAAAAAAATGTAATTCAAGGTATAAGCTACAGCAGTTGTTGCAGTACAAGTGGCGAGACTGTTTCTATGAAGACTCTAAATCAATCTGATGTGTGGTTGCAGAGACGGCCAGCTTCTGAAAGACATGAAGGAGAGATCACACATTCAAAGTAATTCTGCCATTGAGTTAGAATGTTTCAGGCAGTCTATCACGTCTCTCGCTTGGATCAGAACAAGGAAATTGTTATTTTGCTGTTCTCGTCATGTGTGTACTCACAGGAAATAGTGCACCACAATGTGACCTTTGACTCAACAAGCTCTGAACATGTTATTTATGTCACAATGCTTGGAAGGAAAGGAAGAATGACAGATGAGTGCCAACTACTAATTGTTTATTGGTTGAAAGTTTACTTGACTTGCAGCCTTTGCTGTCAATAAACAGTTGATACTTCATGCTCATTAGTTTTCCATTTTTTTCATCTTCATGTTCCAAGCATTGTGCTGCAAATAACATGTTCAGCAAACTTACGCGCCAATGTTGCCCAGGAAGAGGTTACTCAACAAGCACTATACTCCTCACTAAATGCATCTGTGAAGTACACTGCCCTTCTGGTGTGATTTTAACGGCATCATGCAACAGCTATGACACATGGTGTACAGGTGTATTATGCAAAGAGTTCTGTTGTCAGGCAAACTCTATGCAAGTTTTCATTTTGTGATATTTCAAATGATGTGACGTGATCATTTTTGTCTAACATTTTTATTTCACCTATAAACATTCGTATCAGTTCCTTCTGTTCTGCCAGAAGAAATGTGGGAAAAAAAGCGCAGGAATGCATGCTACGAAAAGCCACACGCTTGCCATGTGATGCAGTGCCTGCAAGATGGCCGTGTATTTGACTGTTTTTTTTTTTACAGTCGAATACACAGCCATTAGTTTGGCAGTGCTTTAGTCTCCTGGCCGGAGTTGCAAATATACAAGAGCAAGCCACGTGCCTTGCATTTGTTACTACTCAAAAGAAAAGAATATGTTTTGCTGCAACACGAACAGTGCTGCTTGGAATGTTTGAGCTTAACACTGTTTAGCATGTCAAAAGTAAAGTTTAACGTGCCAAATTGGTTCATGAACGGGTTCACTGTTGCAAAACTCGTTTGCAACCCGCTATAGGTTTTGATTTCGATAATTGAACCAGAGTGGTATGAAGTACATTGAAGCTTCAACCCAACAGAACTTTTTATTCAGCACGTTTATATGTATACTGATAGCAAAAGACAAGAAATACCCCACAAGAGAAGCTTGAAAGGTGCAGTGTCTATAAACGTGCCAGTTGTGTCCAACTTGGCTAGCCTGCAGCCAGGAAGCCAATGTATTACACCACTGTAATTACACAGCTGTATGTTAACTTGTCAATGAAATTTTAGTTGGAAGTAAACGCTTGTCCCATTCTTTTCCTCTTCGCCTTGTATTTTTCGCGCTGTTAAACCTCAATTATATTAACAGAGTGAAGAATTTTACCAGTTTAGCATCTGAAACTAATGTCATTGGATAATTTGCTGAGTACTAATGTGAGTAGTTTCCTGTAAGTTTGATTTCGTGTGCCATAACAGATGCACATACACCACCATTGGTGGCGTTGCAAGATTCCTGGCAAGTACTACCAGGTCACCACTCCTGCTCAGCAGCAGTTGCTTTGAGTGCTCTGAAACAGACTTCATTGTCGTAAACATGTTCACCACTTCTTTCTTCATTAATACCCGAGTGGTTAAGATATTGTGCCTTACTTAACTTCGGAATGTTTGTGTCTGAGTGTATGCTCTTAAACGTACACTCAAGAGAAAAGCCTTTTTTTTTTTTTCCTTTCATATGTAGTTCCTGCACCAGCTCACAGTGACATCATAGATTTTGATGGAATCTGCTAGGGACTATGTTATTTTTTTATTGGTAAAAATGATTTAAACTGTGTTACTTTGGAGACTCAAAGCCTGGGCATAGCAAGTTTGAGTAAACTTTATTGAACCAATGTGGCCAAAATTAAAGCCCCTAACACTTTTCCTGTAACTTGTCACATCATGCTGACATTTGTGTGGTAAAATATTGGTGCAAAACTGAAACATGAAATTTTGAGTTTTTTAGTTTTGTAATACTAGTCCATGACAGCATAATTGATGACAGTAGAGTTCCAAGAGAATAATTTATCTGTTGCTGTTTCACTTTAATGTCCCTTCAAGAAACACAGCTGAACTGTTGGGCATCTTCGTGTTTATTGTGCTGTTTTTGCTTTCAAAATGATTGAGTTGAAGACTTCGTGCAGCTCCTGGCCCTATAATGTATCTCACAGCATGCGTCTTGTTTTATTTTTTCCCATCACCCCCTGCACCCTATCACTCCAGGAGTCGAGAGGACAGCAAGCGAGTCCACGGCACTCGATTGCCTCCAACAATAGCTCCAACTTGAGCACCCCGCCGAGTCCCGTCGACTTGGGCCTCGGACTGGAAGACCCGCGCGAACAGTTCTCCTCCAGCTACGAGTCTCAGAGCTAAGGTCACGCTGCGATCAGACGTCATCGATTCAGTCAGCAACGTCACCATCTGTTACGTCATTAGCTGCCTCCAGTTCGAGCACCGTGGCTGCTCACAAGCACTTTTGTTTTATTTGTGTGTTTGGTGCTCGCGTGTGTCTAGAAAGAGGTTATGAAGCATATTTTTTGCTGCTTTCTTTTTAAATTTGTCCCTTTTCGCTCAGGTGAAAGCAGGCTGTAGGTGGCCACTGTGGCTTGTCTTTGCACCAGTGCGGTGTCGGGGACACACATAGAAGCACCAATGTCTTCATACGTTTTAGTGGCCACGCCTGTTTTCTATAATGTGGTTCTTATTCTGTAACTTGGTCGTTGACTGACCCTGCATACGAACTTTTTACCAGTGGTGCTGATAGCATCTTCTGCCAAGCTTTACAAAGTGCACAGCCAAGTCCAGCTGTTCAGTGGCTTGCCAGGACATGCAACCTCTACACTCGAACATGCTGGCTGTAAGGGCCAGTGCATCAATTGCGGCAAGTTGCTACTTAAAGGAAACTGCAGCGTCTCCACAGCGATACCAACCGGCTCGTGTCGCAAGTATTCATTTTCAAACAAAATTTGTCAAACTGTTTTGCGGCCTAAGATGAGGCAGACGGGTGACAGCGGCAAAGGTGCACGTAGCCAAATGACACGAGATGCTTATTATTATTATTTTTTTTTGAGCAACTCACTTCCAGAGCCTTGCCCGTTTCAAGTGTGTAAGTGCTTCTTTTGAACCTTGTTCTTTTTAGAGTTCAAGCGTTACGCTAGCACCAACATTGGAATGCTCAGGTTACTAGGGAAACCTTACTAGTATGTCTTTCAGCATTGTGTTTTGTGCTGTCGTGCACATAAAGGCTTCTGAATCAGAGTCTAAACTGGAAACGTATTAGAGCATGTTGCCTCGCATGCATCGTGCTGTGGATTCTGTATAAATGAACTTAGTACCCACAGTTTTACGCCAGCTGTTAAACATTGTGTGGATAATGTTGTCTTTCTGTTCCTCTGTTGGCAATATTAGTATATCAAACATTTAGTAGCATTTAGTGGTTCTCAAAACAAATGCTGACATTTCTTTTCCTTCTTTAACCTACACTTAGAGATTATATAGATGTATATTTGTAAAGGTACAAAATTAGTTATTATAAGCACACATATGACGATTCGAAGTAATCTTGGAGAACCCTGTGCATTGCTGCAGCTGCTCTTCAGTTGTCATTGAGAAGCGACTCTGTTATGAGAGCACATGTAGTGTTGGTGTGTTGTCCACAACATAAACAGTATATTAAAGGCAAAAAGGAACTCTGGAACCACACATTAATGGCTAGAAGCACAGAGCACTTAATTTTTTGCCACTTCACGTCATGATGTTGTTTGGCAATTTTGGTGTTTATGTGCAACATATACTTTGAAACGGGTATAAAGTCACTGCAGTGGCAACACATTTCCCTTTTTTTTTTCTTATTTGGTTTTTGCCCAAGATATATTTTTGAGGTTCTGACCATAAAAGAGGTATAAAGCTTGACATATTTGGACGTGCCAACAGGAACCAGCAGAGTCGCGATAGCGTTCTCATATCTGAATTTCGGTAAAATGTTAAGTTGGCCTACATAGAAAGGTCTATACGCAGTGCTGCCACTTTCTGCAGTAACAGTGATAATTATTGGTCTTGCTGCACTTCTAAAATGTTAATTAGTTTTGTATAATCAAATGCAGATTAGATAAGGCTAAGGTTAGTGTTGGCTGGTGCTGCAGCAGTGCTTCTCCTAAGAGTGCTTTGCACATTTAGACACGGTTTTTGTTTCTTTCCAAAAGTTGAGTTTCTTGAGTAACATGACCTGAAGCATTGTTACAAGTTGCTTTTATCGTGCACAAACAGTAGCATATATTCTGATGAGAGAAATGCTGCATCAATTTTTTTTAAATAGTTTTTTGTCACTGCTGAAAGATGACACTTTGACAAGTATTTTCAGTCTAGTACTGTGCACTGATACGTGCACTTTGTGGGGCTTTTATGTAAAACTTTTTCCATACATGATGGCGTACCGCTACCTCTGACTTTTGTAAATAATGCCTGGTGTTGCCGCCATTTTTCTTTTTTTTTTTTGTCACCTGATATCGGGGATAAGGCCACACCATTGCTTTTCTATGTGTGCCCATATAACTGTAGAGAACAATTGATTTGCCATTACAGAATCCCGATGTGGAATGAAACTAGAGTCAAACCTCGTTGAATGTGAGGTTGCATCCGACTTGAAAACTTCTTGGTTATATCCAACATTTCTTGGTTATATCCAACATTTGTTATATAAATGTATACTGTTGTTACATTATTATACCAGCAGTGAGACATTTTAAGTTTACTTTGTTATGTCCGTTATATTGAGATGTGACTGCAGTATAGAGATGTATTTTTCAAACTTGCATGTCTTACAAACGCTACCAGTTTTTTGGGACACTCTCTTTGGGGAGCACAAAACTGGTTACTCGAAGTAGTGCTGAAGCTTAAACTTACTCTGCTGAGGCCAGTGCAGTTTGCGTGAAACATGAGTCGCGCACCTTGAATTGGTGAAATCATAAAAGTGATGACAACACTGGTTCTGTTCCCCAAAAATACACACCCTAAATTGACTATGCAGAATTCAGAAAAAATGGACAACGTATACTCCAGTTTTGAAAGTTCAAGATTTTAGACTTAAATCAACATCATGTGCAGCTGTGCGCAAAATTCTTTGAAGCTTTAGAAATAGGGAAACGAAGCTTAATTCTTTCGCATATGGGCTAGCAGCGGGGTGTTGAGTAGTGCAGTTTAGATGAAAAGTTTGGGTGCCATGAGACAAGAGGTATTTACTTCTAGCAGTTTGTATCCATGGCAGATAGATCTATACAACACTGTATTGTTTGAATTAACTGCACACAAGCTGGGAGCTAGAATAATGTAAGGGATACAGAGACCTTCGGGTAAACTTTTCTCAGATTTCATGGTCTATAAAATTTCGGAAGGAGACTGTAAAGATCACACCTTAGATCTTCAACTGTAGACCTCAGCTTCAATGAAAGTCTTCTGTTCGTTTAGTCTTTTGTGAGCAGCTGTGCAGTATTTGCAGAAGGTATTGAAACTTTTATGCATTTAGAATGCAGAGCAGTCCAGAGCAAAGGAGAGCTATAAAAGATATTTCTTTTCATCACTACATGCACGGAGCTGTAAAAGTCCCATGGTGCTTTTGTACACTGTCTTTCAAAAGTAGTGTCAAGACGTGTGCAAGCATCTTCGATAAAGAAGACAGAAGCTACGACCTGTGGTGTTGGCCGCAGAAATCTTTCATAGATTACTTGGTGAGGCTATTTATTCGGGCTTCTGTAGTGTTGCGGGCATCTTTTTCCACCAAGTTCTCGCCACCAGATGGACCCACACAGCAAAGTCTCACAGCACTTTGCTTTCTTCTGTTCGTCCTGTCCTTGCACTGCTGCACAGTTTAACTTCAACATGTACCATCCGGTGGTTAAAGTTTACATTATTTTGCAGTAACAAGCTGTTTTCAAGAGTGGATTCCCTGATTTTGATGTTGTACCCATCCAACCCTCTGCACTTGGTCTTTTGCAAGTTCTGCTATTGTATTTAAGATCATGTTGCCTGTGCCCAATGCTCTGTGTGGGGACAATCAATGCTCTCTTTTGACGCTATGTGCAAAACAGGGATTGAAGTAAAGAAGCACACACTCTCACCGGTGCTAGAGAGCACATGTTGCATATGTGTATAGCTTTTTTGAAAAAAAAAAAACCTTTGTTTTAATTTATTTAGAGACCACAGCTTTGGAGGAGCCTAGAGAGTGAGCTGTGCAATGTTGGTTGTCTGCCTTGCCCATTGCAAAATGAGGAGCACTGTTTATTGTGTTGAGTATTCTATACAAATATAGCCCTTTTTTGAAGGGGGGATGTTAACATGTGTACATTGCTTTGGCCAAGAACCTGTACTTTCTTTCTTTTTTTTTTCTAGAGTACAAAGTGAAGACTGCAGGTGCTAACAAGAGGCAATGAGTGCGATTTATGCGATATTGAAGTGGCGAGAAAACCTTTCACTCAATCACGAGAAACGAGTCTTGGCCAAGGTGTTAATAACATGCTGTTTGCTTATGCGTGCTGTGGGGACTTAGTGACTTCAAATGGTATGATGTCACTGGGACAAAAAAAAAAAGTGTTGTGGCCTACTCACAATACTGAAATATTTCTCTTGAGGCCACATTTTGTAATGATTCTTTTTCATTTTTTAATCTATACTAACTGCTTTTTTTTATCCTCAGTTATGCCAAGTGTTCAATTTTGGACACTTGGCATAACTGAGGATAAATCTTCTAATCGCATACTCGCATTTGATGTTCTGGTTTACGTATGTTAACACCTTCGGGTGCATAAGGTATGGCCATGTGTATGTGTGCAGACTAGTAGCGAAATGCGAGAGAAATGAATTTCAATAATCGTTACAAAATGTGGCCACCGCTTGCCTTTTATCTATCTCTGCGTGCATTTCCACATTTCTCTGCTACTACTGTTGCATAAGGAGAGCGTTGCTGCCTGTTCTGTCAGTAGAAATTGCCAATTCACAAACATGCTTGTACATATATGTAAAACATATGATGATAGTAGTAAAACCAAATATGGTTGTCTTTTAAAATGTGTCTGTGTGCTAGATTTTTCTGGAACACTTTGTGTTTATACAATATTTTTACAAGCACACCATCAATGAACCTTTAAAGGATCTCTGTAATCACTTTCCAATTTGGCATAGACCCCACTAGTATCTTGATCTCATGCCTCTAAAATATTCTGCCGCAAAAGTTTTGCATATCTGTTGGAAACCATTAATCGAATACAGTCGCCGGGCTGATTGCAAGGACTTGCGTATCGGTCCCCCAAAATGCACCACGAAAGCACGGAAATTTAAGAGTAGGTTGATAAATTACAAAATATCGATATTACTTAATCAAGGCTGATAAAACATTTCACATGCATGCACATTTGGCTGGTTCTATAACAATGAAACTTTTTTTTCACTTTAATTTTGTCACATTCATATCACAATTACTACAAATAATGTCACGTGTACTTTACTGGACTTCATGGTCGTTAATGTTATGTTTAACAAAGAAAACAAGACCTTAAATTTCTCTTCTTTTCTTCATAAAACCCAGAACAGTTTCACAATATTGTGAACAATTAATGGAATTGCAGTGTACATACAAGCTCTTGCACTATAGAATACTCAAGAACACCAGAAGTCTTTTCATAGGACATAGTCGTGACAAGTATTTCAGGCTTATGTACAGTCAGGTCCACAGAGTAATGTTGTGGTGTTTCTCAAACACACACTTGCATGTAGGATCTGATAGTAGTGTTGGCCAGAGATTCTCCTTTCTCAGTCAGCTGGTCGCATCTCTTCTTGACGCCAGTCTGAGAGACTGGCCACCTTCCCTCACTTGTTCACTGACTGCCCTCTTCCCTCATCTTCACAAGCTTATATTGGGTTGTGCATTGGTTTAAGATGTTTTTACATGACACCTGTTCACAATAGAGGGGAAGCCCAGGAAAGGGAGAGAACCTCCTCACATGTTTGTGTGATGTCTGTTGATGCATCAGCATAGCCTTATTATGTTTATAGTTCGTGCCCGCTTGGCCTGAGGCATGCTAGCTGTCTTTCCAGGTGTTTTCTACCACAGACGAGGCATGGGCACACGCTCTCATGTTGGCAGTGGCTTGGGATCAATGTTGCCGGCTTTAGGAAGTGGTGGTGTACACTTCGTCTACACGCTGCTTTGTTACAAAATTCATTAAGTACTATGAGCATTGTTGTGACACGATCAGAGCGCATTCTTCATTTGTCGCCATGAGCGTGCTGCAATGTACACAAGGTAGGACGGAAAAGCTGTGATGCGCAGCCCAGAAAGTTACATTGCCTCATGTCATGGCCCTGAGCATTTACCATCTTTTTCTTTCAACCTATTGGCTGCAGTACCTACTAAACATGACACATGGCCTTGGAGATTGTCTGCCAGTGTGCCATTCATGAAATTGGCCTATTCTTTTTGGGCCCACCTGCTGTGTAGCTTGCAAAATGGCAAAGGACAGCGCAAGTGATTTATAGCTGTATTTACATAAGTTCCCTGCTACATGCATTGAAATAATAATATTATTTGGCTCGGGGTCACAAGATTCTTGACTACAGATTGGCAGTGTTTTCCGACTATGCTAAAAAATTGAACATGCTGGAAACACTAATGAAACAGCAAAGCTGATGGCCTTCCCTTTGTCAGGCTATCACATTTCGATGTTTTGCAACTCTTTCAAATATGTTACATCACTGCCCTTTATTAAACACTCTTTGTTAGGCTTTCAGGTGGTAGTATGGTTTTAGTGCATTTTCATCACACCACTCTTACACACAGGTTTACAAAGAAGCCCAAGATGAACGTCAGTGGCAACATCATCAGGAATCTTTATGGGAAGGCAATCACTTACAGTTGTCTGAATGTCAATCAGCACATTCACCATCTGTCTTCTAATCGCATACTCGCCATTGCCATGCATTAGCCCATTTCGGCATCAGTTCTCACTGACGCTTACGTCGGGCAGCTGTTTTATCGGGAGAACCTGTTTATTACTACTGCGCACGCCTTTGTTGTTCGCCGTATTCTTCTTGCTCTTGTCTCCTATCGGATTCATCAGCTTCCAGCCCGCAGCAATGATTTTCTTCACTTTTAGTGGACCAGTGAGGAGTAGTGGCATTTTCCCTATTTCTGTGTCACATATCCGTAAGACCATGTTATCAATGTTACGCAAACGTCCGACACTAAAGATTCGGCTAAAAACAGCTTTGCTTTTAGAAAGAATAAAAAATTGGGTACCTTGCACTCTAATATGACTGAATCTTTACAAAAGACGACAACATGCCTGTGCTAACTTCCATGACCCCTTCCCTTTGGGCACTGTCACATGCTTAATTGATGCAGCATGTTGGCAAACCCACGGCTCCCCAGCCCGTGTCATGGTTACCCTTCTTAATGTTCCATTCAAATCCACTGCTGGCCCTTTCTGCTTTCCCACCCCTGCTTTGTCTCTTGAACTGACCGCGATAAGTCATGCGACGCAAGAATTATTACTTCTTGCCGCCTCATTTGTTTAGATTCCACAACAACAATCCGTGCTCTTCCTGACAAATGATCCTCCGAGGGTCTTCGTCATGATCTATGATCTTTCCAACACTCTTTCCCGTCTCTGCTCTGCTTTTATCACTCTGGTGTGGGTTATACAGGGATTGCCACTAACCAGATCGCTCATGAGCTCGCTTGCAAGATAGCTGGGCACCTGTCCATACCCACCTATACTAAGCACATTTCTACAGGGAAACCTTCAAAAAGCATTGCAAAAACCTTAAATATTGGATCGTCGCAAACTGTGCCATCACCACACCTTTCCTTCTGCATCATAGGTCGGCAAAAACTTTGGAACTCACTTAGGAATTATATAGTAGCTTGTGCTTTGGACTCGCAAAAAAGAAAAATACCCCAATACAAATTATACATTCTCCCGGGTAATTAAAAAAAATGCAGGAAAGTTACCAAAATTTTCCTGAGTTGAACTCACTCCGACTTTCACTCATGAAAATTTACCTCCCATACTCACTCATCCTTTTGACTTACGGCTCGATCAGAGTCCGAGTGAGTGCAAGTGAGTCAACTAATGAGTCTGTTGGCCTAGAATTAGCTTTTCAACCACGGTGTCAATGCTTTTTAACACTAATATTGCACGTAATCAGTGCTCTTTTTAGTGCATTTATACAGTAGAACCTTGTTGATGCGTTAAAAAAAAAGCGTGGGAAATAAACGTATGATTGGGGAAAATGTACTATTCGAATTGGGTTATTTTTTGTTTTTGCAAATGCGAGCGTAGGAGTCCAAAAGTTATATTAAGCGGTAATGTATTGACAAGGTTTACTGCACTAGTGTCTTCGAGTACGAGTTACAAACTGTTGCAATTCAGTAAAACAGATGACTCATACGATATATTTATCAAACACTTTTCTGGATGAGTTCGTGGCAGGAGGTCAAGGCACTCCTCATGTAATTCATGCCTCTGATCAACAAGTATTGAAATGGTGAATGAATGATACTGCTTTGGAACGTGTGCGAGTATAAATGTGAGTCCAGGAAGGCTGAAGATGAGTGGATAGGACAATAGCTCGGCAAAACATAGTACTCTCTCAAGAAGTATACCTAGTACTAGGGACTCACTTGTACTCAAACTTTTGAAATTTTCCTGAGCCGGACTCACACTCACCAAAATTTTTTTCAAAGACTCACTCGGACTCAAACTCGCCAGAATATCACTCACCTCAACTCACTCAGATTCAGAGGTGCATCTTAGTCTGAGTTGGTATGAGTGAGTGCGCAGACCTGTGTTCTCCACTGCCCAAACGCATACATTCAGAGCCATTCAACTCGGCACCCCTATCACTCCATCCAGCCTATTCCCTTATCGCTACCACTCTAATCGTTCGTGTACAAATTGGCCATATACATACGCAAATGTAGAACAAGTCCTTTTTTCATTCCCTGCTGCCCTGCCATCCCCTCGCTATCCTAACCCCCACCTCTCCAATGGCGAGTGTGATTGGTGTTGGCAGCCTCTGCTGACCAGCTGTCTATTGTCCTTCTTGTGGAGGAATATCTATGGGTCTTAGTCTTACCTTTAACAAAGTATCCCTCTCTCTCTCTCTTGTACTTTGTGTGTTTGTTTGATTAGGCACAAGTACACCCAACAAATAATTCAACCATTACTAACAAAAAAAAAAGGTTGAGTTATTACTCGACCTGGACCAAGCTTGCAGTACAATGATGTCTATCTAGTGATACCAGTCCAATGTGCAGTACACTAGATCTTTGTGCATGACAGCAGTAGTCTAGCATTCATAGAGATTTTATTTGAAATGCATCATTGCCATGTTCACAGTGTGTGCAGTTGATTTATAACTGCCCTTTGCCATATTTTAACAAACATCTCTTTCATCAGTGTTTACTACCATCATCTCAGGATTGTCGACGTCATTCTTCAGTCTTGAAAGCAATGCAGCCAAGTTAGGCTTCCAGCATTCCTGGAACAAGTAATAAAAAATTAAGGCAAGTTCAAAATGAACTTGTTGGCTTGGCTAAGTTCATGTGCATTAATACTGTGAAAATAGAGTAACTGAAATTGATGTGTATAACATGAAATAAAGAGAAATAATTTAGGTTGAACTGATAAATTAAAGCATAAATATCAATTGACAACAGTGCATTAGTATTGAGATATTAAACTACTAAATGTCAACACTCAATTGCAAACTTGATGAGATGTTCGATTGATGATTTAGAATATCTATAATGCTGTTATTTGTAGTCATCCACTCATAATGAAGAGGTAATTTCTATTCAATTCTTGGAAAAAACATCATGTTGAGATTCGCCTATGTGGTATACAAACTCTCGGATGAGACTATCCTCTCAATGCAACAGCTACCAATCTCAAAGGCTATGTTTTTTGGTCCTGAAAATGTTGGACTCATTCGCAGAAGCCATAAGCAGTATGTTTTGAAGGCACCATCCCTAGGGAACAAAGTAAAAGTTGGTCAACAAGGTTCGTCACATGAGGATTCCCATTTGAATACTTTCTATAACACACAGTGCTTTTCTGACCTTGTTTCAACCAAGCTTATTCTGAAGCAAGAGAAAATGCCATGCACATGCTATGTTTTTGACTTGCTTTCTTGCCACTTTCTTCCTTTTAAACACTAAACTGTAGCGTCACCAGCAAAGGCAGTAATGTGTATGCAACATCAATCTCCTCACTTGTGGGTGGATTGCTCAAGGGGAACTTGGACCCTTGAAATGCAAGTTTCTTCTTCTAATTAGGCATTAGCGGCACAAAAAACAAGCGCAGTACAATTTGTGGAATGAAATTCTAACAATGCATGCCGACCTAATATTTGCCTCTAGTGTCTCTTGGAGGGGCCCTTCAACACTTTTTGAACATGGTCAGAACATGCTGCTGAACGGTAGTACAGGCTCTTGCAAACATGTCAGCCAAACATTATAGTGCAACATGTAGCAGGAAATTGACAATCAAGTTTCAAAGTCAGCTGCAAACTCGACAAACGATGCCATGGACTCAATTTCAATAGCGTCATGAGCTTATGGAGCTACATGCTATAGAATTACATTAACACACCCATGATCATGGTGAAAGTTAGCTGTGCGTTCAAAGAAAAATCTCAAGGTCATGACGCATGCTGACACATGTAGCTTCTTGTCCCCCTGCCACTTCTGCTGCATAGCTTTTAATGTGCATGCTGTGACGAAAGGAGAAAGAAACAATGCCTATAACTTTGCTAATACTCGACGAATTCAAAAGATTTTATGGCAGTCAATTTGTGACGTTATAATAAACTCCATCATTGAGGTCATTCGACTGATTACCATACATGAAAAAGGTTTGCAGGACCCCTATAACACATGCAAATGACTAAACTTGGTGTAAGTGGCGAGGAATTGGAATGTGCGACCTAGAAATAGAAAAATGAAGTACCAAGAAGACATTGCAAACACAACATGCGGGGCAATAAGCAAAAACATAGTGTTCTACAACACTATGTTTTTGCAGTAAAAGTGGCATCTTGTTGGCTGCTGATACTAATAGTTGCAGAGGATGAATTGATCTAATAGGATGCATTTAATAGCCATAATATGACATGCAGCCTACGCATCTACACAGAATGACAGAGCTTACTTTGTTTGCTCTGACACTGGCAACCAGCACAAGAACCAAATGGGGTCTTCAAAAAGATGTTTTTGTTTCCCATTAAGGAATGTTGCGGTTTAGGCTTAAAATATTTTGTCGCAAACAGAAGCTAAGAAACACGAATGTTGGTAAGGAACTACAACTTTTCCACCCTTCACTGCACTTTATATCACTCCTTTTCTTGCTACAATAGTTGGGATAGTGTCAACATTGATATTCTAGCTATTCAATTTGATTGTTGGAGTTGCAAGATACAACAGCTCTTTAGGATTTGAATACCTATATCACTCATTGCCGGTCTGTAGTACTTCCTCGCCTTTCACATTTTCACTGCAGCACTGTCGTGGAATGAGTGTGCATAGAAAGCATGCTTGCGAAGACATTGTGAAAGTAAAGACAGAAAAACCTTCTCAGATGGCAAGAAGCGCAAGTCTACAATTGGCATGAGAGATGGCCTTCCATGTGCACACTGGAAAGGCAGTGAGCACTTCGACAGGGCTTTCAGAATGCTGTTGCACTCAGACTTTTCCAGGAAACTGCCAAACTTGATGGCACCTGCAAATAGAAAACGAGCAGTGTTTATTCGGTGAGCCATCTCTGCAGGTGACTCGTTAGCATGTCACTCTTTTCTCTCAGTTGTTCAAAGTCTGCTTAAAGACATAACTGACATTATGAGATAATAACAAACACTGTGGCAGTACCGCACAAAAAGCACGACAACAAATACAAAGAACGCAGCACTGAATGGTGCAAAAAAGCTCGGTGTAGAAAGGGTTATTAGGGGACACACGGGACTCGGCATTGTGTTGTGTGTGTTCACCAAACCAACACACACATGCACTACAGGTAAACCTAAGAAAGAAAGGAAATCAGCAAGGCAAAGACGACTAGGATTAATATGAAAACTTTTTTATATACAAATTTGTTATATCGAATTTATATATAATGAACTATCTGTTATAACGGAGCGATTAATAGCATTGCCTAGATACAGCATTACATATTATTGTTTACAATGAATATCTGAATATAAAGTATATTTGTGGCATATTCAAGTTTGTTGTAATGAGATTTGAGTGTATTTAATATGCACTACTGTTTACACTCACAGTAATTATTAATAGCATCCCCTATAGAAATGGGATTCTACATTGCAAAATATCTCAGCTGACATTTCTTTCAATGAAAAACTGAGCGAAAGTTTTGAGGCCAATTCAGTTTTAGGGCAACTAATTCAGTCAGACTGTTTGCTTACCTTTGTCGTTTCTCTTGTACAAAACCTTTGTTTCTTGTTCCTTACGCCTCTACCACCTGCATTGATTTCTCTAACAGCAATGTCCTCTTGCTGCCGTTGACCAGTTTATGCTCTTTTAACATTTCAACATTTCAGGAAATTGGAAGCTTCCTATTGTACAGGCTGGATAGATATTTTGCTTTTTTGTAACAATATGCTGAGTCATCTCCATTTTTTTTATAGCATACATGTACTTTACTCTGTTGAAAATGTTCTCAAAAGTATTATTTTTTCTCAAAAACAGATGGCCTCAGCCTTAAATACCTGAAAAAGCACTGCCTTTCAGCTTATTGCACTGATTTTCTTTTCTGCCGGAGTTTAACGGCCCAAAACCATGACACAATTATGAGAAATGCTGTAGCAGAGGGCATTGGAAATTTAGGCCTCCTGGGGTTCTTTGACGTGCACCTAAATCTACTCAAGCCTCAAGCATTTTTGCCTCCATCGAAAATGCTGCCATCGCAGCCAGGATTTCACCTGCGGGGTTGGCAGTCGAGCACACTAAGGTGGCTGAATTTCTCTCCTGATTTCTTGCTTGCTGTAAATCTCCATGGTCGTTGCTCTAAAAGTGCCAAAGCGGCAACATGTTGGTAAGACTTTTGCAAAATAGACATTTTGGATAATTGGATGTGTTGATCCTGAAGGAGAAAAACTAGGAGGATGCTGGAACTTCGGGATCAAGAGTAGAACGCGACAGCGTAATCATGCCTCCTGCGCATTGCCTTCTCATTGCTAGCCTAGCTGCGGTTCTCGATGCATGCCTCGATCATGCCGTACGAAAACGAGTGACTGTGTGTGTAACATTGGCCATTTCAAAGTATCCTGAATGCCTACTGTAAGTACGATGTAAGTGCCTACTACGTCATAAGTCTTCCTTTCGGAATCAGTGAAGGGCCCACTGTACGTACGTAAAGCAACACTATGCTACTCTCTTGATGCTTTTGCAGCTGATGATGATTAAATATGTCTGAGCACTTAGTAATAGGTGGGCTTTTAAAACACCCACTCGTTGCAATTTACATGTTTTAACACTTGGTGCGATTTCACACTTCTGCCACGCAATCTTACATGTGTTAAGGAGACTTCTACCACATGACATTGATATATATATATGTATATATTTCTTTTTAGCAGCAGTTTCAAGCAATAACGTGATTCTATGTGCAGGACACCTGCTTGCCACATAGATTGTTGGATTCTCACTCGGACTGAACATTCGTATTATTTATTTTATTTGCATCTCTCTTGTTTTTTTGGTCACGGACAAGATTTTGTGCTCAAAACCAATGACACTGACCCCAACGCCAACACCGGAATTTTTGCGAAATGAGCACTTTAATGATTTGGCGTTACAAGAGAGGCTAACAAACAGACAAGGATACTTGTGTGTTGTCATTTCTTGGGGCAAAGCTCCTTATAGCGTCACCTGTTTGTCTCCCGTTATCGTTCATAGCCACCGTTGGCACATACCCGTTTGTAACCACCAGTGTCACATACCAGAGAAAGCAGGCATGTTCCACAAGGGATAGACTTTTAGGGGCGAAGCTCCTTAAGCCGTGGGTCGTGCGTCCTCAACGTAAGCAGTAAGTAGCCACCTCTTGTCTAGTTCTTGGAATGTCGAAGCTCCTTAAGCCGTGGGTCGTGCGTCCTCGATGTATGTAGTAAGTAACCACCTGTCATTTAGTTCTTAGAATGTCCTCTAGATGGCGGTACTTGTATATAATCAATATATGATGAAAAGATGCGAGATGGTGGTACTTGGAGTGTTCACTAGACAGACAGACATACAGACAAATGGACTGACGCACGGACGGATCGAGCCTCGGTTGGACGGACGGACGGATGCTTCGCCCCATTCATCATAATTCAGTACGTGGATAAGCTGCGATTTTTTCTTTCTTAGTTCATGTCTGTTAAGACGAGCCATTTCTTCTATAGAGTTCGTATGACTTGATTGAAAAAATTGGCGCAAATAACTGCACATGAGGGAGCAACACCTAGTCCTGTTTTTCCTTTCTTGTACAGTTCTTTTTTTAAGCCATTTCCCTCTGGCTCACCTTTTTGTTTTTCTTCCTATCGTACCTATCCAAAAAGTATTTGCCGAAAATGACATGTTCTCTTTGAGCAAGTCTATGAAACTGTCTCTCTGCCGTAGCTTTTACCGACAGCTTAGCTTGGCTTGAAGGGTTTAATGTCCCAAAGCAACACTGGGTGGAAGCGAGACGCAAAGCAGAAAGATCTGGTTTAGGTTTTCACCAACCAGCATGCTTTAACGTGAGGCAGTTAGCACTTTTGCATTTTATCCTCATTGAAACGTGGCAGCTGTGGCTTGCCTCGTTAGCTTTAAATTAATTTTAGATGCCCTTCTATGCCCCTGTGATGTTTCTCGGTTAAGACAAATGTCATTCTATTTGAATGACATTAAAACGTCCAGTGTGACAGGGGCATAAATGTACTACTTATACTACTAGTACCATGGCAGGCCTGGGAGCTGAGAACATCCATCAGAAATTTCGGCAAGGTTATAGCACTGTGCCTTGTGCCCAACAGTGTTTCCGTATGATCCCTGAGTAGCTCCTGCGAATGAAAGCAAAATACAAATGAGCAATTAGTGAACTGGCATGCAAAGAATGAAGTTCGGAGTAAAACAGACAAACTATACCAAAAACGTGCGGTACTATCAAGTATGCAAATGGTTCAGAAGGGCATAAAATGATGCCGACTGTCCTATTTTACAATATTCATGACAATGCATGTAACTAAAGCAAAGGCGTTTCATTGCAGCCTCAAAAATGATTATTGCCATCTTCATAATATGTTACCTTGATAAGATTCGTACAGCTTTGTAATCCGACTGTAAAATATTGCCTGTTGTAGCTTGCAAATGGAAAAAAAAAAACAGTACAAAGCCTAAACATATGTGGATATAACACAATACATTTAAAACTGAGAACCCATGACACAACATAGCACGAGGCCAATGTATGCCAAACACGACTTTCCTTATGCTTGTTTTTGCCCAACAGTAAATTACAAGGTGTGCTTGATTCCGGCGTGGTGCATAGAGCTGATGCTGCAAACTTTCAGATGGTGCTGCTGCAGTGCAAATACAGTGCAAATGCAGTGCTGCTGGTACAGCTGCAGCGCCATTAGGTTTAGTTTTTTCTCCTTTGCATAGAAGGCGCTGGTGCATCACCCATCATCTGCGCTACGCCCGCAAGGCCTGTAGTAAGACGTTTCTCTGCACACGCATTGAGCCGAAATCTTATAAATTCACTCAGAAGCTGCTGCATAAATCTCCATGCTGCTGTCTGTCATTATTACACTGTTCTGATCAAAGGCGTAAATAACTGGTGTTGGACACCATTAATCTACTTCCCACGATCAACGCCATGTTCACCCAAGAGCCGATGAAACGCGTCGTCTGCTTCTGAGCTTCACCACGATGGCACCACCTCATGAGTAGGTTTAGGTTCAGGAATTCCCTGCACTGCAACGGCATCACTTCAGCACCGTGCTACAATTGAGGACTGCCATGCACTGCACCAGAGGATCAAGGACTGTTGTTTCGTGCACCGTGAATCGGTGCAGGAGGTGCAAGTGAATTAAATAGACCTTACACTGCTGCCTGCTCAGTCATTATGTTCATCACTACTAGTTATGTCATCTCCAAGAGGAGCCCGAACATCATAATGAATTATTCGCTATCACGAACAGCTGTAATATCCCTTGGGAAAGATTATAGCATTATATAATGCAAACTCCCACTTACCTCTACATTCAGTATATATCAAACACTGCATTATGCTGAGTCGCTGCAAGTCTACTTATCCTAAAATGTGGGGAGTAGCTTCTTGCATAGTCGTAAATATTCATGTCTATAAAGTGGCAGTTTTTTTTTTTTTTTTTGCAGGCTGATGGAGAATTTTGTGTAGAAACCCCCTATGCACCATCTCACAGAATTTCAAGTTTTGTTAGACTGACATATGTTTTAAGATATGATAGCTTATTGCAGCAAGGATTTTATTTACACTCGATAAAGATACACTTTTCATACTGGATGCAAGGCGGTACATAAATATAACAAACAAACCCCACAACTGAAATCTGCTCGCACATTTACATTTGCATGCTGAACAGAAATGTCACAGAGCAGCAGAACCAGAGTCAATGTCACAGAGCGTTATAAAACATTTCATATCCATCCAGCACAAATCATAATCTGTTATGAATCAGTGCCAACTCGTCCGAAAGTTGTATAGCTACAAATATGGAATTGCTTTAATAAGCTTTACCGCCACACAGCTGTGCAATGTGGCGAAAATTACTGATACAGAAAACTGCTGTAAAGTGACCCATATTGCTCAGGCCTTGTTGACCTCCCTGCTTTTTGTCTGTTTTTATTTTCTCTCTCTCTATTGTTGAAAAGAGTACCTCACAAACGCAAGAGGCTTCCAATATTAAACAACCCATTTCACAAGCACATGTGAATGAAAACTAAGTAAGTGAGCTTTTATGTCTTGGTAACAGGTTTACAGCAGTAAATTATGCCTTAATCAGTAAATTCCCATTATTCACGCTTTTGAAAAGTCCCCTGAGAGATGTTTAGCTGGGGGTTTAGCTAGATGAGAGATGTTTAGCTGGGGCAGTCCCAGGATTATTTTACTTAGTGGGCATTCGTGACAAGTGAGCTTCGTCACGCTGGGCAGGAAGGCAGGAAACTTGTGCATTGTAATAAAAATAATTGCTGGTGTTGAACGTCTCAAAAGCATGAAATGATTACGAGAAATGCCATAGTTGAATGCTCCAAAATTTTGACTACATGTAATTCTTTAGTGTGCACCTAAATCTAAGCGTGGGCCTTCAGCATTTTTGTCTCCATTGAAGATGTGACCACGAGAATTGGGAGTCGACTGTGCAACCTGCGAATCAGCAGTTGAGCAACTAGACTTCCATGGAAGGTATCTTATGCCTGGGATTTTGAATATATTTGCAGCTGCGCCCTTTTCAATCAATGCTGGACACCTTTATTACAATGCAGAAATGGTTTCCAGCATCAAAGTATCTTGAGTATGCTACGCCCTTCCTTTCCAGCAAGATCGTCACATTCTGCCGGACTATAGAAGCAATGCCTAACCTCCATACGAGACGCAAGAGTTGACGGCCGCCCAGCTCGCTGCTCACTCTCGTCCTTTTCCAGGAGACACACGGGAAGACGCTTGAACGACACGCCGTGGTCGTGAACAGTGTAGTGGATGCCAAGCTTGCGCATCTCTCTTTCACAAATGGTCGCCCGTCGAAGAGAGTCTGGTTCCAAGGCAACCATCAGCTCCGAGCTCAACTGACAAGGATCGAACACACCGTGCCTGCCCTTTCAACTCGTACTGATCTGAAAATGTCACAGGAAAAATCCTTGCCAACAAGTTCTCACACTTCATTTGTGTGCCTAATACAATGGGGCGGCATCATCAGTGGCACAACAGCGTGGACAACATGACGAAGAACATACTGAACACAGCATTGACTTGTGTGTTCTTCATCCCGTTGTCTGGGCTGTTTCGCCACAATCATCACGAACCAACTAGCCCACTTAGAAACCCTTTAGCATGATAAGATTCTGTCAGTCAATGAATCTACAACAGTACAACAGTACAACCATTATATAGCTTGCCATAGAAGTTTACAGACAGTATATAAAAGGGGACGATGACTTTATTTTTAAATCTGGCAATCGCTTGAGAATATGAGTACCCTCCCATGCGACTGCATAGTTTGTTCTACCTAGCCCCTGCCAGGCTAGTAACTATTATATCAGTAGGCACTTCCCGGGAGCAATTCTCTGCCCCCCTAACCAATGGCAGATAACGAGATGGCAATCTAGGCTAGTTAGTAGACATTCATATTTGAAATCAGTTTGAAGCACACCGAAGATGCGGCCAATGAAATAGTACAGGACAGCAGCGCTAACAAAAGCACTATCCTGTCCAGTTCCATTGTCTGCATCATCGGTGTACTTCACTCTTTGAGGAGGGGAGGGGGATGGTGTGTTTTGAGTTGGCACCGATCCCTGGTGCACAGGTAATGGATGCTGAACTGCGAGCCACTGCTTGCAACTATAGGGCGGCGAACTCACTCATGAGTCGAATCACTCAGACTCACTAAAACTCAGATCAAGCTGCGAGTCTGAGTCCGAGTGAGTGCGACTGAAGATAATTTTTGTGAGTGTGAGTCCGAGTGAGTCCGCTCAGGAAAATTTTTCGTGATTCCAAGTCTGAGTGAGTTCAAAGCTCATTGGATGTAAGACAGGACAAAAATGAGAGCATTCATTGGAAAACATAGCCACTGAGTCCACCATTAATTCCACTGAGCGATAGTTTGGGAGGAAAAAGGCCAAAAGTATTCACAATAATTCACAGCCAAATGCAATGTCAAATGAATGAATCATGTGACACTACATACAGGTTCGTCTCAGCCTGGTATTCCTCAATTTCACACAGGTGATTAGTCTCTGTAGTTTTATACAACATGGCAGTTTTAAGTACCTTTTGCTATCAATTTCAGTTTTGTTGTTAAATATTTCAGACAGATGCCTAACTACAACTTTTTTTTTTTTAGAGAGAAAAGTGTGATTTTCCACTCTGCTCTTCTTTTTTTTTTTAAATTTCATTTCTGTGCCACTGTACTCCCTTACATGCTTACCCAAGACACATCTGGCTACTCTGTCTTGCATTTTTTTTTTTTCAACTTTACTAATTGGACATATATATTTAACATGGGTCTCAAAGAGCGCGAGCGTTTTCCAAAATAGGCCTTACACAAGTTAGCTATTCCGTGCTTCTGATGAAGTCCAGTTATGTTAATGTTTACTGTCTTGGATGCAAGCCAGATATTTATGGTTCCACCAGAAAGTTTTTTTTCCTCTCAAGCAACCATAATTCTCATTGCAACTTGAGTTTGAAACCAGCATTATATAAAGTGAGACTTAGTTATATCCATGAGGGGCATGACCAGGCCTTGCCTTTTCACTCACTCTCTAAAAGCCACTCCAGTCGAACTCTCTCGTGTGCAGCATGTTGGTCAAACAGCACAATCAGACTTTCCTCTGGAAGTAGACCGTAAATGGTATAGTGAGCAATTCATAAATTTCATGCTCAATATAAAAAATAAAGAGTTTTACCTTGAATCTTGTTTTTAGACAAAGGCATGAGGCAGGCGATGAACTTTGCATCCACCTGACCTATTACCTGAAAATGTATGGGTGAACGTTCATTACGACTCCACTGACAATGCAGCCAGCTACACATAACTACACAAAAAAATGTCTCCACCATGCCTTGTCTTTCAAGACAAAAGACATTTTTAAAATAAAACGATAAAGGTAAGCTACAAGACCAATGTTCTGAAAAGAGCATTTGTCTCTGTCAAGTTTAAATCAAGCAAGTCATACTGCAGTAATATTTCACTTTGGCTAAATTCTTCAAAGCAAACGAGTTTTACATAGCCAAAAAAAAAAAAATGTCAGCAATCATGACCACAAAAATACAAAACAAGATTTCTATTCTGTGGTGTGTTTTACTAGGCATGCGCACATTTCTTTCACTCACCAGATGAGTTCTCATCAAATCCTAGAGCTTTCCGAAGCAGTATTTACTGTGGTAGCGACCTTGACAAAGCTGCAGGGATAGCTATTTTTTAATAGCAGCTGTTAAATACTACACAGACAGACAATGCCATCGCACCTCTACATGCACTAGGGAGCAATTCTTGTCTTTTGTGTGAAGTGTCTCTTACAAGCAGGGTGCCATGAGCCGAGTTCCTTATTAACCCTTTATCTATGTAGGAACACTGGTGTCTCTTACAACCAGTTGTCTCTTATCAAGAAGTTATAAAGGACATCAACAAATACAATGCAGATTCCAGAACATGGCATCTGACATTTGCAGGGTGTTGCGAATGACGGACCGATCCCACCGCTGCCACCACTGTTGCGAAACGCACCTCCGACGACGTTACGAAGGGCGCCTCGAAATCTCACCGCTGCAACCACTGTTGCGAACGACGGACCGATCCCGCCGAAGCCACCACTGTTGCGAAAGACGGCGACGCCAACACGGTCCCGAAGGCGCCACTGCTTTCAACTCCGCCGGGAAGGTCACTAGCCGTTTGGTAGCGTATGTTTCTCAGCTTGCGACTACTTCTGCGCAGAGCTGATAAGACGAGCGGACGAGACGACGGTGAGTTAAACAAGGTTTATGTACAGCATATACACAGAGGCATTACAAATTCGGCACTGGGGCCGACAGAGACTCGAAGAGCCGAGCTCTCCTCTCTAATACACAGGTCAACTTTTCGCCTAAGACCGCCGACTCACACACATGTCGGCTCTCCGACATGGGGACTCCTCTCTCATAGGACCGCCGATCGCGACACGCCGCAGGGCTTCTTTTATTTGCACCGGGTCCAACCAAAATGTCCAATCAGAAGCGTCGCTGGTCGTCAGGGCAGATTCCTCCAATGGGGTCGCCGCGCCATGCGTCAGACCACCAGACACGAGGACGCCGGCTCGCTGTCACGTGCGCCGCTGACTCAATGCATGTGGGCCAGAGAGGCGCCGCACGTGTTCACGCCGTTAAGATGTTCGCGTCAGGCGGACTGCGGGCTGGCCTTGACCCAGATTGCCTTTTTCAGAGGCACGGACGTTTGACGAGGACTCGCTGGCATAACAGCACCCCCGCCGCCAGATAATGCACTGGAAAGACGAGCTGCTTCCACGGGGCTCGGATGTCAGGTGCGCTCGTTCGCCAGGTCCCTCCAGGTTCGCCTCCAGGGCCATGGGGAGAATACAGCTCCAGACTGTTCCGGGAACACGTCCCATTTTTGACGACGGATCCCAGCTCCACTGGCTTGTCGCCACAACTTGTCGACCAGCTTCACTCGTCTCTTCTGACCATCTTCGGTTTCAGCACTTGTCGATGGTTCTGCAACTTGCCAAGAACGGATCGACAACACACGACACAAGCAAGTGCCCTCGGTCACCCAACAGAACACCAGACAAAGTATAGTACAACGTATACCTATCTACGTGTCTATCGGAATTTTGTTCCCTCTACATCAAGAGGCACATGTGGGACAAAAGACCCTTAAAATGACAACTCAATTTTTTCCCCACGTACAACAACGTAACGGATTAGAATACCACATAAAGTTGGCCCCTTGAGATCACTCTGAACGAGAGCGCTCAGCCCAGGTCGTGATGAGGTCAAAATTTTGCCCCGAATCGCCAGCGAGAAACCGAAAGGTTGAGAAGGTACTAGCTAGAACGCACTGCTCAATGCACCTGCATTAGCGTTTAGCTTTCCCTTTTTTTTTTGATAGCGAACGTCAAAGTTGCGCTGTCGGAGTATCACGCTCCACCTCAGTAACCGGCCACTTTTAGGCGACGATACCTATGCGGCACCAAGAGCGGCTCACACTTGCGACGTTGCACAGGGGAACAACGATAGGGCTTGCTACGGATTGACTCCTCACCGCTTAGCTCGATATCGTGTTCGATCACCCTCGTGTTTCCAGGGTGGTCCGAAAACACGTCTCCAAACTCGGAAACAATCCTTCTCGGGTCCTCCTTCCGGGCTTCGCTTAACCTAGGCTCTAGGTTTATCTGCTCCCAGATTACTTTCGATCCCCCTTCGATTACCTCCCTAGTACTCAAAACTTCCGCTCCCTCTTCCTCTGAAGCACTTAAAAGTAAATTTACGACTGCTTTCAAGTTGTAAATTTTGTCCGGCCACCTTCCTAATTTCACTTCATAATTTGTATCGCAAGGCTTCGATAATACTTTGGCGGGCCCTTCCCAATCAACATCAAGCTTGTTCCTTTTGGACGACTGCAGCAGCATTACCTGATTATCAACTTCAAAAGCGCGCTTCTTCACCGATTCCTCGTAGTGCTCCTTCGACAGCACTTTTGCCGCGTTTTTCTGGCTTTCCACTAGCGCTTCAATCGAGAGGTCCTCACGCTGCTCTCGAATGAGCGTCTCTCGATCAACTCTCGGCAGCTCGCTCCAACTTTCCGCTACAGGCGAGAGCGTTGCAACCTTCTCGCTCTGACTCAATGGCGCCATGTCGTCTCCCCTTTCTACGGAGACAGCGCCGGTCGGTTCGGCGACGGGCCGCTCGCGTGACTGCTCACATGACTCATGCGGAAACTTTCCTTTCTGGGGTTCCGTCGACCCGCCGACAAGGTCACTTGAGAGTTCACCGCCTGGAACCAGATCAAGCTGCCGCGATAGCTTCCGCGCTTGCGATCGCGTGAGAGCCATGCACGCTAAGTTGGGGAAGAACGATTTGCCCTGCTCTTTGAGAAGCTGCTCTGAGTTGTTGGAGAAAAGATAAGGAAAACGATCATTTAGCGCGGCAGACACAGCCGCTTCGGTGCGAAGCTCACCGAACGGGCCTTTAATGACAACCGTGGCGATTGGTAAGCGAACACTCTGCTCCTCGGCGACCTGCCTCATCCACGCGCATTCTCCTGTGAAGTCATCCGGAGACACCAATGAAGGATGGACAACGTCCATGGTTGCCGCTGAGTCTCTAAGTGCTCGGCACGTGTTCTCATTCACCCTAATTTCTTGGAGATACGGCTCCAACAACCGAATGTTTTTTTCTGATTCTCGGATCGTTGCGAAAGCAAACTTTTCCTGACAGTTTCTCGCGATGTGCCCTTCCTTTTTGCAGTTGCAGCAGATTAGCGGCTTCCGTTTGTTTTCCGGTTCTAATGCCTGTGTGGTAGAAACCTCACTCGATTTCTCCGCTTCTGTTTGCCCTTCCCCTACACTGTCCTTCATAAGAGACGGGTCCTTTTTGAAATTACGGTGCGGAGCGGGTTTCCGTTGATCAGGTTTCCTTGAAAAGCCCTCTTTCCTTTCATCCTTTTCAACGCGCGCTGCCCTGCTATGCAACTTTCGGCGAGTATAATACTCCTCAGCTAACTCAGCTGCCTTGTTTAACTGTACGTCCCCAAGTCTGTCCTGCAGCCAAAGTTTGACATCCTCCTCGATGCAGCGGTAGAATTGCTCCAATGCAACGCATTCCACCACTTTATCGCGGTCGTCATAAACACCTTCGCCCTTGAGCCATTCAATCAAATCGGCTTTAAGACGAAACGCGAAGTCAACGTGTGACTCATTCCCCTTTTCAGCATACCGGAACCTTTGCCTGAAAACCTCGGGTGACAACTTATAACGTCTCAAGAGCACTTCCTTAACCTCGTCATAGCTCTCAAACGCTTCCCTCGACAAGCAAGTTATCGCGTCGGACACTTCGCCGGGAAGAAGAGCTAGCAGGTTCCGCGCCCAAAGAGACTGCTCCAAAGCATTTCGCTCACAGACGTGTTCAAACTTGACGAGATACTTCGCCATGTCCTCGCCTACTACGAACGGTGGCAGTTGATCCCGAATTCTAATACCGCTGACCTGAATCGTCGGAGAAGCTGCGCTAGGCGCCTGCGAACACTGTAGGATTGCCAATTCTATTCGTTTCATCTCGAGGCGCTCCTGTCTCTCGGCCTCCTCGCCCTCACGACGTTCTCGCCTTTCAGCTTCTTCACGTTCGCGAGCTTCTCGCCTTTCAGCCTCTTCACGTTCGCGAGCTTCTCGCCTTTCTTCACGTTTGCGAGCTTCTCGCCTTTCAGCTTCTTCACGTTCGCGAGCTTCTCGCTTTTCCGCCTCCTCGCGGCGTGCTTTGATATCCACCCAGGCCTCATCGACTTCCTCAGCCGACACTCCCTCATCCTTCATGATCTCAAGGATAGCTTGCTTTCGTTTCGCACGGCCCAAAGTAATGCCGAGTTCCTTACAAATTTCGATGAGTTCCTTCACTTTAAGGTTCTCCATCGTTCACACTAGCCTCTTGCTGTTTGCCCCTGTTAAGAATCTACTTGCCGTACCCACTATAAGCCTACTAGCAAGACGCGCAAGCGATTTTTCACACTCCCGTGTTTACCCCCTCCGCATTAACTTTGGTTTCAAAGCGCTTCGACTTGGCTTGAAACGATCAAAGCTCCCTTCAATGCTTCACACAGCCCTTCTCTAAACTACTACAACCTGAGCTAGAGTAGTCTGGTGAACTGAGGGGAAAACATCAGGCACTCACCGCATCGATGTCGCTGACGCCGGTCGATCCCGCAGCTGCCAACCACTGTTGCGAATGACGGACCGATCCCACCGCTGCCACCACTGTTGCGAAACGCACCTCCGACGACGTTACGAAGGGCGCCTCGAAATCTGACCGCTGCAACCACTGTTGCGAACGACGGACCGATCCCGCCGAAGCCACCACTGTTGCGAAAGACGGCGACGCCAACACGGTCTCGAAGGCGCCACTGCTTTCAACTCCGCCGGGAAGGTCACCAGCCGTTTGGTAGCGTATGTTTCTCAGCTCGCGACTACTTCTGCGCAGAGCTGATAAGACGAGCGGACGAGACGACGGGGAGTTAAACAAGGTTTATGTACAGCATATACACAGAGGCATTACAAATTTGGCACTGGGGCCGACAGAGACTCGAAGAGCCGAGCTCTCCTCTCTAATACATAGGTCAACTTTTCGCCTAAGACCGCCGACTCACACACATGTCGGCTCTCCGACATGGGGACTCCTCTCTCATAGGACCGCCGATCGCGACACGCCGCAGGGCTTCTTTTTATTTGCACCGGGTCCAACCAAAATGTATAATCAGAAGCGTCGCTGGTCGTCAGGGCAGATTCCTCCAATGGGGTCGCCGCGCCATGCGTCAGACCACCAGACACGAGGACGCCGGCTCGCTGTCACGTGCGCCGCTGACTCAATGCACGTGGGCCAGAGAGGCGCCGCGCGTGTTCACGCCGTTGAGATGTTCGCGTCAGGCGGACTGCGGGCTGGCCTTGACCCAGATTGCCTTTTTCAGAGGCACGGACGTTTGACGAGGACTCGCTGGCATAACAAGGGTCACAGGCACTCTTCAATTCAAAAGGCTATGTGCAGGCACTGCACTGAGTCCCACATTAGGTAACACATAATTTATATCAGAATGTCACTGTATTTTTGAACAAAAGTTCTGTTATTAAACATCTATTCTTTGCAAAATTTCTACAGTACACCTATTTATACTTCAACATTGAAGTTTTGTTACGTCTTTTACATGGAGAAAAAGTTGTGCTGTGATATATTTTCATAAACAAGCATGATGTTACGGAAGGCAGAAAGTTTTTTTCATTAAGATCCATGATAGAAACTTCATTCAGAAGCCTTTCCCCAGAGCCTTGAAGTTGACTGAGGCCTTTTCTTTCTTTTTTTTTTTGAACAGCACAAATTTGTTGGCTAAGGGTCATACAATGTGGCAGCTCTCAGCTGTGCAGAAACTATAATGTAGAAACAAGCATTGGCATACACTACCTCACAAGATGTCCAAGCGCAATGTTTTAAGCATGTATCTTAAATATGTGGTAACAGAGGAATGAAGGACTACAACAGAAAACATTTCGATAGATCCCAGCTTGTGATATTAGCAATAGGACTGCACGTTTCAGTTTTGCTGGTTAACCATCTGCACTGAGTGCTTGGGTGACGATATATTATTGTGTGCGTGTGCAAAGTTTAGCTTGTAGTGGCCGAGACTGAAGCATATGCAGTGAAAACTCGCCTCTCTCAGCAACATATTGTGGTGACAAGTGTTTGATATGTACCTGAACATAAGTGAGCATCTCCTTCCTGAACTTGTAGGATTCTGTAATCCTGTAGGATGGCCCAGAGCCCTTCGAGAACAGCCCACCATCTGCGGTGCCCTTCAATGAAACAAAAAGAAAGTGCAAATGACTAGGCTTTCTGAAAGGCACATTTCGCTTGCTAATGCTGAGGAGACTGACTTGGCCCATGGTGCTGCAGGAGAGGGCTGGGTTGTTCCAGACACGGACCATGTTCGCTACATCCGCTTGCTCATCGTCTTTGCAGCCAGGGAGAGAAGTACCACTATGAAAAACTCGCACAGTGAACCACTTGCATAAATAATGCACTGAGAACAAGTCAGGCATGAAGATTGCAATGTTTCTGCGGATATCTACAATGAATCAGTATTGAGCCAAAAATAAGTCCATTTTTATGCATGAATGGTGTCCTAACGACAAAACACAAACACAAAACTCACATGAAAAACAAAAATTTTTAAAAATACATATCCTTCTCAGCACAATAAAGCAGCCACCAGCAATTCTTTGTTAATGAGATTTAACTAACTATGAATTTATTAAATCAACAACTTACCTGATAATTAGAAAGTCGATGAGACATTTGAAGGCAAGTTTACATGGAACTGCTGTTATTTAAGAGCTATGAGGGTAATTTTTTTTTTTTTTGCCTCTAGCAGGAAACCCACCATATCTGAAAAATACTACACAACTGAGTTGTTAACTGCATAGTAAGGAAGCGTCTTCAGATCAGCTTATTACAACCAGAGACAGTGTTTTGTACCTTGATACTGGCACTGAACTGACGGCAACATGCGTCAAGTTCCTTCAGTGTTTTCCTCTACTCATTCATGCCACATTCTCTATCTGTATAGCCAACGGATTCCATTCATAACATGGCTGGAGAGCTATTCCGACTACAGCCTCACTCTGTCTGTTCACTTCGTGGAGACAGTTGTTTAGAAAAAGAAACGTGGGAATGGCAAAGCATGTAGGGAACGGTGTTTCAGCGTCACTAACGAGAAACCTGCGGTGTTTTGAGAGAGTGCCTTGATGAGGCACTAGTGATGCCAAGCCCGACACTGGGCACGTAATAAAGGGTGTTTCCGCTCCACTGTTATAGGAAAACTGCATCCAAATGCGGCTTGCCCAAAGGTGCTTCTTGTTCCAGATCCCTACGGCATGCAGGGAAGAGTGTTTCTGATTCACTAATGATTAGTTGGGCTACCTTTTGCCTTCTTCATTTTAGTGGACCAGGGGTGATAGCGACGTATTCCAACTTTTATAATGGACTGTGACAACATTAGACGCTTACCCCTAAGCCTCTAAGGTGGTTTGCTTCTAAAATTAATGTAGCTATCCATGTAATTTATCAATGCTTTTGTAACAACTATCAGAGCTTGTTTCATGACACAACGCGTTGCTTAGGCCAAGGTGTGACAGATAAAGCACCACATCAGTCCGTTCTTTCTCTCTCTGCGCAAAACATTACCATGTTGTTAAAAGTATGTTAATGAAAAAAAAGCTTAGCTAGATGTCCTTTTAAATATGCCCAAAGACTGCTTATTGGTCCTCTTATAATTAAGAAAGTATTTCCAGAGTTGCAAAATTGATTATGCTTAGCCCTTGCTATACTGCATGCTATAAAAAATATTGCACAAAGTTCTCCACAAGCGTGTCAAGCGGGCAAGATGCCTTTGTAGTGCAGGCATCAAGCACCTGAATATGCAGATTACTAGACTTTTTCCACGAAGCTAATTTGCAAGCGTCTTTTTTATACCACTAATTGCTATGCCTAAGGGCAGGCTTTCAAGAAAGAAAGAAAAACTAGACATAAAAAAGTGACACAAACAAGAGCTAGATAGGAATCAAAAGATGTAACTGTAACCTGTTACTGTTGAAGCTACTTTTTACTAACAATGACTATACTTTCCACCAGTATAAAAAGATTTTCTAATTAGACCTAATTATGAAAGATTTACTGACAGCCACTCCAGCATACTAAGAGCAGTATGTACTAGACTTTCTTCACATAACATGGTTCCTCATTTAAAAGATCTAATTTCTTTTCATTTTGGAGACCCTGCATATATCTTAAACAGTATTTTTATGACTAAACTATGCTGATCTCAATGGAAACGGACAGTCGGCATGCAATGATTGTGCTTGGCAAGATAAGAGTGAACTCAAGTTGTGGGGTTTCAACATCCTAAGTGACACAATGATTATTAAAGGTGGCATATTATGTAGCTAGAGTTTAATTTTGACTATACAGGGTTATTCATAATGCACTTAACTATAAGCATGCGAGTTCTCTGGATTGTGACACAAATGAAACAATGCTAACAATAAAACCTATGCCATTTTGCACAGCTGTAGGACCCCAACGGCTGGCCTTCTGCAACAACCCAACAAGGAAGCATTTATGCTTTATTTATTCATATAGTCTAGATCAGTGGTTCTCGAATGGGGGTCCGTGGACCCTAGGGGGTCCGCGGACCCTAGGGGGTCCGCAAAGCCATTTCTATGATCCGCGAAACCCTCACCCGCATTTTTCTTTAAGCGTGACTGTGCCACGTATTGATGAACTGTCCAAAATGAAGTGATACTGCACGTTTGTTTGATGTTTTCGGTAGCAATGAAAGGGACCTGTTTCGCGCTCCAGTTGTTTTAATTTACACAACTCCCCTCTGCTGCAAGGGTGCCCCTTCACTTTCTCTAGTTCACAAGGGGTCCCGACACATTCATGGCTGAGAGCCGCTGGTCTAGATCAAGCTATATTTTATAACACAAATACAGTAAAAGCTTTCATTTCAGATTTCAATGGACTGGAAAAACTGGTCCGAATTCACTGAATGCCAAATTATTGAAATATCAAGAAAACAAAAAAAAAAAGGCCATCTCGAATTAATGAATTTTGATTTTTTTCAGGACTACTAAAATTCAATCATTAATTTACATAATAACAGTGCAAAAGCTACAATTTTTATTATTTGCAACTTTGTTCGCAATGTAATCACAGCAAAAACCCTCGTGTTTTCATCCGAAATGTAGTCAGAACCCCTATCTTATTAGGTGCCAACAACATAATTGTGGATGGCGACCAGGCCTTTTAGATAGCCTACGGCTGCTTCAACTGTCCGCAAACTCAGTTTTTGTTCCTACGCATCGAACATTCGCAGCGCTTTGCACTCTACGTTCTCCGAAAATTATTCAAATTAACCAGCTTACGGCCAAACATGACCGAGTTAGTGAGAGTTTGATGCCATTAAGCAATTAGTACATACACTGGCTGGAAAAGAGAATATTTTTGAGCAATTGCTACACATTGAAAGATCGTCTATTCCAGATTTCCTGAAATGTCTTCTTACCTGGTGGACATCCAAAGTGTGACCGTTCATCTTGGGGCCTAGGTTGAAACTGCGGTACGAAGGGAGCAGGAGCCAGGGAAGGATTTCTTTGTTGTGCTGTGTCGAGAGCTTCAATGGGCGCTGAGATTCAGAATGCAAATGCAACATTCAGATACAATGCAAGAAAACTTGAAAGAGCACGTCTTACCAGGGTCTTCTGACTCGAGGCAAATCGATGGCAAGGTGAAAGAAGAGTTTCCAGATGCCATGTTGATAAACACTTTCTCACCAGATGTTGGATCCATACATGCTGCCCAGTTCCCAGGATACATCTCAAGTGTAGATATATCTGCACTGCTCTCTTTGTTGGTGATGACAGCAAGCTGGCCTGCCGGAATGGTAGTAGTGCCTTGCTTGGGGCTAGCCAGATCTTGGTTCATGGCTTGGGCATTAGTTGCGTCAGGTTCTTTGCATTCACTTGAGCATTGCGACTTGTCGGGTGATGGCTGTGTGAGACCTCCCAGTCCATCTGCAGTAGCTTCTATGCTCCCTGAATTTCCATCTTCCACAAGAGGAGACATTTTGTCTGTGACACTTGATGTCTGCATAAGGATTTCACAATGTGATGTACTGTTTTGTGTACTTCTAGAAAAGAAGCTGTGTGTTACATCCTCTTCAAGAAATTTTGCCGAATGTTTGCTGTTGTTTTGAATAAATCTGAGTCGTGTGAGGGCGAAGGAGCTTTTTGTGGCAGCAGGTTCAGGGCCATCTTCTGAACTGCCATGGTTAATGCTTAATGGTGTTGCTGGAGAGGAAAATGTGGACTCGCATTTATTCAATTTAAATGGCTCTCGTTCCTCATCGGAGCTATTGCAATCAATTTCTATGGAAGAGCCGGTTGTAGAGGCTGTTTCTCTAATTTTCAAGGTAGCAGGGCTACAGGTCATTTTTGACTGTGGCACGAAAGGCTGCGTATCTTGTACAATCGTTGTGCTTGTTTCCTCGGTCTGGCTCTGACTAGCGTAACATTCGAGTTGATCTGAGCAAGCGAAAGGCTGTGACAATGTAACCACTGGTTTGAACTTCTGTGTTTGGCCCACTGATCCTATTGACTCATCCAGTGCATCTTTCTCATCAACTGGAAATGTGGGCAGGCTTAACCTAGGCACTTTGCTCAGTATGATTTCTGCGCCATGCACAGGGCAGAGCTGTTGTGCTTGAAGACAGAGGCATCTGAAATCTGCTATCTTAATGAACGACTCGCTTGTTGCATGAGGATAAGCTACTGCCTGGCATGACGGAGTGTTAGAAGCAGCAAAAAGTGCAGATGTCGCACTCGCGTGCTCATTTGTGGGAATGTGGGCTTTCATTCTTCGACGCAGCTTTGTGGCCAAAGGCGTTGGCCTGGTGAAACGTGTTTGGCTTTGCAAAAATGTATAATCTTGGTGACCTTGTGGCATGCCTAAAGGGTCGGGCAACAAATCGTCAGAAGCGTGCCAAACATTGTTCACTTCACTTAATTGATCCTTGCATTGCATGTTTCTATTGTACACTTCTTCAGTCAACTGCAAATGTTTCACAGCTAGTTGCCTTGCTTTTGTGCATGTGGCTACTTGGGCACTTTCAATGTGTGATTCCGGAGTAGAGGAGATTATTTCTTCATGGCAATTGTTTTCTTGACGAGAAGGCTTGTGCACTACATCTATTTGCTGACAAAATGCTGCATCCACCTTTTTTGGATGATTGTAATGATGACCCACTGTGTGCAAAGACGTGCACGGAAGTTTCTTGCTGAGCAATTCATCACTCGAGTTTGAATGTGTTGCAGCTAGTTCTCTCTTCTTTTTCACACATACAGGTGCATCTTCAGCACTTACAATACATGAGGTAGGCTCTGCAGCCAAGAATTGCACTGTATTATGGCAGTTGGTCTTCTTTTGAGTGAGCTTGTCTACCGTGCATGATAGCTGTGCAACTGCAGGATCAATCTCTTTTGGTTCATTCTGGTGATGATGAGCAGGCCTATGCCTCCAAGCAGAAAAATTTTTGGTAACATCACACTGCTTTACTCTACCACATGTTTGTACAGAATGGGCCGATCTAGAATGGCCTCGCTTTGCACAGCTTATTCGTTTCCCAATGTCAAAGAGTGTCTCATTTTCTGGCATACAAAGTAATGGCCTCGCATTTGAGACAGCCGAGAAAGATGGTGGCAGGGCAATCACAGCTTTGGGACGATGAGCACCAGCGTCCCTGCTTTTGTAGGTGTAAGACTTAACGTTTGAGCTGGGCACTAGTGGCCTTTCAGCATGCTGTAAGCGTTCTTCACTGAGTAAGTGCACCGGAGAAGTGGTAATGTCTTCTAATGTGTCACTTTTCTCTTCATCAGGTTCTGCTACAATGTGTGGTTCCTTCCTGCATACCTTCATTGAAACTAGTGCATTTGGCACATCTTCAACATTTATGTTAAGATCAGTTCTCAGGGTTGTTGGTTCACATTCTGGTGGCGTTTTCTGTGAGAATGCCAGCTCCCCATTAATGACAAAGTTGTGGCTTATGATCCCATGCTTATGTAGGAAGTCGTTGAGTAATTGTTCAAACAACTTTGTTATTTTGTCCCAATCGGTGAACTCAACAAAAGTCTTCTGTGGTTCGTATGTGACATCAAAGGTCCTGGAGGTACAGACAATGAAGATGACAAACACAGGTTGCTTGTTTTTTAGTTTGCTTGGACTTCCAGAAAGGGCTACTGACTTTGTGTGAAATCCAAGTAGATACTTCTTGATGACATTATGGAAAAGTTTGTGGATGCGGGTTTTACGCAAAAGGCGCTTGTTGAGGTACACGAACTGCAGCTGTTTTGAAGTGTGCCCTTCAAGACTGATGTACGCCTCCACAGTGAAATGCTTTTTCTTGATGACAGTGTGCTTCAGAGTTGCTGCCCTTTCTGCTCCAAACAATTGAGCAAAGATATCAAGCACAGAATTGGTTTTGTGCGTCTGAAAGTGTTTTCTTCCAGTAACATCATTGCGCAAGGTGAACGATACTTCTGGATGGCTCAGTGCGATGCCTTCGAGGTGTTGAAGGCAGAATTCAAAGTCGATTGCTTCCGAGAGGCAACGTCTTCTAACTGGAAGGTTGTACATGAAATCCAAAACTGTCACTGTTGTGCCGACACTTGGCCTGTCAGTGGCGGATGGTGCAAGTTCTCGTTGTTTGCCTTGGGCAAACGTCTTGCACCAAGAATCAGTACTATTGCGCGACCTAGATTCAATCTGAACTATTCCCGACATTCCCACAATGCTTGATATGGCTTCGCCACGATACCCGTAAAACTTCGGATGCTCCAAATCACTGAGTGTACGACATTTACTGGTACAGTACCTGTAAAGAAACACAAAAGAAAGAAAATAAAAATGTAATTCTTATGTAGGTCTTGGTTTAGTTCCAAATCCTGCGCTTAATGCAGCTCGACTACCGTGAAACGTGAAGTGCGTAGCACGGACAACCCGGCGATTGTCCTAATGATCGCGCACTTGCCGAAGCGGTGGCGCCCCCTCTTGCGCGCCTCGTATATGGGTCAGATACTTGAAGCGCTTTTATGTAAATCACTACGCTTACTGCTTGGTTGTTTCTGTAGTTTGTATAATTTTAGACCTTGTTAGTTCTTCTCGCAATGGTTTTACGCATTGTTGGCCTCGTTTTAGGCCTATATTACGACATGCGACTGCGTGGCCATGCGACATTATACACTGCGTGGACGACAAGCCGGGCCTTTAAGTACTACCAGAGCCTCCTAGATTGCCTTTGCCTGCCGGATTATCGGCGGTCACTTGGGAAGCAGCTGTAGTCGGCACTACGGTAGTGGCGCCACTTAAGTAGGGTTGTCTTCAAATAAGTTTTTACGTTTTTGGAGCTTACATGCAACAATAATAACGTTAATAATTAGCCCTACGTAAGTGGCGCTGCCATAGATGACAGGCGTTTTTCGCTCATTTAGCAGGCAACTCTTTTATTACAAGGCATAGCCTCTGAAATTAGCAAACGCCAAAATTGCTAATCTCAAAAGCCAAGTACAAAGACCCTTATCCCTACGTAGATAGCGCCGCCACAGATGAGGGGCGTTTCGCGCTTATCCGGCAGGCAAGAAGAATATAGGAGGCTATGCTACTACGCACTTAAAAATGCCAGATACAGAATGTGGTAACGAACCATGGTAGTGTATAGGTGTTCTGAGAATGAACGTTGCGTAACCCACACACATAAGGAACTCAGTGCTGTAGCGACCTTTACCTTTCCCCACAGTTTTGGAGCTGCTCCTTCGGAATGCCATGGCCGTTATCCACAACTTGAACTTTATAATAAGGCATGTTCAAACGAACAGCGATGCACGTTGCGCCGGCGTCCAAGGCGTTTAGGACAAGTTCCTCCATACAGTGCGCGACACTCACGATCGCTACTCCCGACCGCAGCTTGCTCACTACATCGGCGGGCAGCCGGTGAAGCTCCATTTCCAGACGCCTTGAGAACTGCGACACCACTTGCTTGCACACACAGCACAACTTTCACAAAATTTCGGGGAAAGCCGCCGACGCCGCGGCCGAACTGCAGGTTTCACCATAGATCAAGAAGCGCGGGGTTGTCGAATGCGACCAACATTTCCGCGCACGCGTAAGAATGAAGTCATTACGCTCGATGGCGTTTTGTAAATACCGTGTTGCGACACGTGTTATTAAAAGCTAAGTTAATAGAACGTGCCCTCAAAAGGCCATGTATACCAAATGCAATCACGTTTTGTTTATATTTTGTGGCGCCATCTGTAAGGCTCCACACACGTTCTACAAACCCTCCGAGGTTATCGACAAGTTTGCAGTCTCGGAGGCTGAATGCTAGGCTTCACCAGTGCTTACTAGGTGCCGCCACTAACAACTATTAACAGAAACACACGCATGCGCAAAATAAGTTTTGTTCTCAACACATGCGTTACCTGGCGGACAAATTGCGCATCAGTTGCGCATGGCGGCTTCTGCGTGCTGCGCGCTGTGTTTGTGCGGTGGAAATCGATAGTGTCCTTTCGTTGTGGTGCACTACGGATACGCCGTGCCTGCAAATATAGGTATGTGGGCCGCCGCTGTCGGTTCTGGCTATTTGTAACTTTTGGTAAAAGTGTCCTGCTCGCAAGTATTCGGCGACCCGGGCCACTCGAGGTGAGTGACATGTCAAGCGCCTCCTTGGAGGGCTTTGTTGCGGCACGGAGCGAGTGCAACAAATGTAATCTGGATCGCTCGGGCTCTGCTTCCTGTTGGCGCATCTTCTGAATGTTTGTTCCTGGTACACGCATCGTGAAATCCGCTGCTTAAGGGCAAAATACCAACGTTAGCTTGCGTTGAGATCTGAAGCGCCCGCCTGCGAATGCGTTCGAAAGCGCCAACGCGTTTGCATGCTCCTTCCGTTTGCAAAGCATCTCAGCCTTCGAACACAAGAGCGGGCCGCTCTTGTGTTCAAGGTCAGTAGAGCAATTGTAGAGCAGCGCTTCGAGGATCGCCTTTATCACCGCCGATTGACAATTGTCAACGAACTACTTGTGATGCGTGGAGACGCTAGCGAAACTAATCTTCTCCCGTGATGTGTAGTCGTGAAGGAAGTGCCTCGCCGGCGGAGTTGTCTCGTGTTACGGTCTGCAAAAGAAATTACGCCGTTCCCGAGCGCATCTAAAGGAGGACATCGATGCACAGCAAGGTTATGGGCCACTCCTATGTTGCGATCGTCTTCCGTTCCAGCGACACAAATTAGCGGGGGTTGGCCGGCTAGCCCGCCCGCCAGCCGTCCTGTCGGCGATTGCCGTGCGGAGGGCGCACCGCCTCCGTCTGGCGCTAATCGCTGCGCCGGTGTACTACGTGCGCTCCGCTTTGCTCGACAGAGTATCTTTTCCGGCTCTTTAAGTTACGTGGTCTGACCTACTCCCACGGAAATGCAAGCGGGCTAAATGAATCCAGCTCTTTCCCTTCGCTCCAGCAACGCAACATGCAAAAGACGACAGGGTAACGCAAAAAGCACGAACTTGTCACGACCGGAGAAAACCCGCGACTAAAAGCCGTACCTCGACTCCGTGTGAGGGAACGGGATTTAAAACGCTCTTGCGCGCGTCGACCTTTCACTTGTTTCTCGGAAGACCTCGTACCTGCAGTTGGTGCGGCGGCGTACGCTGACGTAGATACAACTTGACGTATTAGGTATACACGAGAAAGGTATACACGTTTCAGTGAGAACGATCTCTTGCGCCTTCCGCCACAGTGAAGTTTTCTCGATCCACACTAGCTGGTAGGGTATGGGAACGATCTTGCTGCTTTCGCAGTTTTGCAGACGACCATTTGTTAATAGCAGTCGTATTGCACACGAACTGTTTTCTAGTATACTGACAGCGCTTTAGCATGATTTATTTCGAGTCACACGAGGAGCTGCTAGTGTGTGCATGGGCGCTCGTACAGGTCGTTCGGTAACGCTTGTGGATAGTTCGGACTTGTCCACAGTCTTTCCAGTTTCATAATGACCAATCACTGAAAATACTATTTGTCTTCAGATTTTTCGTCGCACTTGCGCGGTGTTAAAGACACACACTTACTTAGCAATATATACTCACCGATCACGTTGCTGGTGAATTCATTGCGATTTTATTTGTAATTTCTCTGCGAAACATTTAACGCACGTCTGGTGTTTCTTAGCGTGTTGAAATCAAGAAACTTGCAGGCATACAATGCAGTCAGCTCGCACAGGATAGGGCGTTTATTTAAATCGTCTCGCGCTGGACATAGACTGATGATTATTACGCTACTCAAACATACATACATTGAAAATAGTTATTGAATGGCAAATCGCATTTCAATTCACAGTTCTTGTGGCATTTATTAGCGAAATGTTGCGCGAGGGAGATGACTGAAGAACTGATGAGATATGTTTGCTCTGCGGGGGTCATTGCGTACTCTGACGCGTTTCTTTTGTTTTCTCATTCATAATAACGTTGATTTTTTTAACTGCTTATCTGAATCGCTTCTAAAGTCCACTAACATAATAGCAAAGTCGTTGATATTTTAGAAGGGGGACACCGCAACGCTCGAATGACCAATCCAGTTTTCATAAAATAAGGAGAGCGACGTCACGGTGTCCTAGCGTTTCTGGTTCTCGACTGCTGACCGTCAGGTCGTGGGATCGAATCCCAGCCGCGGCGGCCGCATTTTATTTAGGTGGAAGCGAGATTGATCAATGCCCGTTCGTTTATATTTAGGTGCACGTTGAATAACCCCAGGTAGTAGAAATTTCAGGAGCGTCTCATAATCAAATGGCGGTTTTGGAACGTTAAGCCCCAAATCCAAACTACGTTCTGCAAGCGTGGGGAAAGTAAGACAAATTGGTTCTCTGTGTTATGAATGTAGTGCAATCTTCGCCAGATTCGCCTTGCGCGAGCGTTGACGAGATTCGCACTTCTGACTGGTTTTACGCTGCCAGACACGAAACGATTCCGCGTTCGACTCACGACGTAGGCTTGGAATGCAGCCGTAGATATAACGACACCGGTTGGCGTTGGCTTTCTTCGTTTTTCTTTGCAGCGCTTTGTTCTTTATTGGTGGGGCATTTTGCGTTAAAGAACTTCGCAACCTCCTCCCGGTCTTTGAGGTGAAAGCTACCGGCATTTTCGCACTCTCGCAAGTTGACCTTTTCGCGTTTTTTTTTTTTCTCCGGTTTCTCCCGCTTCTTTTTCCGTTTGTTTTTTGTAATGGTGATATGTAATGACGCGCGTCTGAGGTGGTCGCGAAATGCCTGGCGGAAGTAGCGACTCGAAGGTCGACAAAAATGAAGAGATGGCGGACCGATTGACGAGGACTTGCAGCCGTCTTTGTGGTCGAAAGATCAACGTTGCTTTTCATGCTTTCATATTTTGATGCACTGACAGGAACGACGCAGAAATATATATATATATATATATATATATATATATATATATATATATATATATATATATATCTGCCAACTGATAATTGCTACTTTATTTCGAGCATGGAGAGACCAGGCACAAGAAAGGTGAAACATGAAGTGGGCGAATGCGGTGATAAAAATAGCAGACATAAAAAAAAAGCAGTTTCGTACTAGTGGTGCCATGTCTGAAGGAAGTGCGGAGCTGGGCAGCATGATTTGCTTGATGTTCGTGTTATTTTAAGAGCGGAGCATTTCTTAAGGCCTGACCACAGGCACCCGTTGCAGCGCGGGGCTTTTTGACGCGGCATCGCACACTCTGAGAGAGAGGGCGCGCAGCTTCGCGTAGCCACTCTCTCCACGGGCAGAGGGTAAGACGCTGCGTCATAAAGGCCCGCGCTGCAACGAGGGCGTGTGGTCAGGCCACTTACACCGTGGGTGAGGCCTTTAGTCGCACGATGTCGGTGGTGGTGCCGGGCCAGGAAGACTCCCGCAGATCTGTCGCTCCCCTTCCCCTCTCTCGCCTCGCAAGGCCAACGCAGGCAGGGATGGGTGGATGGATTGATGTGGCTGTACCCTTTGGATCGGGTGGCGGCTAGCGCCACCTAGCCGCAATACTTAGTGAACCAACTACTACATTTATATTTTTTTTTCTTTAAATAGTGAAGTTGAGGACTCGTCTGCTAGTAAACAAACGCCCCTCCGCGGTTGTCTAGTGTCTAAGGTACACGGCTGCTGACCCGCAGGTCGCGGGTTCGAATCCCGGCTGCGGCGGCTGCATTTCCGATGGAGGCGGAAACGTTGTAGGCCCGTGTGCTCAGATTTGAGTGCACGTTAAAAAAACCCCAGGTGGTCGAAATTTCCGGAGCCCTCCACTACGGCGTCTCTCATAATCATATGGTTCTTAAGGGACGTTAAACCCCACATATCAATCAATTCTTTCTATTTATATTCCGCACTTAGAACTGTCAGCAACTGCTCGACGAGTGCGTGCTCCAGGTGATTCGTGGTTTTACCGGTGTTACGCCAAGCGATGACGACAGCTTACGACACCCTGGCCCCCTAAAGTGCGCCGCGCTTAAAATACAAACAAAAAAGGAAGAAAGAAAGCACATTAGGGAGTCCAACGATGTCGCCGACACGTGTCTTGAGCTATATATGCGGTGACATGGTTTCCTTCGAAAACAATTTTTTTTCTTCTTCAGAGAAGGTGATCGAGGAAATGCTTACGTCTGCTTCGCTGAAATTCATATGTGATGATTCGGTAACGGTTTTTGTTGATGGCGTTTGTTTGATTATTTTGTCTCTTTGTCGAGACGAGTAATTTGTTTTGCCTTTCGGGCCTCGCTGGTCGCATAGCAGTGCATGCCATACACTAAAAACTAAGAGAGTGCTGGGCACTTTCTTTATGAGAGTACTTTCTTGTCCCATATTTCACTCTCTTTTCCAGAGTAAATCACCTCTTGTCGTGTCAGAGTACAGTGACTCCTCCAGAACGGGTCAAAGCACTCCTCCCCTCAACAGAGTAACAGAACGCTGCCCTAAGCAGAGTATCGATCATGACCCCATCGAAGAGAATAGCAGTAGACCTCACGAAAAAAAAAAAGCATAAGTTGGGCCGATATTGGGCATTTCAATTGTTTTAGGCTGATTTCTTCGTGCGCCGATCGTAAGGTTGGCTAAATACGACACTAAGACGAAAAAAGATAGGAAAGTGATCGGGTATGACTCGTATCCTCTACTTCTAGACGCACTCCACATTGCGAGCCCTATGCGGTAACCACTACACCACACAGAAAGACAGTGTATTATTCTTCATGTCATAAGTGATGTTTGTGATCTGTCTGCATTTTCTTGTTAAGAAGTGTAGATTTCAGTGTCTCTACGCTTCTCGAAACCAGCCGGACTGCAGCTACCCTGTTTAATGTGTTTGTTTTGTGTTTCGCGTGATCACAACGACTATCCTACACGTTCTTCACAGTATAGAAAAGGGAAGATTAGCGCAACCGATTATATGAACGTCATTCGCACTGACTCGCTAAGTGGTTAGTCATTTCTGCGTACAAAACATCGCGCTTCTGAAGTAAACACTATGTAATTACGTTTTTTTTTTCACCCCTTTGACATATTTTCGGTCATTCTTGTTCACGGTCTTGTTCACGTTCTACGTCTAACGCCACAATAATTTACGGTGGCCATACCGTACGTTAGGCTTACGGCAGCATATGGTCGTAGCGAA